CAGAGAGCACAGGATCACCAGGAAGCCTTTGAAGATACAGACCCAGGCCCAGAATTTCTGATCCGATGGCCTCGGGCAGAGCCTGAGAATCTGCATTTCTGAGAACTTTCCAGATGTTGCTGGTCTGGGGACTCTACTTTGGGAACCACTGCTCTAGAGACTACTTGGTGGGGGCAGGGGGGAGCGGGCAACACTCTCCCAGGAACAGCTGTCACTGTAACTTGCCCAAGGACACACAGCTAGTGAGGTCCAGAGCTGAGACCCGGCCCAGAGTCTGAGTCCAGTGCACTTGCCCCTCTGCAGGAAGGGTCGGTGAGGCGGTGCCCCAGGGCCCTGTCACCAACCACTGCATCCAGAACTGCCTTCGGGCATGACTGCTGGAAGGTGCCCCGGCCACCCGCATGCGCTGTCCAGCAACGAGATCCGCTCTCTCATTCGATTAATATTTATTCAACTGCTGCTGTGTCCCAGGCCAGGCTTTGGCCCTCCCTCCGTGAGTGAAGCAAAGCACAGAAAAGCTTTGCCCCGTTGGTTTTCAGCTGTGACGATGATCGCTTATTATGCAGAGATGGAACTTAGAATTGTAAAAATGAGTCTGTCCAGGTTCCCCTTTTTTGCCCCTGACTCCTTTGCAGTTCCTCCCTCCGGCCCACATGTGGGGGTGGCATAGCTCTGTGCAGTTGGCCTTGCTGTTTCGTCCAAGTCCACTTGCGGCCGTGTTCCAGCCAGCGCTTCCCCTCTGCTCTCACAGCGTGGCCTCCACACTGGCGCCGAAGCTGCTTAGGGCAGCTGCTCTGAATGTCAAGGCTGTGGTGGGCGCGTCCTTGTTCACTGTTGCTATTTCTTGGTGGGACCGGGGGTGCACATAGGATTCCAGCCCTGCGAAGGGCCATGCAGAGAAACAGTGGGGGAAGGGGTGGGCTTGGAGGTCAATTTCAGGTCCACCCTGAAGCCTGAAGGTCACTGTCATGAGTGGTGGTAAATGAGCAAGGTGTGTTCCAGGTCCGTCCATCGGTGGAGCTGGTGGCCTTGGGGCTCCTCGTGAGGCCAGACCAGGTTGGCCATTCAGCCCTGGCTCTTAGGGGCCTGGCTTTACCTGAAAAGGTTTTTCTTGTAGCTCCTGCAACTTCCTAAAGCATGTGGCTATAATAGGAGGGTGCCAGTGGAGGGGGCCTGATGTGCTGGGCACCTCCACAGGCCAGGCTGTTTCCAGACAGCATCTCAGCTCATCCAACGGCCCGGGGACACCTGCCCTGTTGCTCATGGGACTCTCCAGGATGATCCCTGTGTCTCCCGCGCCCCAGCCCAGTGATATCAGAACCTCTGGGATGGGCCCTGGGCTCCAGTGTACCCTGAAACTCTCCCCAAGTGATCCCCAGGTGCAAGGAGGGGTGGGGGGAGGGGCACAGGGAGAAGCCATTATCCATTCATATCTCAGACAAGGACATGGAAGCCCTGAGAGGTCAAGTCTCTTGTCCAGAGTCACACAGCTGGAAGAGATGGACCCACAGGACAAGAAGCTGCTGAGGTGGGGGGAATAAAGAAGCAGAGAATGTGGTTGGAGAGCCTCTCATCTGTGCAGATGCTCCTTTGGGGGCCTCCCCCATCCTCCTGCTCTGGCCCTGAACCCCCTTCCCTCCAGGTGGGATGCCGGGTATATGCCAACTTTGACACCATCTCCTTCAGTGCTCTAGGGTGACTCCCGGTCATGAACCTCGCTGAGCTCCGCTCTTTCCTGGGAACGAAAGCTCCCACCGTTGTCCTGGGGTGACCAGGGCTCAGCCACCAGACACACTGCAGTCAGCACCCCGCCCCCCAACTTCATTGCCACATGGCCTTGGCAAATCCCTCTGGGTTTCTTCATCTGCAAACTAAACTTGTCATTGAAAATATTTGCCCACCTCTCTGGGCTGTCTAGAGAATCGATGAGATAAGGTGGGTGACGGTGCTTGGTAAACGAGAGGCACAGGGCAAATATTAGCTCCTGCCAGGCACCGGGAGGGCCCTGTCTCGTCCTGCGGGAAACCCAGCAGAACTTGTCGCCATCTCAGCTCTGCTGTGACGAGGGTCCGCAATAGATGTCCTCCGGCCTTGGCTTCCTTGCCCGCAGAATAGAAAAGCAGCACTCACGCCTTCCTTGCTGGGCCGTAATAGGGATGAAATGCATCGGTCCGGGAGATGCTTTACAGTATGGCCACCCTGTGAAGCCGGCAGCATGGCCCCCAGCCTGCCTTTGTGTCTGAGGCAGGAAGAAGGCTTCCTTGGTTGGTTGTCCTCCTTTCTCCAGGAGGGGCCCAGGCCCTGGCTTCCAGCACCAGCTCTGCCACTCGTGCTGTGTGTCCTCAGGCTCAAGATTGGCCTCTCTGAGCCTCAACTGTGTGTAAAGAATGCTGGGTCGGCATTTCCCAGTGCCTGGAGAACCCCAGCAAGTGGCAGAGTTGTGGGAGCAGCACAAGGGAGAAGGGAGGAGGAACAGAAGGAAGAAGTGGTAGGGGAACAGAGGCAACCCCTCGAATGGTCCAGGATCTTAGGGACAGAGGAATGGTGGTTTGATCTGTTTCCGCACCAGGGCCCGCAGGGAAGCACCTTGAACTTCCCCTATCCTGTCTTGCATTGGTTCCCAGCTCCTGAGCACTGGCAGCGGGGGTGGGGAGAACCCTTGGGGGAGCGGGGGTTGTCATACCAAGCAGAACAGGCTTGTGCCCCTCACCCACCTCAAGCCAGGCCCCTTCTCTCAATTGCACCTGGCAAGAGCAGTGCACAGATAGGGAAACCCAGACAAGTCACACTGCCCAGCCTCTTGCCATGCCCAGCGTGACCTGCCGTCCGGCTTTGCCCTGGCAGAGCGTGGGAGTTCCTGCAATACAGCGGGGCTTTCCGCGTGGAGCCCAGGAATGTCGGGTTTGTATGCATAGGGAGGAGCTTGCCCAGGGCCCAGTGGGGGCATAAAGAGAGGGGTACACAGAGCTTTGCATTTTCCAGTGACCACATGAAACAAGTAAAAAGAAATGAGCGACATCAATTTTACCAATATGTCTTATTTAACCCAAGATGTCCAAAATATTTTCATTCTGTATAATCCAGATAAAATTATTGCCTTTTGCTGGGGTTTTTCGTATGACTGTTTGAAATCTCGCGTGTATTTTATATGTACAGCTGGATTTGCCAAATGAAATACAGGATGCCCAGGTAATTGTGAATTTCAGAAAATGGAAAAAGCTTTTAGTATGAGTTTATCCCCAAAAGTTTTCAGTAAAAGTATAGCATGGGCTACACTTAGCCTAAATGTTGCTTTCCTGTTTATCTGAAAATTGAAGCTACCTGGGTACCTCTGTTTTTATTTGCTGCATCTGCAGCCTCACTTAACACATCTGAATTTAGAGGCTCAGATTCCAGGTACTTAGGTGGCCGCCTGAACTCTCGGTCAGGACAGGGAAAGAGGACAGTTTTAGAGGAGTCGGCGTACCCCGTGGAGCCCAAGAGAGCCCGTCCCCCAAAGTCAACCCACAAACACCCCCCCTGCTCCTTCCCTCTCCACAGCTTGGACTGACCTTTGCCTCTTATCTCCCTGTGGCATTATCTATCTTTGTCTTAGTGGAGCTTTCTGGAAGCAACCCAACATACTCTATTCTGATAATCTCCTGGCAGGTAAACAGAGAGCAGGGAAGAAAGTCCACTTCTCTCCCACAATCCTCCATGTCAGCAAATTTTCAAAATCCAGAAAGGGGTCAGGGCCGGCAGGGGCAGCAGGGCAGGCCAGGGAGAAAAGACAGCCAGTGCCCAGAGACGGGGGTCCAGGAAGCCCACCTCCTTCCCGGGCCCGGCCCTCCCAAACCCCATCCCCAGCCTCAGTCTTGCCCTCCACGAGCTGAGACGTTCATGCGGGAGTCTCTGACCCTGGATGTCTTTCTCTGCCTCAGTTTACATCCAAAAAATACCGGGAAGTTGCAGACCAGAGCCCCAGGATGGGGAAGGGGCACCAGCAAGGCGGCTGCAGGGGAGTGGCACGGCCAGAGCCAGAGGTACGTCCAGCGGAAGCTGCACTGCTAGCCGTCACTGCTCCCCTGCTCCCCATGTGTTCCAAACCCTGGCGAGGCCCTGTTGGGGTGTACACCCACACCCAGGGAGCGGTGGTAAGAAATCCCCGTTTGGAACAGAGGCCCAGAGACATCGGTCAGCAGCCCACGGTCACCCAGCATTCCTGCAGCAGGACTAGAAGCCAGTGGGGCCCGAGCCTCCCAGAGCGGGGGGGGGGGGGGGGGGGGGGGGGGGGCAGGAAGCCCCCCCCACTTTGAGCTCCATACTGTGTCACATGACCCCAGGGCTCCTAGGGAGGCTCCTGGGGCAGCGCTTTACCCTAGTTCACCCAGTCCGCAGGCCTGAGCCCAGGGTCCACTCACCCACCACAACACACCTAGGTGCAGCCCCTCCTGGACCAATCATGTGATCCCCAGGACCTGGCGACCCCAGCGCCCCCTTCTCACTCCAGCTTCTCCTGTTGCCCCAAATCCTTGGTGCACTCAGCCCCAGCTACCAGCCCCTCCCTAGGGCAGCACTTTGATCCTCCCATCCCCATCTGCTCCCTCCCTCCCCACCACCCCCTTTCAAGTTCCCAGCAGGTCTCTGCATCCTCACAGGCATTTTTCACAGTGAGGCCCCATGCCCTGCCCCTGTCCTGGAAAGGAACTCTGTAGTCAGACCTGGTGGCTGAACTCCATGCTTCTGTGTGGTGTTCTGTGTGGTGCATGTTCCATGCTGTGTGTTCTGTGCTTGCGTGTTCTGTGCTGCACATGCCTGAGGGCAAGGCCTGCATCCTTTGGGCCGCCAAAGCCAGGGCCAGGAGAGACACACTTCCTGGGGCTCACGTCGTCCTTGTCAGAGGCAGCGAATCCTCCATCAAGGCACGTGGAGCATTCGGGCCCTGTGTTTGAAAAGCCAGGAGTCGTAGGGGAGGGGAACTACAGGTGGTGGCAGGATTCCGGTTTTTCTTTTTGCATCAGGTACCAGGTCGGCTCTGCAGGGCGTTCTCGCAGATCTGCCTGCGCTGGAAATGCTAACATTCTGGTGACCCCAGACCTCGGGCTGCGCTGGAAATGCTAACATTCTGGTGACCCCAGACCTCAGGCATTCATTTTGATTCCTGTTTCAATGGCGTCAAACCATTATTTTCTTGGCCGTGGGTGTTGGGGGCATCCCTTCCCTGAAATTTTACACACCAGGTCAGCACCTCTCTTGCCACCCCTGGGGCCTGGCCGCAGAGGGTCTGCCAGAGATGGCCCAGGCCCGAGAGGGCGCCGGGCCCCAGTGTCACCAGTAAAGAAAAGGTCCCCTGGATTAGCAAGGCCCCTGCCTCCTCCCCAGCTCCCCCTTTCTGGATCGTGCTCGTTTGGGACGCAGGATGAAGCACACACGGGCACATTCTCCTGCCTACACAAAGAAGCCCATGTCCTGGTTTGTGGGGAGAGCGAGACCATAAAATAAGAAAAGCAAAACATGAGGTGCACAGCCCTGTGCGCTGAGAAAATGTGGGGAAAGAGGCCCAGGCCAGGGGGAGGCTTCCTTCTGGGCAGCATAGCCAGGGCACCACCTCTCCACACGCGTGCCCTGGCGAGAGCTGCAGCTTAGCCACGCTGTTCAAATGAGAACACGAGGTGTCTTGCCCAGGAAGGGGCAAGCTGGTGCCAGAGGGCTTTTTATTGGGGGGGGGGGCGCATGGAGAAGGTTGCTGCCAAGTGGAGTCAGGTGGAATGAGAGAGGGGATTCCAGCTCCTTAAGGAGAAGGCTCATTTAGGGGACCCAGGGACCCAGGCTCACTGGCTGTGCCCCAGGACTGGGGCTGGCCTGGTCCCGTCCCACAGGGGCCCCTTTAAGGCTGGCCCTGGGACTGCGGGGTGACTGCTCCCCCCACCCAGATTGTGCAAGTTCATTCATCCTAGCCCTGCTGACTCACGCTTATGAAAGTGATTTTCCCGGCCCCGCCCACCGCCCGCCTCTTCCCAGCCCATGAAATACCCTCGCTTTCCCCTGGCCTCTCACAGCCTCTGGGATCCCCACAGGGTAATGGGCATCCTGCTCCTGCAGGCGCCGTGACCCCCTGGCCCACCCCGCGCCCACCTAGTCCAGGCTTACCAGTCTCCCGAGCCCCTGCCCATCAGGTGAGTGGCCTGAACCAGGCAAGGGGCGGTTAGGGGGGAATGAAGGGGAAGAGGTGACTCACCCCTGGCAGGGTGGCCAGCCAGCAGGTCGATGGAGCCAGGCAGGGGGCCTTACAGGTGGCCCCAGGCAGAGGTGCATGCTGGCTCCCCAGGGGCCTGGCAGCATTCTCTCCCACCCCCAGGTTCATCCTCCACCTCTCCTCGGTGCCCACTTCCAGGTGCCTGGCACCCTCAGCTCCACAGCTGCCCCGCTGGCTGCAGACACCCTGGCCCACGTGATGGCATTCTTGGCAGGAAAGAGGTGTGGCCAGCCCGGGCGTGCTGCCAGTGTCCAGAGGCCGCAGGGCCCTGCCTCTCCTGCTCGGGTGTCCCTGCCCCGGGGGCTCGGGAGCGGTCTTCTCATAGAAAGTTTGAGGGTGCTGAGAATGAGGGCAGTGTCAGATTAGCCAGGGGGCCTTGGGGCTCTGGGGCTCCACGTAGGGAGGTCTCAGTGGCAGGTGAAGCATCATCACTGGGGCAGGCACTGGGCCACGGGCTCACCTGGTGACTAATGGCTGGTAATTTGGTGTGACCAAGCGCCTCCTTGTCTTCCCCCCTCCACGGCCTCGTGTCTCTTTCCTGAAGGCCTGTTATGTCATCCCCTGGGAGGGACCCGCCCACCACGTCTCCAGAGGCAGCACTGGTGGTGAGGACACTCCTGGGTGGAGGCGGGTGACGCCAAAGTGAAAGGAGCAAAGGCCGCCAGAGTTGCCCATAACCGGCGCTGGCCAGGTGTCCGGAGCCCCGCGGCGGCCTCAGCGCAGGGACCGCAGAGGCACAGATGCCGTAGACCCCAGCGGGCACCCTGGCCGGGGCAGTTATTTCCACTTCTCTGATGCTTGAGTTTGTGAATTTGCATGTTGGCTTCTTCCAGTCGACATTTGGCATCTTCAACCAGAGGGACTCACGTGAAAAACTGTCCCATCTCGACAGAACAACAAAGCGTGAGGGAAGCGGAAGTAGCTGCCCTTTCCAGCTCTCGGTGGCAGGCAGGCAGCCACATCCTTCCGAGGTGGGGGCTTTAAGCTGCTCGGGACTTGGGGACAACTGTACTGCCACACAGGAAGTGACCTCTGCATCGGCCTCTGGGTGGTGACCTCATGTATGTGGCATCTGGTGACTTCCGGGAGCGAGCACTGGACTCAGAGTCCCCAAGCCCTGGTGGTAAGTGGAGCCTGGCAGGTCCCGCCACATGTGGTGAGGGCTGGTCCTGACCCCGCCTTTGGACCAGGGCCGGGCAAGTGCCTCCTCACGGTGGCGGGAGGGCTCAAAGGGACTGAGGAGGCAAAGCAGGCGCCCCGGGACATTCATTTCAGGGGGCAGTTTCCTCCTGCACTGGCTCCATGGCCTCAACTACCAGGCCTCAGTGGTCTCATCTATAAAGAGGGTCCCCACAAGCATAAGAGATGCTAACACATAGGGTCCGTCCAGCAAGGATACTGCTGCTGTTTGGGGGGGGCAGTGACAACAGGGCCTGGGGGCCCTGGGGGTTGATGGTGCCTGAAGAGAGCTCCCTGAGAACTCTTCCAGGCACACCCAGGGCCAGGTCGCTGCTGAGCAACTGTCCCCTCCCCACTGGGAGCAGCGCTGGGACAGAAGGGTCAGGCGCATGAACAGGGCCTTTCAGCCTGATCAGGGGAAGGGAGCCCTGGCGGGAGCTGTCACCCCACCCTGCTGTCGGGGGGCTGGGAGGAGACTCTGGGGCAGGGCGACGGGACCATGGAGGCCAGCTTGGTCCTGGCAAGCTGGGTCAAGCTCCTCACAGACTGTGCAGGGCTGTGGGACACTCATGGCTTCCGTTTCCACGTCTGTAACAAGGGCGCGTGGTCGAGGACGTACAATACCCTGTTAAACCAGGGTCACCTCAGCGGCCGTGCACCAAGGGTTAGCACTGCGTGGCGCCTAGCAACTCCTCCGGAGCCCAGAAATGTGAGCCACTGGTTATTGTTGGTTTCGGTGGAGGTGGTGTCACCCCAAAATGTGCTCTCCAGGCAGAAAGCACAGCTCCTGTGGGGAACCAGGCATGGAAAGGGCCTTGAGGTTCCCACTGTTCCTTGGGGAGAAGCTGGGGGGACACAGGACTTACCCAGACAGGAGGGCCGGTGGTCCCGGGCTGCAGCTGAGGCAAGGAAGGCTGCTTTCAGGGGACCTCAGAGGAGGGAAGAGGAGGGAGGCCCCAATATGCTACCTCACACAGTGGGGTGCTGGGCATACCCTTCACCCTCTGAGCCCCCCCTTTCCTCACCTGCCGAAGGGAAGGGATTCAGCTCCCTCTCCAGATCGCTGAGAGGACCTGATGTTATCGCATAGATGTAAGTTCCTGGCAAACTGTGAAGTGCTGTGGGAGGTCTGTGTGGCCACGGTGGGGGTGACACCCCATTTCTCTCTCCAGCCTGTCTGTGCGGCTGTCTGCACGTATCAGGTGGTCCCACGCTGGCCCACCATCTCCCATTGGCCTCCTCAAGATTTGCCAAAAATGTGCACCAGTGGCCTCTTTTCCAAACCAGGGAAGGCACGTAAAAACCCAGGTGTCTGCCTTTTCTGGGAGAATTCTGAAAGCGGGTGACCCTGGGCCCACATCCCTGGCCCTCTGGGTGATCTCGCCCTGTGCCCACTCACCCCTTGCTTGTGGGACCCTGAGTGAGCCCCCGCCGTGGCCTAATGCTGCTGACAGGCAGAGCCTGGGCTTTAAAAGTCAGTTCGCCCTGGGCTCACCCTGGATCCAAAGAGTTGGCTGTGGGACACTGAGTCCCGGCACGCCTCTCGGGAGTGGGATGTGGACCTGGAAAATACACGAGAAAGCCTCTGGCAGACACTGCCCACAGGAAGCGCAGAATGCCCGCGGTGCCTCACGCACTGGGCAGGGCTGCCTGGCGTAGGGCAGGGCTGCCTGGCGTAGGACAGGGGCATTTGCTGGGCTGCAGGGTTCCCGGGGCTGGGTCTGGACTCTCCTGGCGCCCGCGGCCTTGAGAATGGGAGCGGGTCCCTGGGAGTGCTTCGGGCTTGTAGCCAGCAGGGGGCGCCGGCGTGCAGAGCGAGCGCTCAGTTTTCCCAAGTGCATGTTTGGACATGGGCCTTCCTGTCCCTTCCCAGACCCACCAGCAGGTACTTCTGCACATCTCACCTCCCTGAGCCCCCCAGTAACCCTATGGGGAAGGGAGCATTATTACCGATTTACAGATGAGGAAACTGAGACACAGAGAGGTCCAGGTGCGGGCCCGTGGTCAGCAGCTGGGAAGCACCCAGCCAGGGCCAGGTGGTGGCACAGAAGTCGCCCTCCATATAGGGAACCAGAGGGCTGAATCAGGCATGGGGGCTGAGCAGGGCCTGCCCCCTGGCTGGCCTCCTGGAAGATACATCATGAGCTTCAGCTGTTGTTACTGCCCATGGCCAATACGGGGAGAGTGCAGAGAGGAAGGCACCGGAGCAGGGCGGGGCCCCTGCAGGGCTAGATAAGGAGACAGCCTGCTTGGAAGGGATAGGTGTGCGCACAGGAGAAGGGGGTGGTGTCCTGAGAGCCTCCGGAGGAGCTGCACTCTGCCCTCGGGGCCACAACAGGCCACCGGCTGGAGCCACATGTCCACCAACACACTCGCCCTCCTCCCTCTGCCCCAGGCCGGCTGCCAGACCCCAGCGCCCCCCCAGCCTCAGCCATGAGCCTCTGGAGGAAGAACCACCTTGGCACCAGCAGCTCCAAGCCCCTCAATGTCATCATCATCGGTGAGTGCTACTGAGGCGGGGCAGGCGGGTAAGGATGGGGGATCTGGGGCAGCTCTGAGCTCCTGGGGTTGGGGATTAGAGGGTCAGGATCCAGGCCCAGTCTTTCTTCACAATTATCTTTGAAATTGGCCCTTGAGCCTTCACTGTGTACCTGGCTTAGTGATGTGTAAAATATTCCACGAAACCCTGCCAAGTGCCTGCCAGTCAAGAACAGAGGATCTGCCCAGGTTGCCCAGCGAGCAGGGCGTGGGGGGCCTGTTCTAAGCCTGAGCCAGCCTGCGCTTACCTGGGCCCAGCACTGGACTCTGTGCCCACAAGAGGGGCCACAGCCAAAGAACGTGGCTCCTGCCCCACTTTTGCAAATGTGGCTCATCCTGATGCTATTCGACTTGATAATAATAATAATAATCTGAACAGCACAAAGTAAGTAAGGGGAGTAGAGAAAGGCTGACCAGAATAGAGGCCATGCCAGGCGCCTCATGGTCCTGGAAGGGCCAGAGGGAAGCAGCACGGTTAGCTTAGATGTAGAGGCAGATGGCCCCCAGGGTGGCGTAAGCCCCCTCCTGAGCACCCATGATCCCCAGCACACAGTCAGCAATAGTCGTCTGGACTGCAGTATTTGACTTGTCTGACCAGTGGGCCTGTAGGCTCTGGGAGGGCTGGACCAATTCCTAGTGATCTTTGCACTGCTGTGTGACTGCAGACAGGTTACTTCACCTCTCTGTGCCACCCACGTCCTCAAGTGTAAAAGGAGGAAAAGAGAGTGGCAAGTGGCAGATCCCTGACTAATTATTGGGAACGCACAGTAGGCTAATGTGTGCACCCCAGGCCTTCATTTGGGTGGGGCCTGCAACAGAACCACGAGTTCAGTTCATGATTATTCTATTACTAAAAGTACTTGAGCCAAAAGCTTGGCACCTAGGAAGCCCTCGGCAAGTGCTGGCTGCCATCCCCACCACTTTTTTGTTGGTGAAGCAGCTCAGCTCCAGACACGTGGTAAGCCCTTGGGGGTTGATCTCACATGCTCCCTGCCTGGCACAGCCACAGGAGGCAGTGATCTCTGGCACTCGGGGCCCTGCTCTCTCTGACGCCCACCTTCTCTCCCCAGGCAATGGGCCCTCGGGCATCTGCTTGTCCTACCTGCTCTCGGGCTACACCCCCTACGCCAGGCCTGACACCATCCACCCACACCCGTTGCTGCAGAGAAAGCTGGCTGAGGCGCCCGGCGTCTCCATCCTAGACCAGGTGCGCCCCATTCCGGGGACTCTCTCCCAGCCTCCTGAGACAAAAGTGCACACCCACGTTTATTAATGGCAGGCAGGAGGCCGAGTTATCTGCCACAGAGCTGGTGAAAGAGAACCGGCTGATGCCCCATCCTCTGGCCCCACCGGTTTTCCGCACCAGTGCTTCTGAACCGGGACAGGGGGTGGGGATTTTGCTCTTCAGGGGATCTTTGGAAGCTGGAGACAATTTTGGGTGTCACAACTAGTGCGGTGGGACCACTGGCTTATAGAGACTAAGGCCAGGGCACCTAGTCAGCTTGCAGGGCCCAGGACCTGGCTGAGGGAATCAGCTCCACTCCCCCAACCCCACAAGCTGACCAACCCTCCAAGCCCCGGGAGGCCACCCGTGTCCACCCCCTAAACCCACCCCAGCGGGCAGATAGCCGTTGGTCCAAAAGGTGGTTTAAAAAATGCCTTCTCTGGGCCTTTGCTCCTCGGTCGAAGGTGCACAGAAAGGTTCCTACCGGCAAGTCGGGGGGACACTGGGTTTGGCAGAATCAGGCAGGTGAATGGCACGTCAGCCTCGAACTGGCCCACGGCACTGCGTGCAGAGTGGCAGGCTTCCTGGGCTGCGGGACCAGCAGGACCAGCAGGACCAGCTCAGGGTCCCAGGCCCGCAGCCCTCCTGAACTGCGCCCCTCTCAGGACCTGGATTACCTGTCAGAAGGACTGGAAGGCCGCTGCCAAAGCCCCGTGGCCCTGCTCTTCGACACCCTCCTGCGCCCGGACACAGACTTTGGGGGCACCATGGAGTCTGTGCTCACCTGGAAGTTCCAGAAGGAGCGGGCCATCCCACATGTGGTCCTGGGCCGGAACCTGCCTGGGGGAGCCTGGCATGTGAGTGGTGGCCCCGAGGTGGTGCAGCGGGGTGGGCCAGTCCCGCCCAGATTCCCTCTCTTATTCCCCCTGAGGTGGGGTCGGGACTCTTCCATGCGCCCCTCCTCTGTGCCCACTTCCCCTTGCCCCGCCGGCCCCAGCCCGCGTGGTTGGGCTCAGCGGGGCCTAGAACGCACGCCCGTCTCCTGCACAGAATATTGAAGGCTCCATGGTGACCCTGAGCCAAGGCCAGTGGATGGGGCTCCCTGACCTGCAGGTCAAGGACTGGATGTGCAACAAGAGAAGGTAAAGTGGTCCTGCCCGCCCAGCAGGGTAGGGGAGACCCGCGCCCGCCCCCAGGCTGAGCCGGAGAGCGAGAGGTGAAGAGCCGCAGGCCTGCTGCTCTGGGGGTGGGGGAGGCTGAGGCTTGGGGTGGGAAGGACTTGTCCAGGGCCTCAGGGGTATGAGAGGCAGAGCTGGGCTGGCCAAGACTCCCTGTCCAGCCTCCTTGGGGTGCCTGGTTCCTCTGGCTCAGGCTCCCCAGTATTCTTTTCTCCCTGATTTGGAGCTGGGCCCGGACAGTCCTTTTCCTTCTAGGTCAGCGGATAGGATGCTCCTCCTCTTTTTCACACTTTTGCACCAGAAACACAACTACACCACAGAAACTTGACAGTTAAGACAGCTCATCCCGCCCCACACCTGTGCCCGCTGCTGTGCGTCTCGGGATCTCTCTCCCCCTTTCTTCCTGTGGCACCAGCACTACACCCCGCACCGCACCCCCTGCCGGCCCCTGGAGAGAGAGAGGAGAGTCCCTGCATCTGTGAGGTCCACCCCCACCCCCCCCAGCAGTGAGCCCAGACCTGCCCTGGCCACAAACCCGTCTCCCCCTCGGGGCTCAGTCTCTTTGACTCAGAAACTTCTTGTCCCTGCTAACTCGGCAGGACGGCGTGCAGGCTTGCGTGTGATGGGTTCCCGGCAGACAGGTGCAGCGCCCGTGTACACCTGCCCTTTTTCCCTCCGCTTTTCCAATTTAATGTGCACGTCCCGTGCGCGCGCGCATCCTCGCCTGCTTCCTCCTTTTGTGGCCGTGCAATTTCATGCCGGCCTGACAGTTCTGGACTTTTTTTTTTTTGAGGTAACATGAATTTATAGCTGTGTTGGTTCCAGGGGTACATTTTGTCACCACACCCTCCAGCAAATGTCCAGTCACCACCCCACACCGACCAACAGTTCCCTTCTACCCACTGCCCCCCCTCGTTCCCCTCTGGAAACCCCACTCTGTTGTCAGAATCTGAGCTGGTTATTTTTGTCCTCTTCACATTCCACCAGTGAGACCGTTCGTTTTTGTCCTTCTCCTGATTTATTTCACTTAGCATCACCCTCCAGGCCCATCCGTGTTGTTGCAAATGGCAGCCATCCTTTGACATGGCCACATACTACCCCCTCAGGAAGGCCAGCATTGCCCTTGAACATGACCTTGGATACACCACTCCAAAGGTGCTGCCTGTCCTGGGGCTTCCGCTCTTTCCAGTGTGCCACCGTCATAAGTAACCAGATTCCCGGAGCCTTTCCAGGACAGTCCTTGAGAAGCTTTCAGTAGAACAGAAGGGAAAGGGAGAAACCCACAGAAATAAGCCCCAGAGTGTCCATTCAGTAGGAGACAGAGGAGTTGGGTTTGCCGGAATGGCCGTGGCGATGAGGGATGAGCTCGTGCCGGCTGGTCATGCTGTGGTCACAGGGATTCTGTTAAGGGAACTCGCCCTCAACAAGCGTCCAGAGGTGGGGAGAGTGACTCAGCCGGGTCACACAGGGGCCAGAGGGAGGCGCTGAGGTCAGGCCAAGCCTGTACCTCTGCCACCAGCAACACTGGCCCAGCTGTCATCACCCCAGAAAGGGCGGCAGGAGCAGTGGGTGGTGGTGGTGATGATGGTGATGGTGGTAACGATGGTGATAGGATGGTGGTGATGGACACCGAGGGCACCGCATGGTTACTGGTGGTGTCGATCAACTTATTTACTGAAATGCAGCCTCCATCCAGGGACGGACACAACCCCTACGTGTTGGGGAAATTTCTTAAAGCGGACACCCCTGAAGTCCAGCCACCACAACCAAGAAATAGATCCCCCATCCCGAGATATGCCCCTGGAACTCTTTCAGTCACCACCACCCCCCACCCCCCCAGGGGGAACCTTGCTCTCAACTCTGCGTCCGCAGGGCCGTGGTGCCTATTCTGAGGCTTTATGCCAGTGGAACCCGCCGTATTGACCTGCAGCGCTGTTTAGTCCTCTGCGGGCATCGTAGCAGGGGCGCCTGCGGCGTGCCACACACTGCCTCGCGTGCCAGGTTCTTGTCTAAGTGCTTCTTTCCCATCGCCTTGCCCAGTCCTCGCCACAGCCGTGTAAACAGGCACCATTTCCATCGTTACCCTCCCCCTGCAAGTGAGGAAACTGAGGCCGAGTTTCAAGCACCTAGCTCACAAGAAGCAAAGCCAGGATCTGAGCCAGGGCCGCCTGTAAAGCGCACCCCCATCAGGCGCCCTCATCACCTCTGTTTTATCAGAGACGAGACTGAGGGTCCCAGAGGTTAACCCATGTGGCCAATCCCCATGGCCGGTAGGTGGCACAGTCACTATCTGGCTCCCCCTGCCCCCGAGTCCTCAACACTCCCACATCCCCTCCTGGCTCTGACATTCACCCTCCGGCATCCCTCCCCGCAGAGGCCTTCGAAACAGCCGGGCTACCGCCGGCGACATCGCGCACTACTACAGGGACTACGTGACCAAGAAGGGCCTGGACGGCAACTTCATGCCGGGCACTGTGGTGACAGCGGTGGAGTGGAGGACGCCTGAGCCCGGCGGCTCCGGAGCCCAGGACTCCGGTCCCCTCTTCCATGTGCGGGGCTTCCTGACCACCGAGGACCAGAGCCACGAGCCCTTCTCCCTGTACGCCCGCAACGTGGTCCTGGCCACAGGCACGTCTGACAGCCCGGCCCGGCTGGGCATCCCTGGAGAGGCCCTGCCCTTCGTCCACCACGAGCTGTCGGCCCTGGAGGCGGCCAGGCGGGTGGGCACTGTGACCCCAACTTCAGACCCCGTGCTCATCGTGGGCGCGGGGCTGTCGGCAGCCGACGCGGTCCTCTACGCCCGCCACTACAACCTCCCCGTCATCCACGCCTTCCGCCGGCCCGTGGACGACCCCGGCCTGGTGTTCAACCAGCTGCCCAAGATGCTGTACCCCGAGTACCACAAGGTGCACCAGATGATGCGCGAGCAGTCCATCCTGTCACCCAGCCCCTACGAGGGCTACCGCAGCCTCCCCGAGCACAGGCTGCTGCTCTGCCGGGAGGACGGCCAGGCCGTGTTCTGCAACCCCCAGGGCCTCCGGAAGGGCTTCTGCGTCTCTCTGGTGCTGGTCCTCATCGGCTCCCACCCCGACCTCTCCTTCCTCCCGGGGGCCGGTGCCCACCTGGCCCTGGACCCTGACCAGCCTCTGAGTGCCAAGAGGAACCCCGTTGACGTGCACCCCTTTACCTACCAGAGCACCCAGCAGGAGGGCCTGTATGCCATGGGGCCGCTGGCTGGGGACAACTTCGTGCGGTTCGTGCAGGGCGGTGCCCTGGCCGTGGCCAGCTCCCTGCAACAGAAGGAGGCCCAGAGGCCGCCCTAGCCCATGGTCCCAGCATCCTCGCACCCAGACCCTAAAGAAGAGGGGAGATCACTGCCGCCCTGCTAGGCACCCCCACAAGGGAAGGAATCCTCTCCTGCAGAAGACGGTGGGGTACAGGCCCACACCGCAGGCCTCTTAGCTGCAGAGGCGTGGGGAACCCTGGCCGACGGCTCACAGACGAGTGCAGAGCCAGAACAGCAGCCTCGGGCCAGGGTGGGCCTAGAACTGCCATTGAGGGGCAAGCTGCCAGGGCGAGCAAGGTTGCCAGGGCCAGCTGAGCATCCAGCCAGGAGGACTGCAAGCTCCATCCTCCCAGGATAGGTCCTGAATAAAACCAGAGCCTGCCTCCACTCACATGCCTGAGGATTCTGCTTGCAGAGGGGGCCTGGCGCCCAGGACCCTGCTCTGGGAGCCAGCAGGGATGCGCAGGGCCAAGTAGGTCTACCATCTGGGGTACCTGGGACACAAGGGATGGTGCCCCAAGTGGGGGAAGCTGAATGTGAGCAAATGAAAGGGGAGCTCTGAAGGTAGCTGTGTGCCAGGAATGGGGTGCTGGGAAGGCTTTCCCAGGCCCTGCTCCCCACCCCTCCAGCCTAGTCCTGGCTCCTGTCCCACTCTCCTCCCCCTACTGTCTCCTTTCAGGCCCTCCAGCTCTCCATGACACTTGCCACAGGACACTGGCGCAGGCTGGCCTCTGGCCCAGGGCACTTTTCCCTCTTTCTACCTCCTCCAGTTCCCTCCCGTCTCTTGGCATAATCCCTGGGTCTCGCAGCATAAACATCGCTTCCTCCAAGAAGCTTCTCAGAACTCCTCCTTGGGTCAGGGGTCAACCCCCTCTGGCGGCCCAAGGTACCACCTCTCCACAGCAGCTCGGTTTCCACTGTTCCTTTACTGGAGTCATTCCAGGGTCTGGCCCTGGCCCCGGGGCCCGCCTGAGTTGCCCGTTGTTGGGCTCAGCCCCAGCTCAGGCCTGGCGCCCCGCGAGCTCTTAGACTGACATTTTTGGACCGAGGGCGGATGGCTGGAGTGGGAGGGGCAGAGGGTGCCTGGGGGCAGAGACGGCTGTGGTCATGGGGTGGTGTCATGGGGTGGGGGGCCCTGAAGGGCGGCAGGGTGGGTGCCCGCAGGAAGGACGGGGAGCGCGGCGCGCGGGCACGGAGGCCGGAGCGCGATGGAGCCTGCAGGGGGCGCTCCGGGCTCGCCGGACACCCGCGCTCCGGCCCCGGGAGCGGCGCCTCGGGTGAGTGGGGGGACCTCGGCGGGAGGGGGGCCGCGCGAGACTTTCCGGGTGGGCACACCCCGGGGACGACACCTCCCTTGGGCCCAGACCCCACCGGCCCCCGCCAGCTGCGCGGCCGCCTCCGCGGACCGGACGGGTCCGGCCCAGGCCCCGCGCCCCCCGGGCAGCCCCCCGCGCCGCGACAGGCCCCGGGGCGTGGGGGGGCGGGCGCAGCACGTGGCTCGGGGTCCGGGCGGGGACGCCCCCCCGCCCCCCGCCCCCGCGGGCTCCCCCGGCGCCGGCCCGTCCCCGCGGTGGCCGCGGCCGCGGGGACGGCGGCGGGAGGCGGGGCGCGCGGGCGGCGCGGGCGGCGCGGGGAGGGGGTCGCGGGGGGCGGGCCGGCCGGCCGGGCGGGGGTCGGCGGCTTCCGGGCGGCGGCGGCGGGCGCGGCGCGATGTGCGAGCGGGCGGCGCGCCTGTGCAGGGCCGGCGCGCACAGGCTGCTCCGGGAGCCGCCGCCGCAGGGCCGGGCGCTGGGCGGGCTGCTGCGCTGGGTGGGCGCCAGGATGGGCGAGCCCCGGGAGCCGCCGGCCCCCGCCGCCCCCGCCGCGGACCCCGGCCCGGGCCCGCGCCCCGCCTCGCCGCACGGGGGCACCGCGGTCATCCTGGACGTGAGTACGCGGCCCGCGCCCCGGGCCCCGCTTCGCCCGCGCCCACCCGCCGCCGCGCGCCCGGGCGCGGAGACCCCTGCGCGGCGACCCGCCAAGCCCCCTCCCGCCGGGGCCCGCCAGGACCCACCCCCGGCCGGAGAAGCCGACGCCGCGCTCCACTTCCCGGGGTCCCCGCCTTCCGGAGCCGGGACCCGGACACCCCGCCCGGCCGCCGCCCGCTACTTTGGTCCCGGGCAAACCCTCGTCTTCCTCCCAGCGCGCCCCTGGCCCTTCGCGCGCCCGCCCCGCGGGGTCTGCGGGCCCCGAGCGCTACTTTTCTGACCCCCCGCCCCCCACTGGCTCCCAGCCCACACCCGCGTTTCGCTCCTGGCGCGGAGCCTGGTCGTGTCATCCCCGAAGCCCCCTTCCCTCGCCTCCCCTTCTTTGAAAGTGAAGACCTCGCCCCCCCTCGCTCCCCTTTCCCTTCCCACGGTGCTGGACCCCACCTACCACCCCCCTGAACCTGGACCCGCCCGGGGTCCCACCAACAGCCCCACTCACTGCTTGTCCACTCCCTGCCCCACCTCCCGGCCCTTCCCGCCCTAAACCGCCCCCTGAGAAGCCCGCCCCCCGCCCCCCGCCCCCCCCCCCAGGGCGGGAGAAGCTTTCCCCGTGGAGCCGAGGCTGGGGGGGCGCGGAGGGGCTTCGTCCTGGCTGCCCCCAGTGACAGCGGGAGGGTGGGAGGTGCATGTCACCGTGAGCGTCTCATGAAGGGCGGGGTGGGGTGGGGGCTCACGCATGTCAGAGGTTCCTGGAGAGGTGTGTGCACGCATGTGTGCGTGTGTGTGTGTGTGTGTGTGTGTGTGTGTGTACTCCCCACACGCCCCTGGGATGTGGGCGAGCGAGCACTTCCTCTCTCTTCCCTGCCTCTCTCCTGGAACCCCTAGGGCGCGGGGCACTGCCAGGGCAGGGGGCTGTGCTGTGGGTGCTGGTCGCCAGACACCTGGACAGCCGCACCCTCTCTCAAGGCCCCAGCAGACTTCGGGGCTGAATGCTCGGGCTGCTGGGTGTGTAGACCCAGGCTCGCCCTTGCAGGGCAGCCCTGTCCAGACTGTCCCAGAGAAGGAGGGGGTGGGCCCCCCCCCACCAGGCGGGCAGGCGCGGGACCTGAGCCTCCAAGTCCTCATCTGTGAAATGTGCCCATGGGCAGCGGCCTCAGCGCCCCACCAGCTGAGGTCCTGCTGTTCACTTGGTTGCCACTCTCCCAGGGCAGGCATCCGGGGGGAAAAGCACCCCTTGGGGGCCCCTCAAGGAGCATTTCCATCCAGAGCAGAAGCGTGGGGTGCCTGGGCCGGGTCTTGGCGGGGGACCTGAGGTGGTCTTTTGCCCCAGCAGAGGCGCTCTCCGATTCCCCAGGTGGGATTTCAGCGAAGGGAGCGAAGTCCTGTTTGCGAAGCCCTCCCTGAGCTGCTGCTTCAGTTTGTTGCACCCCCAGGTGCCACCCAACACTTGGAGGGGTCTGGGAAGGAACAAGGAGGGGTGGCATCTCCCTCTTCCCATCAGCGTGGCTGACCTGGTGCCCAAATGCCAGGACGAGCAGTTCTGTGGTCTCAAGTTCAGTTTGTGGGTTGGGGGGACTGCCTCCCCCGGCCCGACCCTGGTCTGCACCTGGCTCCCTGCGCTCCTGCTTCTACCCACTCCCCCACCCCAAAGTAACCCCGTGCTGCCCATGATGGTCCTGGGGTCAGCCCCCAAGGTTCCCTTAGCAGACACCCACCTTCCTGGAGAAAACTGGGGCTCCCCAGGGGCTGTGGTTGGGGCGGCAGTGTAAGGCTCGTGGCCATGTCCATGGACACTAATCTCAGCGGGTGGCGGGTGAAGCCGCGGGGCCCAGGGCTCTGGACGAGCGCATGAGCGGGCGTCCCTGTGTGTCTGTCAGCACGGCGTGGGCAGGTGGCGGCGCAGAGGGAGAGTGGGCGGCTGCTTCTGCGGCCGGGCAGCTGCCAGGGCCTCTGCCTGGAGATCCCTCCCCCACCCCTGCCTCCCGCTTGGTGGGGGGGGGGGCTGCTCCTCTCTGGGGAGGATGAAGGGGGGCTCAGCGGGGTGGGACCTCAGTGTCCCCCGGCTGACAGGACCTTTCTTCTTTGCAGATTTTCCGCCGGGCAGACAAAAATGGTGAGTTACCCTCCGGGCTGTGCGCTCGAGTGAGGGCTTGGCTCTCCCTGTCCTGAGGCATCAGTAGGCAGGGTCAGCACTAGCCACAAGGACACCCTGGACCTGAGGGACAAGAGCACAGGAGTCTGAAGTCAGAAGACTTTGTGCCTCAGTTTCCCCATCTGTAAGGTGGGACTCCTGCAGATCCCACATAGTAGGGCTGCCGTGAGGTCGGTGAGTTGACGTCTGTGCGGACAGGACTGGCTGTGCAGGAACTGCGTGGGGCACTTTAGCCTCATGCAACAGGACTGGGTCAGTGCACCCCAGGGGGGCCCAGAGACCCCCTTAAAAGAAGCCCCAAGCTCACTCTAGGCCCTTCCAGCCCCTGGCACACTTCCTCTGCACAGCAGCCTCAGGCAGTGCTTTGATCCTGTTTTATCAGCTTCACAGTGGCCCAGAAAGGTTAGGTGACTTGCCCAAGGTCACCCAGCAGGATGGCCAGAGAGGCTGTGCTGCAGGCCCACCGTGCTTGGCCCCATGCTAGGCAGCCATCTGACAACGTGACAGCACGTCGTCGTTGTGCCGAGAATTCATGACATGCTTCTCCTGACTTCCTAGGAAGGCTCCACCCTGTGAGGAAGGCCCGCGTGGGCCTCACGGTGGTGACAGGCTTCTGCATGTGCTCGGTCATGCCTCTTTGTGTGTGTCTAGTACTCTTGCACCCAAAGCAACTCTCTGTGGACTTTAAGCAAACGTTGCCTCTCCAGGCCTCAGTTTACCCATCTGTGAAGGGGGGTAATAATATTAATCTGTCTGCTTCCCTGGGGTTTTGGGAAAAATCCAGGGAGATGTGGGTGACAAGCTTTGTAAAGAATCAAGAAGTCAGCGTTTCTTCGTTCATTGAGAAAATACTGCTTGAGTGTCACGGCCCAGGCTGGGGAAGGAGTGGGGAACAGATGACCTGGTACCCCTGGGGCCCTTGGGTCCCAGCCGCTCTCCTGTGGAGCCAGGAATTCAAGATGGCAGCTCTAGCCCTGGCGCCTGCAGCCCCTCCCCTCCCTCCTTGTCCCTGGGAGTCACTGTGGGCCCTTCTTCCCCCACGGAGTTGGGGGTGGAGAGTGAGGCTGGGGTAACGGAGGGGCTTACAGCCTGGGCAGAAAGTCAATGCCAGGGGTCTCCCTCTCAGACCCTCATCCCCGGGGTGAGGGAGAAAGACCCATCCGCGGCTCTCCGTGTGGAGCAAGGCGGGGTTTCCTGGTGCTGGAGAAGTGCTGGGGCTTTGAGGTTTGCACAGCACAGAGATAGGACATGGCGTGGGGGGGCCCCATGAGGGTTCCCAGAGTCTCTGTTCACCCAGGAGGTCATTCCGGGTGGGAGTTCGGGCTTGTCCCTGTGTGCTGGTCATGGTGCCGAGTGGCAGCCTCTGTGCCCGCCGCTGCGCACACGAGTGGGTGTGTTCCTGGCGGCGGGCTGTGTGGGGCCCTTTGCTGTGTGTGCACATGAGCTCCTGCGCGGGTGGGGACCCCCTCAGACACAGGAGGTTCCCTCGTCTTGTTCCATGCCTGCCCCTGAGCACAGCTGCGGGAGGACCCCAGCTTTGCTCCCGCGGCCCCCACACCGGCTGAGCTTGCTCCCCTTCCTGGAGCCTTAGCTCAGTCCAGCCCCCTCTGAGCGGCCGTGGGCTTGTGGGGTTATCACCGGGGTGGATGCGGGTCTTCCATGCAGGTTCCGGGAAAGCTGCCCTGGCCCGCGGGAGGACACTAGGCCTTCTGTCACGGCCGCTGCCTGCGTGCCCCCAAGCACCCAGGTCTGACCCAGTCATGTATGGGCTCTGACCTCAGCCAGTAGGGTCCTAGGTTTCCCCATTTTTAAGTGGGGCTAATACTCCCCCCGCAGCCAGGGCTAGGGAGTGCAGCCCCAGGCTGGCCTGCAGGACCCCTCCCCCCCCCACCAGCTGCTGAGTCCTGAGCACCCCTGCACCTTAGCAAGACCCTCTGGTTGGATTTTACTGTGATCCTCCAGGGATGAGCAGAAGCACCCCCTTTTTGGAGCGGACAAGCAAGGCCAGGAGGGGCAGAGAGATCACAGACCCCCAGGGGGGGAGCGGTGCAGACGGGTTCAGCACAGCACAGCTGACAGTATGGGGGAGCCAGGAGCCAGTGTGGATACGGACAGCTGCACTGAGGCGTGCACATACACACCCCCCCCTCTACTTGCCGGCCCCGCCCCAGCATCCACAGGAGCCGGAGGGTGGGGGGAGAGGCGGGGGTGGGGGGGGAGGTGGCGTGGTCTCTCGTGTGATCACTGGCCAGGGGCCCAGACTGGCCTGCCCTGCTGGCTCCCTGAACAGAGACCCCCCGCAGGTGGAGCGCCGGCGTGGCTGCAGCTGAGCGAGGGCCCCCTGGCAGCACCGGTGCCCGAGGAGGCGGGTGCCAGGCTGCGTTTCCCTCCAGGGAGCGGACACTCACAGACTCCTGGCATTTGAAAGGTCGCGCAGAGGCTGAGCTCAGGCCAATTAGCGGAGACCCCTGCGAAGGCCAGGCTCGGGGTCCTGGGCGGAAATAGAGGTGCAGGCAGCTGGACTAATTGGACAGAGGCCTGGCTCGGAGGTGTTGTCTGGCTCATTAGCTGGTCTGCGGTGACGCAATCCAGGTCCCCGTGGCCGCGGCTCTGTGGCTCTGTGCGGGGAGTCCTGGCCTCTCTGCTGCTCCTGCGCGCAGACAGCAGGGCCCGGGGCCGGACTCCCTGGCCCAGACATGCCGGTGCCTTGCGGCATCCACCTCCCTTCTCCCCGGCTTCCTTGAGAACATGGCCTTGGGAGGCTTACACTGCCGCTCTGTGCCTCAGTTTACCCCTCTGAGAAATGGGGGTGCTCGCGCTGCCTGTGACGGCAGGAGGGTTGAATTGCAGGTCGGCCTCGACGCTGCCCTGGGTCACAGCTGAGAACATGTGCCTTGGGGGGGCTGGGGCTGGGGGGGGCGCTGGCTTGAGGGGAGAAGATTGTTTTTGAAAATTACAGATTCTTTCTCCTTCTGTGACACTGAAACCTGACCCTGGATGTTGGAGACAGGGTGGGAAGGCGCCTGCAGCGCCCCCACACCCCGGCTCCCTCCCTCCCTCTCCCAGCTGCTGGGAGGGAAGCCGGACAGAGGCGAGCGTCTCCCAGTCGGGAGCTGCTCCTCGCGTGCCTCTCCGAGTCCCCGCTGAGCTGCTGGGGCCCTCGGAATGCACGAGGCCTCCCGCCCAGAGCTTGAGGCGCCCTGCCCAGGGGCAGCGCCAGAGACAGGAACGGGGCCCCTCAGCGGCTGTCTGCGCTCCGCTCCCGCCTAAGTGCCCCGACCCGGGCCGCGTCCCCTCCCACCCCCACCAGGAAGGGGCTTCCCGCCCTGGGGGCTCGCAGGAGCTTTGATGACAGAAGCAATGGAAGGTGCTTGGCCAGGAAGCCCCCCCACCCCACCCACCTCCGTCTCCCACCGAGGTGGCGCCTTTAAGGACATTCCTAGGGGCTTCGGGAAGGGGCGGGGGCTGCGGGGGGCGGGGGCTGGAGGGCGCCCAGCCCGGGGCGAACCAGGTGAGAGCAGCTGAGTTGCCAGCCCGGGCTCTGCTCCCCTGAAGTCACGTGTTCGGAGCACCCCATCAATCGCCGGTCTGGTCCCCCCTTCCACGACCCAGGACACTCTTCCCCAGCAGATCCTGGGGCCCAGCAGGGAGCGAGTGGAGAGGTGAGGCGTGGGGGGCGTGGGGGGGCAGGCCTCAGCGGGGAGGCCCATCCTGTGAGCCCGCTCCCTCCGCGGCGCACAGGGGCAAGGGCAGTGCTGGGCCCCGGCCGCGCCTGGCACCTCCTTCCCCAGCGGCTTGGCATCCGTGGCGAGCTGAGAACTGCGAGCGCCGAGCTGTGGCCTCTGGGTGGGCCCAGTTCGCTTTGCAGCTGAGGCGGCCAGGAGAGGGCCGCGGGGTGGGTGGGAGAGGGTAAGCGCAGGGTAAGCGCAGGGGACTCCGGGCAGGGGGCACGAGGGGTGGTCTGCGCTCGCCGGCTCTGGACCCCGCGCTTCCAGGCCGGCGGCGCCTGAGGGGGGCCGGCCGCAGGCAGCGCCCGGGGAGGGTGGGGCAGGGAGGAGGCCCAGGTGCGCCTGCTGGTGGGCCGGTCATCACCATAACGAGCCGCACCTGGCGCCGGGGCCGGGGAAGAGCTGTGAGAATTCGCCGGGGTCGCCCTGGAGCGGTGCGGGCCTTAGCCGCGCCCCGGCATTATCTGCGAGTGGGTGCACCTGGCAGCTGGGGGCGGAGCAGGGCAGGCCCGGGTGATGGACCTGAGCCCGCATATCCCTTCGCTGGGGCCCTGGCCCGGCAGCCAGAGGGGACCCCACTAGAGCTCAGCCGCAGGCTGGGGAGTCGCCCTTGTCGGGGCCGCCCTCCCTGCCACCCCGAGTCCAGCGCCCCGCTCCTGCCCTTGCAGACGACGGGAGGCTGTCCCTGGAGGAGTTCCAGCTCTTCTTTGCAGATGGCGTCCTCAACGAGAAGGAGCTGGAGGACCTCTTCCACACCATCGACTCGGACAACACCAAGTGAGCCCGCCCCGGCGCCTCCCTTCTTGCCCAGCGTCCCGTCTGCACGTTCTGCTCCCCAAACCCCAAACTCTTGAATCCAAACATCAGTTCTCGCCAGTCCCCGCCAGCCAGGCGATGTCGGACGGGTGGGGGCAGTGCGGGGAGACCCCCTTGGCTCAGCCTTTATGACAAGTTGTCTTTTCTGAGCCCCCGTGGCTGAGCAGAACCCCAGGTTCTGCAGAGTATATACAGAAATGAAAATGGGGTGCTCCCTTCTGCCTCAGGCTGCTTCCCCCATGTCTTGAGTTTCCTGCTGGTCCTAACCCCACCTCTCTGAGCTGGGTACCGCCTCTAGCAGACCAGGCCCCAACCTGAACCCCTCTTCTCACTGTGCCTCAAAACCCTGCTCTGCACCTTGGGTCAACCCAAAACTCCAGCTCTACCCACCCTGAAACTATTCCAACTCTGCCACCCTCCCCAACCTTACTCCAGCTTGCCCTAGGCCCCTTGGCCACCCCACATCCGGGTACCTTCCTCAGTTCTCTCAGGTGAGGAGGATGGGGGACTCACAGCAACTTTGATACCTTGGGGTCCCTGAGACTGGCTATACGTGGTCTGGACTAGGCTGCCCCCAGGCCTGGGTACAAAGGACATGGAGGCACCTTGGCCAGAGATTGGGCCTGAGAGAGGCCTGGGAGGCTCAGATGGGGCACAGGGTGGGGGACACGAGGCTTTGTCTGGGGAGAAACAGCTTCCCCCATACTCCTTTGAAGGAAGGAATTTCTGGAGCCAGATGGAGGTTTGTGACTGGCTCCTGCGGCCCCCTGGGGAGCGTTGAAAGGGCAGAAGCAGGTGCCCCTGGATTTAGTCACTGATCTATTCATTCTCCTTAGGTGCCTTTTGTGTGGGGCCTGCTGGGTAGGAGAGGAGGAGGGAGAGCCAAGTGATAGCATCTGGGCGTGGGGGCGGGGAGGGAGGCCTTCAGAAGGTCAGCAATCCTTTCGGGGCTGCTCGGCCAGCGTCCCCAGGTGTGGGCAGTAAACACCAGCCCCCGGGCCCTCGGCAGGCGGCCTGGCCTGCCTCAGCACACCTAGCTCGGGAAGGTCAGTGAAACGCTACTTTCAGCAAAATGAGGCATCAGCGCCTGTGCTGTGCGTGTCGGGAGCCCTTTGAGCTGAGCTTGCAGAGCCTCAGAACCCAGATTTATTTGGTTGGGGGGGGCCTTTTCCCAGAGGCAGCTTGCGGAACCCAGGAGCCATCCCCCCAACATGCCAGCCCCTGTCTCTCAGCGAGGGACCAGCACTCGGAAGGGTCAGGTCCCTTGGTGGGTGCCTGCCCCCCACAGCTCACCATCCATCTGCTCTGGGGCCTTCGGCACCCCTCTGGCACTTGGCTCCTCCACGCTGCAGGAAGGGAGATTTAGAATCTGGGCTGGGGCAGGAACAAGGGGGGCTGTCTCTGGGCTCCCAAGACCCAGCAGGCAGGGATGTGGGGGGAGAGTTCTTTTAACGGCCTGACGCCACCCTCTGTCTCATTTCCCGGGCCCCGGGCTGAGCCCCATCCTTGCTGCTCCTCACGATGAGCCTGGCAGACCCTGGGAACGGGAAAGCGGGGTCAGTGGCGAGGTGATGGGGTCAGGCAGACATTACGAGGGCGACACCCTGTCCCACCTCGCTCTCATCTGTAAATCAAGGCTGGGGGCACCAATGGCCCGATAAAAGGTGGCACAGCCGGGTTGTATCCCCTGTGGGGGGCTGTGTGAGAGGGGCATGAGGTGGGGGGCAGTCAGCCAGCCTGCCCCTGAGTCCCCCTCGTTCTCTCTCTTTAGCCACGTGGACACCAAGGAGCTGTGTGGTAGGTGCCGGGCTCTGCAGGGGCCGTGCTTGGGGGTTGTCACGGGGAGCTGGGGCTGGGGGGAGGAAACGCAGGCCAGAGGGGCGGGAGGGCAGGAGGGCCAGCCCAGGGGGGCCACAGTTTCAACCCCTGATCGTTGCTTTCCCCTCCCCAGATTACTTTGTGGACCACATGGGGGACTATGAGGACGTCTTGGCCTCCCTGGAGACCTTGAACCACTCTGTCCTGAAGGCCATGGGCTACACCAAGAAGGTCAGCAGGTGTGGGTCGCCCCGGGGGTCAGGGCCTGAGGGCTGATTTGGTTCCAGATTGCCCGGGGGCGTCCACTGCAAGGATGCCTGGATGTGTGATAAGTGTCAGGTGGGCCTGGGCTGGGCTTTACTTGGGGCTCCTAGAGGAAAGCGGGGATCCATGTGAACAGCCCCATAGGCCGGTGCCCGGTGCGGAGCAGGCAGGCCTTTCCCAGAATCAGCTGTGATCCTGGAGTGGAGTTCTAGAAAGAGCGGCAGCCCTCGGGGTTCCGGGGACAGGTGTTGTGCCCGCCAAGCTCACATCCTCTGCCGAGGCCACTAGTCGGCTGGGGCAGGGAGGGGGCAGGCTGGTGGGCCTGACCTTGACAGAGGAATCCGCTGGTGCCTGTGGGAGACCGCCAGGCAGGCAGACCTGAGCTGACGGTGGAACCTTCAGCAGTGTTGGTGGGGACCCCATGCAGGGACCCCCTTAGTGTCCTGGAGAGAGGTCTCTGGCGTGACGTCACCTCTGTGCGTTCAGACTGGACGGGACTCGGGGCCGGGAGCTGGCACCTGGCGTCGGCAGCGTGTGCCCTCTGCACCGGCAGGCAGCCCATCCGCCGCTGCCTGCAACCCACACTGGGCCTTGGCTTCTGGGGTGCGGGGGGCAGGCATGGCTTCTCGGCGTCCACAGAGAAGAGGCACAGGAGGTGTCCCAGGTGACATAGCTGTTTAATCCTCTTGGAGACGCCGTAGTGGCTTCTGTCCCACCCCCACCTCACAGACATGGGAGCAGGCTCGGGGGCGCCCTGCAAAGTTGTAGTGAGACAGCATAGCCTTCAGCTGCAGTGAGGGGGGAGCTGCGTCAGGCCTGGCGTCAGCCAGCCAGGAGTGGGACAGCTGCTGGGACACACCGGAGGGACTGGGAGTGGGCCTCTTCGATGCCCACTGTTTCTCTCAGGCCTGGCTGCGGGGTGCGAGAAGGCCTGCCCAGCCCCCCGGGTGAGTTCAGGCAGCAAATCCAGGAGGGTCAGCCAGGCCTGCTGCAGGACCCACACCCCTTGCCACACCCCCTCCCTGCCTCAGCCTCAGTTTCTCCATCTGAGGAGTGGGAGCTTCACCTACAGACCTGAGGGGGCGCACAGGAAGTGCAGTCTAAGCTGCTTAGCACAGGGCCGGGACCCAGCCAGTGCGCTGCTAAGTTGGTTTTGTTTTCTCCTTCCCCCAATGAGAGTTAATAACCAAGAAACCAAACACAAATTTTTACAAGTTCATGTCCTTGATTTTTTTTTTTCGTTTAAAATTATGAATCCAAAATGTTGCCAGGAACACAAACCTCAAACACGAATAGAGCAAGCCAAAGAGCAGCACCAGACCAAACCAAACTCATTAAAAATGGACAGACACCGCCGAGCCGCGTGGACGAAGCTGAGGAGTCTTTCATCCTCTTGTCCCGCCCCGTGAGGACTTCTCAAAAAAATCACGTGGGAAAAACAAAGGCCTCCACGTGGCAGGGTGGGGTCTGTCCATCCCGAAGCATGGTCCCCCAAAGTAGACTCACTGGCAGGTCTTTTTTTTTTGGTATTTTTTTTTTAATTATTAGACTCCACTGTCCAGACACAGGGCAGGCCAAGTGGGCAGCGTCAGATGCTGCTCAGTTCAGCCTGGCCCCGCAGTAAAGAACCTTCCGGCGCGCCCAGCAGTCCCCGGCCCTGCCTCAAGAGCCCACATTTCCCCCTCCGCCCTCCCCTCTTGCTGTGGAGATTTACTGTCTCCTGTGACTCTCCCTCTGGAGGTGACGGTGGGGTGTTCTGTGAGGGTGTGGCTTCGCAGGGACCAGGGCGCACCCAGCCTGCAATGGCCCAGACAGGGTTTCCCCAGCCCCACTCCCGGGTGTGCAGGCGCCTCTGCCACCTGAAACCTCCCTCCTGAGCCTGTTCTCCCCTCCTTGAGCGGCCTCCCCGCCAGGGGTCAGAGGCGGCAGCCTCTCTGCTGGCTTCTTGGCCTCAGGTCTTGGCTGGTCAGAGGCGACCTTCTCTGTGGGGGAGGGGGTGGGTTCCCGGCCCTGGGCCTGTGCTGGAGATCTCACACTTGTGATCCCAAACCGGGGTGCCCTTCACCCCCAGGGATGCGTGTTGCGCTGCAGGGCTCACTGGGTGGACCGAAGTCAGCACTTGTTTTTCTAGCTAGTCTGACTTTGTAGAAAGGCAGCTCGTGGGTGATGATTTCAGATGCTCTCCTTGCACGCCTTGGCTGTAGGCGACTGTGAGGTCCCCTTAGCATCCTGTCACCCTGACTTCTCAGGTTCTAGAACTTTCTCAAGTTCTAGAACATTAGAACATCGGCCCCGGCGGGGATCTCCTTGTTGGCTCCCGACGCTCAAGGCCTCACTCTTACGCTTCTGCACCGATGACAATATTAATATCACCTCCTAGTTCAGAGTCCTCTGAGCCCGTTACAATAATACTTTTGCATTCTCTTTGTTAAATTTTCTCTTAGGAGGTGGTAGTGAATTTTCCCAAAATGCCTCTCTGGTATTTTCGCATGATCATATGATTTTTCTTAAGCTATTGATGGGGTGGATTCTATTATTAGCTCCTCTCCAATTGAACAACCGTTAGCTTCCTGTGATCAGCCCTAATTGTCGCATTACCGTTTCATCACGTTGCCTCCAGAAGCCTCTCGTTGCGGTCCCTAACGGGAGTTGAGGCTAAATTGTAGTTGGGGCTGAATTGTGAGGTGGTTTTGAGTATTTTCTGCACGTGATTTGACCTCTCCAGCATAGTCATTTTTCTCTTCAAAAATGAAATGTTTCCATAATATCTGGGGCCAGGAACAGAACGATCCATCCTAATCAAGACTTTGCCTTTTTCTGTCCATTTTACTAAGGCTATTTTAGTCTACTCAGTAGGTAAAATGGCCGCAGACATGTTCAGTTTTAGAATCAATTCTGCATGGTAGGTTGTTAAAATGAAAAAAAAAAATCTCAGACGTGCCTTGACACACCCAGGCACTGAGTGCAGGTTAAATGGGATGAGACATCGCTCCTCACTCAGGCCCAGGTTAACACTTGTCCCATTTGCTTCATTTTAATGCCTTCTATTTGGCAGCCTTTTGCCTGTTTTAATTAGTAGTTTCTAATAACTAGCTCCTGACACTTTAATAAAATTTCACAACATGCTTCCCACAGCGTAGTTTTCTTTTTCTTTTTTTTTTTAATATTTATTTATGCATACAAGAACTGGGGTACAAGCCAGAGGTGTGGGGGTAAGAGGATTCACCAGAGACAGAGTGGGGAGCAGAACAGGCAGCTCCACTGAAATACACTGCTGAGGGGAGCAGTAGGGGAGTCAGGAGAGGTCTGCTGCGCCATGTGGGTAACTCCCTGGCCGGGGATCGAACTTACGCTGCAGTGGCTGCAAATAGCATCATAGGTTGCGTCTTAACCCCTTGCGCCACCAGGGAGGCCCCAGAGTGTAGATTTCATCATTGTTATCCCCTTTGACTTAGGTTTCTTGTTGTCCCTAATGCTTTACACAGATGAGATGGATTGCTTCCCTTTTTTGGATTAAAAAAGCCGTCTTTGATATTTTTATGGCCACCTTAGATTTCCTGTGTGGCATTTCCCCTCTTGCTCTTTCTCCACCAGCTCGTTCTGTTCTCCGTTCTCACTTAATTGAGTTGATTAAAGCAGATGGCCAGTGAGGTTTCCACGGCTGTTTTCATATGTGGAGATTTCTTGTTTGTGTTGCTGGTTTCTGTCATGGTCTCCTGGTTGCGTGAGAAGACGTCGCTCAGACTTTCAGAATATGAACATTGAAAACAGCTCTCCTTTCTTAGTTTCAAAGCCTGTGCTGCTGAATGACAGCTTTGCAGAAAGCCAGATTGTATCTCTTGGACCATATGAAAGGTGTGTGTGCCAAAGATGTTGGCGAGTAGTGTGAGAAGCAGTGACATGCCCCTGTGAGCTCCCGGGACAATTCAGACAGCACAGGTGTGTCACGCAGGTGGCAGCCGGGGATTCTGCTGTGGATTTATGAATAAAGGCAGAAGTAGCCACCATCCCCAGCAACAGCCTAATGCATCCTCCTCCACCACATTCACCTGACCACTTTTCTGTGCCTACGAGTCTTAAAAGTGGCTCCCAAACCAGGAAAGACCCTGCTGCCCCAAGTGGTCATTGCACAGGAGCCCCAACCTGTCATGACCTCTGCCCATTTTAGGGACAGTCACATTTTCTTGACTGCACCTTTGCTGGTTGTTATTGTGTAGTTTCTGTCCCATGGGGCAGCAATGAGCTAATTTCTCAGACTGTGTTTTGTTGGAGTACTACACAGCTGTGAAAAAGATTAAATAGTGGCATTTGAGACACAATGAACAGACCCCACTGATTATTACAGTGAAATAAGTCAGAAAGTGAAAGACAGACTGGATGATTTCACTCATTGGTGGAGTAACTGAAAAACACACAGCAGCAAAACATAGCAGGAATAAATCTGGAACTCAATGAAAGAACTTAACGGTTACCAGAGGCAGCAGGGGAGGGCACAAGATATAGGGGAGGGAGGCAGAGGGTAAGGGACAGTGGTTTGGTGGAGGATGAGTAGAACATGTGCACATATGGAAGAGCAAAAAATGTAACCCCAAATTAAAAAGACAATATTTAAAAAATTAAAACTAAAAAAACCTTTAATTGCTTAAAAAATTGTTATTCAATCATTGTGCTGCTAATGTTTTTGCCTTCCATGCTTTAGCCGTATAGATCTTTGTTTTGACATTTTTATTATACACCTGGTACATATTCAATATACAAAACAGAGGAAACCGAAAAGCATAAAGAAATTTCAAGTCACTTTCATCCGCGCTGCCCCGTGCCACTGCTTTCATCTCTCTTCATTGTTTTTGACCTTTTCCCCGCGTAGGTGCTTTTAATACACTTAGTGTCATGCCGCGTACAATATTTTTTCATCTATTTTAACAAACGCTTTGCCCATGTTATTGAAACCGTCCAGAAGCATCATTTGAAAGTCTTAAAAATTGCTGTTCCTTTGTTGTCTGGCATATTGGATTATTTCCAGGTTTTTGCCATTAGGAATGCTACTGTAACTGCCTTGGGGCATAGAGCTGCCCGCATTCTGCATTATTGCATAAGGATAGATTATCAGAAGTGGAGAGTCACTGGGTCTAAGTGCATGAGCAGAGGGAGGCTCACGATGGGAGGCAGCATGGCCTTGCGCAGCGGGGGCACCCACCTGAATCCCACGTGCACCGCCACATCTGCTCCCACCACTGAGCGCCAGTGAGCTCATGTCCTTGCTGAGCCCTTGGTCATCCTTCCCCTCTTAACATATTTAAATCTACCTTGATCGTGACATGGCAGCTTATCCTGTTCATTTGACCCCATTTGGGTGCAGAATCCACGTGGGCTTGTCTTCACAATCCTGGCGCCTTTTGGGTTTAGCTGTGCAGGTGCTGGAATCACGTTTGATCAGATCAGGGGTGTGTCTTACAGGGCAAGGGAGGCTGCTTTTTTTTTTGTAAAGATTTATTTTATTTATGCATACAAGAGCAGGAATGTAGGCCAGAGGTGTGGGGGGTGAGAGGGTCACCAGAGACAGAGTGGGGAATAGAACAGGCAGATCCACTGAAATACACTGCTGAGGGGAGCAGCAGGTGAGCCAGGAGAGGTCTGCTGCGCCATGTGGGTAGCTCCTTGGCCAGGGATCAGACTCGTGCTGCAGTGGCTGCAGATACCTTCCCAGTGCTGAGACTTAACCCCTTGTACCATCAGGGAGGCCCCGAGAGAGGCTACTTTTTATCGTCATGCTCTGTCTGGTGTGGCCGCTGACATCTTTTTTCATGCTTATTTTTTATGCTGCTTCTGTCTTTTTGGCAATTTACCTTTCAGTGATCTTTGCTTATAGCATTGGTTATGATTTCCAGGGCAGATCTCACTGGTGGCTTCTAAAACATACAGCTGACCCCTGAACACCATGAGGTCGGGGCGCCAGTCCCTCCTCACCATGCTGTGGAAAATCTGAACATTACCTTTGACTCCTCCCAAAATTTCTAATAGCCTGCTGTTGCCCAGAAACTTTAAGATAACATAAATCATCGACTCACATGTATCCGGCGTGTTATATGTGTCACATTCTAAATTCTCGCACAAACTAAGTCAGAGAAAAGAAAATGTCACTAAGAAAACCAGGTCAAGAAGCTGCAATCGCGGTTTGGGCGTGGTGGTCACCACGCTGAGTTCATGCCCTACGGCAGCCGTGTCCTGTCTTCAGTACCCACGTTGGTGTCTTATCCCTCACAAGGGCAGCGGGTGCTGTACGGAGGCGTCAAAGGCAAAAAGATAACACCAAAGAGCGATTCCTATTTATTTACAGGCGTAATGATTGTTTCTCGACGAGGCGAGTTCGTCTGCTTTTTTTTTTTCTTTCAAATAGTTGCAGATCTCCCCAATTTTTTCCAGTATATTAACTGAGAAAAGTCTGTGGATAAGTGAACCCAGGCAGGTCAAACCCGCATTGCTCAGGGGTCAGCTGTTGTCAACATGCTTGATTCTATTTTTATACCCAGCTAACCAAAACCAAAACAACAGTTTCTATTCCTCGTGGTGGAACTAAAGGAATCTTGGCTGCTCCATGCTTGCACATGCTGGCTCAGTCCAGGGGACTTGAGGCTCCGCTGGTAGAGATCAATGTGCCTGTGTCCCGGCCTCTGTTGCCGTCACTTTAATTTGAACTATCATCATTCTTTTCACAACCCCCTTATCCAAAAATTCTTTTTCTAAATCAACTCTAGATCATTTGGGGGGAACCTTTTTGACATTCTTTGCAGGAAGGTGCTCACCCAGTAAAATTTTGGAGATCAGTGGATCTCCCACTGGCACCCCATCCTCCTGCAGGCACGACTTGTCCGCGTGCTGCCCCCGGGCCCTGCAGCTGCCTCTTGACCGAGGCGCCGGTCGCGGTGGAGGGGACATCAGTAAGGGCTGCCTTTTCACCCCTTCGGCGATCATTTGACATTTTTGGAATTCAGAAACCAGTTGCACTTACGGGCCCCCAACCACAGTCTTGGTCACTGATCGGGTGATTTTACCTCAGTTCCTGGTTCTGCTTTTAGTTCCCAGCGGCCTTTTCCTCTGTACTCGCTTCCCTACCACGTTCTGTCGTCGTGTCCGTGTCTGGCCATTCATTTGTGCGCAGCCCGTCGGTCACTGTTCTGGGCGTGGACTCGCTCTGCTGCGGAGGAGATCTGGCAGTGGGAGGCTCTCGGCTCCGGGAACCTGGCTTACCCTGCCGCGAGCGAGGTCCCTGGCCTCTGGGGTCTGTCTCTGGGTGCCCCGGTCTGGTGCTGGCACAGGAGTACCCTGCCTCTCTCTGCACCTCGTCCTCGTCCCCGATCCTACCCGTCTCTGCCTCTCTCCAGCCCTGGTCCCCACCGTGCAATTGCCGCTAACAGAGTCGCAGTCACAGTGACAGGCACGTTCATTTGCTCTCCCTGAGAGCCCGGTTTTCCCTGGGCTGCCCAGGGACTGGGCAGAGTTCCATGGGGCGGGCAGGTGGCTCAGGATAGTGGGGTCTTGGCAGAGGACATGGGGAGCAGTGTGGGGACTGGGCAACCAACACCCCTCAACACAGCATCCCTTGGCTCTTAGCATCCTTCAGTGACCTGCCGGCCGAGCCGCTCCTTTCCCTGGAAAGCTTTGGCAGCCGCAAGAAACTGACCCTGGTCCAGAAACCTTCAGCAGCAGCTCTGCTGCGTCTCTCCACCGTGGGGGATTCTGTCTCGAGCCGGGAACTCCCCTCCCTGGGCGTCCCAGCCCCCTCTCAGCCCTGCCACCTCTTCCAGCCCCTTCCTAGGACTGAGGGGAACTTCCTTAGGACGCTTTTCGGGGAGCCAGCTTCACCTCTCCGGCTGCTTTAGAGGCTTTCCTGCCATTTTCAGAGGAACGAGGGGCCCAGAGTCCCTCCTGCGAGCGGGAGGGGAGTCGTGCGCTCTCCCTCGAGCAAGCTCTGTTCCCAAATCACCGCCACCCACCACCCCCACCACCCCCACCACTCCCATCACCCCCCACCGCCCCCACCGCCCACATCACTGTCCTCTGCACCGGCGCCATCTTCATCTCCACCCTCATGGCGCTGCCGCCGACCGCGTGTCGCCTGCTGACGGGCACCGCGCCGGGCCCTGCGCACGCGTCTGTCCTCCGTCCCCAGCCTCGTGGGCGGCTCTGCAGCGACTCCCGTGAGGTCAGAGGTCACGGGGCCAGTGAGCCCGAAGCCGCGGTGCTGGGCCCCGGGTGCCCACGGCTTTGACCTTGGTGCAGGATTTCTACAGCCCCCAAGAGGCAGCAGGCCGGGGGGGTCCCCCTCCTGTGCGGGGCACTGAACTCGGGTGTCCCCCCGACTTTGGGCCAGACCCCCTGCCCAAGGTCCCCCCAACCTGTTTCCCGTGTGCCCCTTCCCCGCACAGGTGTACGAGGGCGGGACCAACGTGGACCAGTTTGTGACGCGCTTCCTCCTGAAGGAGACGGCCAGCCAGATCCAGTCGCTGCTGAGCTCCGTGGAGAGCGCGGTGGAGGCCATCGAGGAGCAGACCAGCCAGATCCGGTGGGTCTGTGGGGCCCCGGGAGGTCACGTGGGGGGGCACGGCCCGCGCACCAAGCCTCTACTTGGTGGAGGCGTCGATTCTTTCCTGTCATTCCCTGAGCAGCAAGACGAAGGGCCGGGGGCCCAGACTCCCCTGGCGGGCTGGTGACCTGGGCGTGTGCTGACCACACGCGCCGTGTAGACAGTTAAGACTGTTCCAGGCCGATTTTACCACAGCCACATGCAACTCGCGTGTTGTCGCCCTAGAATGTTCTATTTGACTCATTTTTGAAAACTGGGCAGACATGTAGGAAGCTGTCCCTGCTCACCACCCTGCAAGCGTGTCCCGTGCCCTAACGATGAAGGAGGTGCCTTCTCCCGAGGCCTCCCCTGTTTGTCAGAAAGGCCCCAAATCCTGACGCTCGAAAGGCTGGAAGGGTGCGCTGGGAGTGACTGTCTCTCAGGGGATTTAGTGTCATGGAGGGCGCTTGTGCTTGAGGCACAGACAAGCAGCGGGGGGCCCGGGGGTGTGCAGGGCTGAGGGGGTGGCCCCATCTCAGCAGGGCCAGCACCCCCTGCCCCTGGGTCCTCGATTCCCTGTCCCGAGCTGAGACGTGCTGTCTAGTTTGTTCGGGAGCAGCCGTGCACCTGGTGTGAAGGGGAAAAAAAATACAGAGCGAGGGAGTGAAGCCTGGGGCACCGCCCAGGCCTCTCAGAGCCCCAGTCTCTGCACGGCCTGGGTTTCCCAGGAGGAGGGACCCTGCGTGGCCCGATGCGGGTTGTCGGGGGAGGCGGTTGGAGCATGTGTTCGGGTAGGTGAGTCAGTAGGACGGTGACAGCTGCTCCACGTTGTTCTGAAGATGCGAATGTGCTGAGCCGCTGCAGCCAGTCACCTGGGAGATAGGCCTGCAGATTCCGGGGGCCCCGGTCTGTGCCCCTCAACCAGGGGCCCCAGAGCTAGGCCCAGAATCTGCATCCGTAGCCAGTCTTGTGGCTCTGAGCGTCCCGAGGCCCTGGAAGCAGACACTGACGTTCCCTTCGTTTCTTGTCACTCTCTGGATAGAAAGGGACGTTTCTAACCTGCAGGACAGACGGGGCTGCTCACGACAGTCACCGCTGATCTGCCCCGGGCCAGTTCCCTCGCGTGTCCAGAGTTACAGGCGCCCACCCCTGCGCTGGGACCTGAACTGGGGAAGGTGGTGGCGGGATGACATCATGTCACCACGGGAGACGCGTCTGCTCCACACCACTGCCCTCCAGCCACCCCAAATCTTGGCTGCTCCGGCCCTGGCTGTGTGTCCCAGCTCTGGGATGTCCTGGCCAGGCCCAGCGCTGGTCGGACTCTGTCCCTGGGCGGCTTCGCGCTGTGCTGCCTCGTGGTCTGAGGGCCACATTTCATTTGCCATTGAGCCGAGGAGATCGAAACCTCAGAGACTCCACCAGCCTTGCCCCCACCCCGGGGGAGCCGACTTGCTCCCTCTGCACCCTGGGAGGTGGGCTGAGCTCTCAGACTCATAGGAAAGAGAGGCTAGAAGGCACCAGGCAGCACTGCCCTGGCCAGCGGCTGTTGGGGACAGGGTGACCCTGCCTGAGGTGGACGCGCATGTCTGTTTCTGTGGTGACTTTCCAGCATCATCTTGCACATGGGGGTTTGGGCATTCACTGAGCACATGTGCAGCCCCTCACCTATGCCAGACACCCTGCCTAGACAGCTGCCTGGGCCCACAGGGGCATGCTTGTGGGGGTGTCGGGGACACCCAGCCCTCCTCCTCAGCCTGGCTGAAATCAGCATCATACATTTCTCTCTCCTGCTACTCGCTCACTCTCGAGACAGTCTCTTGAGGACTCCCTTTTGGGTGGGGCAGTTGTCCGGGTGGTGCAAACCCACCCTCTTGCTTCCCGCTCCAACCACACACACCATAGGGTCCCGACAGCACACCAACCTCCAGTCGGGCTGGCAGGGGGAAGCCAACTTGGTGTCTGCACAGCTGAGCCCTCAAGGACGCCACCATCGGTGCCTTGTTAGCGTCGGAGCTGCCCTGAGGGGTCAGGGGCCTGCAGCCCCCTCACAGCCTGTGCCCTCACTCCCCTGCAGACACAACTACAGCAGACCCAGCCGTGATGCAGCAGAGACCTGGTGCAGACGCCCTGCTCCCCCCTATGCCCCCAACCACAAGTTCATGGCCACAGAACCGGGGAGGACTCTTCCACCTGGTAAGAGCATTAACCCACAGCGGGGGGCACTGGCTTGGGGTCCACGGAGGAATTCTGAGAGGGGCCAGATGGGACCTGGACCTTGGAGGGGGCCTGGGTGGCTGGGGCTCCCCTCCCCGGCACGCCGCACCGTCGGGTCCCTGTGTCCCTTTGCAGCCCCTGTGGACGCCAAGGATGACAGCCTGGACGCCCAGGTCAGCCGCTTGGCAGAGCTGATAGGACGGCTGGAGAGCAAGGTCGGCCCCGCGCCCTTCTGTGTGTCCTCTTGTCCTCTCCCCGGCCCCGGGGGGTGGGCGGCCAGCAGGGGTGCCCAGGGCCAGAGCAGGGCCGAGAGCAGGAGAGGCTGTGCCAGCAGAGATGCGGCACGCGGGGAGGAGCAGCGGCCTGAAATCCCTTCGGTTGGGCGCGCAGCTGGCGCTGTTGGCACGCGCTGGGCCTTCAGCGCTCAGGTCTGGGGAGAGCACTCGGGGCCCGGGGTCTGCCGGCCCGGGCTGGGTTCGCCGCGGACCCACACACCCCACACTCCCCAGCCTCCCTTCCTGGAGCCGGAGGCCAGAGGGCTGCAGTCAGGCCAGACAGGGCGGGCTCCTCTGGCCTTGCGCCGAGCCCCGCGGCCGCTGCTCCGTGCGCCTCGTCTGCCTCTCCCCCGACGCTCCGCAGTCATGGCCGGGGAGGGCCCGCTGTCTTGACTTCAGTTGCGTCCTCCGGCGCCCATGACAACATTTCTTGGAAGGAAGGAAACCGGCTTCCCTGGGGCTTTCCATCAGCTCGGGTTTCAGACTCCCTGGCCATGGACTTAATGGCTGTGACTCTGGGCAGTGCCCGAGCGCCGCGGAGGCCGAGCGCGGACAGGCAGACCGGACCCGCTCGCGGGTGGCCGGGAGGGGTAAAAAAAATGATGGCTCAATGGCTTAGCGCAGGGCCTGCTGGGTAGTCAGCATCCAATATTAGCAATTATTAGACATTTAACACCAAAACCCACACACACCCCGTACCCACGAACCCACACAAGCCAACCTAGCTGGCATCCCGGTGCCTCGGGGCTGCAGGGATTTTACATTTCTCCTTTTCTGGATCTTTTACATCTTTTGCAAAAGGACAGGATAATTAGTAGCTGGGTGGGTCTGAGGGCTAGTTCCGAGGGATTCGTGGGCACAGGGGTGGGACTCCGCAGAGGAGGCCGAGGGCAGACTTGGAGGGGCGTCCCGGGGAGGAGGCTGCCATGCCACCTGCAGGGGGAGGCCAGGTGGGACGCCCCCACTCCCCTCCCCAGAAGGTTGCTGCGGTGGGAGCCGGTGGGAGCAGCTACTTGGGGACCCTGCTGCCCGTTGTCATAACAACTCTGCAGGCGTCTCCAGAGGGAGGCTCTTTGAAGCTTATTTTTAGCGCCTGTCGCCTTAACAACCAGCTGGCTGGAAGCCTCAGAGCACCTGGGCGTCCTGGAGACGGGCGGGCGGGACCCTCCTCGCGGCCCCTGATTGGCCCGGGCTGTGAGCAGGAGCCAACGCCAGGCCCTGCCCACCCAGGACCCGTACCTGAGCCTCACTGGGGGATGGAGCACGTGGGGTGCAGCTGAGAGGGGAGCAGGCAGATCAGGGCGACCTTGAGCCCTACCCCCCCCCTCAGCCTCCCCCGCTGGCCACAGAAGCCTAGGGAACCAGCTGCAGCCCCCTCCTCCGTGGACCCACCTCTGTGTTGTCAGCAGGCCCAAGCAGAGCTGCACCTGGCGGTCACACCCTCCTACCCCCTGCAGGCTCCAGGCCCTGGCCCGAGCAGTCGGGATCCCCCACAGGCCACCCGCCCACTGGGCTGTTGGGCCCCTCACACACGCACTCCTCCGGGAGAGCAAAGCCCGGGGCCCTGCTGGGGCTGGGTGAGTGGGGCCCTTGCGTCTCTGGGAACGGGTTCCGGAGTGCCCCCCGTGCAGCGGCAGTGTTGCTAAAAGGAGGAGAAAGACGTGTGTGTAGACAAATGGGCAACAGCCGTATTTTCAAAGGGCAGGTTTATTAAGGAAAAAAAGAAGAATGCTGGGGGCCACTGGCAGTTCTGGGGAGGTTGGGGGCGGGCGGGCAGCTGCGTTTTGCCCCAGCAGGGAGGTTCTCATCACTCTGGTCTTTGGGAGAGTCGCTCCTCTGTGGAATTTTAGCTAGTGTGGAGTTTATCGCTTTTCGGGTCTGGCTGGGCCCGTCAGCATGGCCTGACCCTCTGTGAGGACGGCCCTCTCTGCTCGCTCTGGTTTCCAGCCTTGGGAGACTCCATCTTTTCTGCTCGAAGCTTGCATCCTCCTCGTGGCAGGCACCTTCCACCACCGGAGGTGGTGCTCACTGGGGTGCCCAGTAAAGGAAGAATCGTGATTGTCAGGAGGAGAGGCCCGGGTTTGGGCCCAGCCCTGCCCTGGATCAGCTTTTGTGGCCATCGGTGTCCATGGGTCCTGCTGTGGCACAGGGAACGCAGGGGGCTTCCGGGCAGCGCTGGGCCCTGTTCCAGACACCAGAATGTGGTGGTGAGCAGCGTCCAGGGGGTTCCTGATCTCCTGGAGCACAAGACAGGGCTTCACCTGTCCCAGAGAGCTGGTTAAATAGGATGTTTCTGGAAGCGTTGGGCTCAGTGCCTGTGACAGTCCAGAGAGGACAAACACACCATTCAGACCACTGGATTCATGAGGCGCTGGGGGGGAGGTTGGGGGTGATTCCCAAGTTGATCTCTGGGCCCTTGCCAGCACTTGTGGCAATAAAGCGTTCTGGATCCAGAACTCTTGAACCCCACTGTGCACGTGCACGGACACACATGTACACAGACAGTACAGTGGCACCTCCTTGCCCTCTACAGTAGGTCTGCTTGGCCTCTGATGCCCAGTGCCAACCCCCTTCTCCCACCATGCCAGGGCCAGAGGGGATTGCTGCTACTTACTGCAGCGGTCATTCCAGCTTCCCAGGGCCCCTCTGAGCCAGCTCTGTGCCTGTGGGTGGGCAGGCCTGGCCTCCAGGGAACTTGAGAGCCACTGGGACCTTGGGGTAGAGGAGCTGGAACTCTGGGGGAGGGGATCCTAGCTTCTGTGGTGTGTGGTGGTGGTTCTGGAGGCGTCCCTGGCAGAGGTGGCTCATCTCCAGCATGGCTTTGTGATTTGTGGTTTCAGACCCTCTGGTTTGACCTGCAGCAGCGCCTGTCGGATGAAGAAGGGACTAACATGGTGAGGCCCGGGCCCCCCTTCCACTCCTTTCCTGCGGGCTCCTCCCCACCTGGGCCAGGGCTCCAGAGGCAGGTGGCCACGGGCACCCCCACACATGGCCACCCTTCTCCCCCGGGGTGTCCTTTGAGACAGCAAGTCTTTATTAGAACCAGCACGGCCCAGAGCGACCCGATCCATCAACAACGGGTCTGCTGGTCATGGGCCTCGTCCTCGGACATTCGGCTCCGGCCGTCCCACCCGCAGAGCCCTTGCGTGTTTCCGCGCAGGTGGGAGCTGCTGCCTGCGTTTGACCCCAAGTTCTAGTTCTTTTGTAGCCAATGTGCACGGGCCAGAAAGACGTGTGCCCGGCGTGAGGTGGTTTTATTTTCTAACACATCACCTTTGTTGAAGGGAGGCCTGGGGGTACTGGGGGAGCTGTGCCCATGGAGCAGGGTGGTGGTGAGGTGGCTGCCAGGCCCTCAGGTGCCCACATCCATTCACTGTGGCCCGCAGCACCTGCAGCTGGTCCGCCAGGAGATGGCCGTGTGCCCAGATCAGCTGGACGAGTTTCTGGACTCCCTGCGACCGTACCTGCGGGGCACTGCCGGGGCCGGGAACTGCTTCCAGTGAGTAAGCCGGGGGCGGGTGCTGGGGCGCTCCGCCTGGGGTAGAGGGCAGGGTGGGACCAGCCTCACCCCCGAGAACAAACCATACCCCAGGGGGTGCCCTGGTGGTGCCTAAGAGCCGGGTCCCAGACTTGGTTCAGGCCCTTCCTGCTATGCAAGCATGGGGTTCCACCTCTCCCCCAGACCTCCGCTGACTGGTCGCAGAGGAGCCAGTCCCCACATCCCTGGAATCCTGGCCCAGGCCCGAGCACTACGCAGTCGGCACCTGTCCCTCGCCGCCGCGGCCAACCCTGGCCTCAGACACGGGGCTGCTGCTCGGCAATGCTGAGCGGGGCACCAAACTGACAGCCCATCGCTGGGGTCAGCATGAGTGGGCACAGACCATTGGGTGCTCTGTCTTAGGCCCACCCTTGGGTGTTCAAGGGCAGTGGCTATACTCCATGCCCTTTCCTGCCTCCCATCTTGGGCGTCTTGGTGGCTTTTCCCTTGAGAGGACAGCAGTTACCCTGCTCTCTGGGGACCCAGCCCTGAACCAGGCCAGCAGGGTTGCTGCTCTCACGCTGTGTGTGTAACAATGGGGCCGTGGGGCCAGGGCCCTGGAAAGAAGGGCCGGGGCAGGAGGGCGGTGCTTGCAATCTAAGAGCCCACCAGCCCAGAGCTGAAGAAGGGCATCTGGGGGAGACGGCCGCTAGCGACAGTGAGGTACCATGTTGGGGAGAGCAGCAGCTGTGTGTGGGAGACTGGTACTGGGAGGAACAGACCTGGGGTGGTGGGCAGGACCCTCACATTAGAGATGGTCAGCAGGCAGAAGGTCTTGCAGCTTGCTCTTGTGTGTGTGAAGGCCTGGGGTGCACAGTGAAAGTCTCAGGGCAGCTGATTGATTGGCTTGAGAGCAGCTGGGTGGAGCCAAACTAGGTGGACTCCAAGATCTTAGGCATCAGAACCCCAGTGGAGGATGGTGCAGTGTGCTGAGCCAGTTGGGAGAGGGTGAGGGTGTCATGCAGGCCTCTGGGGCCATGCTGAATTCAAGATGCCAGTGGGGGTGCCCACATAGAAGCGTGACCCTGGGACAGGGCAGCTGTGGTTGGCATGGCGTGTGGATGGCAGCTAAGGCCTGGGGAGCAGCGTGCACACCACAGGACAGAAGGGAGGAGGGCCCCTTGCCTGGCCCTGCCCATGGGCAGCACTTGGCAGGGCCTCGGGTCTAATTTTGAAAGGGATTTTCATTTTTTTTTTTTTAAAGATTGATTTATTTATACAAGAACTGGGGTACAGGCCAGATGCGCGGGAGGATGACAGGATTCACCAGAGACAGAGCGGGGACCAGAACAGGCAGACTGACGAAATACACTGCTGAGGGGAGCAGCGGGAGTGACAGGCGAGGTCTGCTGTGCCATGTGGGACCCTCGCCAGCCGGCCGGGATCAAACCGGCGCTGCAGAGGCTGCGGACAGCTTCACAACGTGGCGCTCAACAGCCTGCGCCACCAGGGGAGGCCCAATTCATTATAATTTTTCCAAGAAATTGTAGCCACAGGTGCTGGGAGAGGCTCTGAACTGTCAGAGGGCAGCAGCCGCCTGTAGAGCACCTCAGGACGCCGGTGGGTGTCCTGTCAGGGTCTTGGGGCACCTCATAGGCTGGCTCTGGACCCACCCTGTCCTGCCCAGGGCAGAGAATGGTGGGAGAAGGTGGTCATGTGGGCATGCCTGAGGCCGCCCCAGGGAACACCTGGGATGGCACACTCACCTGGCCTCTCTCCCTTTAGCATCACAGCCGTGAGGCTCTCGGATGGCTTCACGTTCGTCGTGTATGAGTTCTGGGAGACGGAGGAGGCGTGGAAGAGGTAGGCCCCACAGAGTACCAGGCCCACTTGGTGAGGTGGTGAGGTGCCAGGAGGTGGGCTGCCTTGCCCCTGCATACTTCACGGATTCCCCCAACCACCTCCTTGGAGAGGATGAAGGGGTGGGGGGCGTCCAGGTTGCAGCAGCACCAGCCTACCAGAATGCTGGCCTCTTGTGGCCCCAGACCCGGGTGCAGGCACGTTGGTCAGCGAGGGATGTGACCCCTTCCCCAACCTAGCTGGGCCTTGGTCAAGTCCCTGGTCATCTGGTGGGTCTGAGCCCCCAGCCTCAGAGGTCCCATTGCCACTCCTGTCGTCCCCGGTGCAGCTCCCCCTTCAAGGTCTGGTTTAAGCACCTCCTGTAGCAGGAAGTCCTCCTGATTCCCCCAGCCAGTATTTCCCTTCCCTTGGCTGCACCCGTCTCAAGTATCTTGTCCATTTTTGAGCTGCCCTTGCCAAGCTCTGTCACATCCACCTTATAGCTTCAGATGCACCCCAGAAGAGGCACATCTGTATCCCCATGAGCCTGGTACCACTGAGTGTTCACCAGCGGTCCGAGCCCCTCCCCACATGGGGACAGGACATAGCAGGTGGGGTTTGCTGGAGTCTGTGAGCTGCTGTGATCCCTTGAAACCACTGCTCCCCCCAACCTGCTATGGCCTCCCCTTTGGCCCTGCTATCAGCTTCCCTGGGACCCTCAGCCTCACACTCAGAACCCAAGCCCATCTGCCTAGTGGTGACACCCCATCCTGGGGAGGACCGGGAGTGGAACTGGACCCACAGACTCCCACAATCTTCAGCCCCAAAGCTAACTGGGGTTCCCCACTTGCAGGCACCTGCAGAGCCCTGTGTGCAAGGCATTCCGGCATGTGAAGGTGGACACATTGAGCCAGCCCGAGGCCCTCTCCAGGATCTCAGTGCCAGGTAGCTAGAGGGAAGGCAGTGCTAAAAGTCGGGAAAAGCTAGGGGGATCAGGGAGACCCCCCCCCCCCAACGTCCTGGGCTCCAGGGACAAATGGCTGAGTGGAGACCAGGGCCACATCTCTGAGCAACTCTTCTGCTCTGCTCCCTGAGCAGTCATGGTCATGCTGCAGATTCAGAGGGTGCATGAGGCAGGACCAGAGTCACATTGGTCCCCCAAAATGGAAGCCTCAGAAGATGCTGCCAGGGGTCCATAAAGTCACCCAAGTCAAAGGCAGCTGCTATGTTTGAACCCTCTACACATAGCCAGGTCCACCATACTTCTCTGAGCTTGGGGTCACCAGCTGGGCCCTCTGTGGCTGGCAGCCCACAAGGGCTTCAACCATTGGGTGGCGCAGGTGTGCTCGTAGGCTGTCCTTGCCGCTGCCTCCCAGGACCCAGTTGCTGAGCATCTCTCCTCTCCCTCCCTAGCTGCGTGGTGCACGGTGGGCCGAGACTGAGCACCAACCTGAAGCCCTGCTGTCCAAGGCCTTGCAGGCCTCGGCCTCTTCAAAAAGAGGTCCAGTTTCTAGAAACTTTGGTATACAACTGTGTTTTCAAAATACTCCCAAATAAGAATGTGTCCTCCTGCTGTGTGACTAAAGGGGAACCCTCACACCCCAGGAGCCAGAGACCCACTCTCCAGCACACCTCTAATGCATGCTGCAGTCCCCTAGTGGTAGAAACAGTCGACGGGCAGAAATAAAGTGTAACACAGTCTGTGTGTGTGTGGTGCGAGCGCCACCCCTTGCCCCGCCCCAACCCACGCCACCAAGCCTGACCCTTAATACCCTATCTCGACCCTCCCACCCACAGCAGCCTGGCTGTGACCTACCTCAAGGGAGGGTCCTCAGACATCAGCTCCTCCTGGCTGCGGCATCACTTCTTTGGGGGGGGGGGTAATTCTCCAGGGAGGGAACTGTGGGCTGACTCCAGCAGCATCCAGGATGGCCCAGCCCAGGGCAGGGTCAGAGCCATGAGCACAGGGAGGCCACCCCACGTTTCTCCCCACCTTTGTCCAAGTCCCCTAAGCCTCGACTGGGGAGGAGCCAGGAAGAAGCCATAGAACAAACAGTTCCCTTGGCTTCTAGGCTATTCTGATCCAGCCAGAGGGAGGGAAAGGGGGCGCTCCACTCACCCCACTTTGGAATGTGGGCCAAGGGCAAGTTGTGTGGCAGCTGCGAGCATGACGCTCCTTGCGCATGGACAGGACTTCAGTACATGCTGAGGCCCGGCTCAGGACCACCCTCCTTTGGGTCCCCCTCCACTGTGGGAGGACCGCTCCTTGCCACTCTGACCCTGATGCTCCAAAGCAGGGATCTTGGGTCTCAGTCCCAACTCTATTATGGGCTGAACTGTGTCCTCTAGCCCCTGGAACCTACAACTCTGACCTTGCTTGGAAAAAGGATCTCTGCAGAGCCTAAGTTACAAGAAGATGTAATTAAGAGACCATCACACTGATTTGGGGGCAGCATTAAACCAGTGTCCGCCCACAACCTGATCTTGGGACTCCTAGCCTGAACCATGAGAATAAATTTATATTGCTTTAAAGCACTGGTCGCTGGTTGTTCATTATGGCAGCCCACAGCAGTATCTATCCCCTCTCCTTGCTATTGCATCAGAAACTTCTGGAACTAGAAGCCCAAACAAGCAGCCTGAGAAGACAAGGTATCAGGGTCTCTAGCATCTTCATGATGAAATGACAAGTGGGGGGGGGGACGTTTAAGGCGGGACACAGACAGCCACAGAGAAAGAACCTTCAGAAGAGCTCCAAGATGGCTGCCACTGTGCTCTGTCCAAAGATGAAGGTGCCCACCAGCACGGAGACCACTCCCCAGACCTCCAGGCAGCACCTGCCAACCCAATAAATATGCATCAGCACAAGGTTTTTGCCCTGTCAGTCAAGGACACCCTGAAAACATACTCGAAGGCCAGTAGGGTCACCGAGTTGGAAACAATTTAGTCGGCTCTCTTGCTGCAGGGATGAGTTTCTGAGACAGGATTTAAATCGATGCTCATCCATCTCACTCCATAACCTCATTCCTACCCAATATTTTGTCAAAGGAAATGATATGGGGAAGGGGACACTAGTTTCAAACTGTCTCCCTTTTTTTTTGTAGGAGGAGAATGAGGGAGTAGAAACCCTGAAGACACACAGGTCGGGAGGTGTCTGCTGGGGTGCAGGAGCCTAGCGTGGGGCCCGGTGTCTGGGAGGCACCCCATGGGACCTGCCCTGCAGATGGTGCAGCGTGCCACCTGGGGCCCAAGACCTATAATCCCCAGAGAGCCCCAACCATGGACCCTCCTAGGGAAAGGGAGAGCGTGCAGCATGGCAGAGCACAAGCTGGGGTACTGGCCTGGGTTCAGTGCTTGCTGAGACGTCCTCCTGCCTGGCCCCCAGCATTCACACCCTCCACCCACAAACCCCTTCAAATGCCCGAGCTGGAGATACTCACTTGACTCTCGGTCCAACAGGCTCGAGGCCCATGGCACAAATGAGGCACAGACCTGCAGGGGAAACACAGAACACCCCTGCACTTAGTACAGAGCCCCAAGAAACCCTGAGCCCAAGAAAGCCAAGCTCACACCTGCCCTCCCTGGGACCTGGGAGGCCACCAAGCCCTTGACCCCAGGAGTCCCCTGGTGCGGCAGCTCAGGGGTGAAAGGCCATCTGCAGGGTGCCAGCTCAAGGTCCCCCTGAAACCTTGGCCTCTTCAGGTCTGTTTTCCGATGACAAGGACACCATCTCCTCCATGCAGCGGCCCTGGGATGAGATGGGGCCTCAGGCCTGGCATGGCTCAGCAACTGGCAGCTGCTGCTGTTCTCTGTACCTTTCTCTTTTTTCTTTTAATCTCTTAATTCTTTGGCTGGGATTCTAAACTAGACAGCTATGCCTAAAACTCCCACGGCCCCTTCCCCAGCCCAAACCAGCCCTGGCTGCTCCTTTCCAGCTCAAGCAATAGCAGAGCTAAAAGGCACCACCACCCAGGACATCAGGAAGAAGCCAACTTTTCTGGGCTGAACCTCAGCCCCACACTAGGGGCCAAAGGAAGAAATGACACCCTCATTGAAAAGTTCTTCCCAGGCCAGGGACAGACCACAAACCCTCTGCCCTTCTGTCTCCTGCTCCACCCCCTGGTCGCACAGCACAGCACAGAGCCCCGCGTTACAGGGGCGGGGGAAACTTGGCATCTCCAGCCTCACTTCACACCAGACCACCCTGGAATGTGTATGGACAGAGCACCTACTGTGCGCAGGGCACCTGACAGATGTAGGTATATGGTAGGTAGGTACTGAACACCCTGCGCCTCAGATTTGGAGTTCTTGGCCTGAGCACCTGTTGGCCACTCTCATGCTCCTGCTCCAGGGTACCCCTCCACCTTCCCCAACTCAGTCTCACTGGGTATCCTGGCTGGGGTAACCCTCAGGCCATGTCTACGGACCTGGGCATCATCACTCACTACCATCGGGAAGGATCCCAGGAGGCCACCCAACACAGAAACTGCATTTGCCTCTGAGGTCAGGGGACATGGTGAGAAGAGGACTTCCTGGGGTGCATTTGAACTACATAACATTTTTAAAAAAAGCAACCTGCTGTGAGGTGCCTCGCCCCTGCTGTGCACCAGCCTTGGCCTTTCCCTCAGCAGGATGGGACAGGGCCCCCATCAGGTACACCCATCCAGGGCAGGTGCTTAGAGAAGGAACCCCAGCCCCCTGCCCAACTCCCACCTCCAGACCCTGGACTCCCTGCAGAGACAAGCTAAGGAGGATGAGAGGCAGGGGAGGAGAGCCAGCATCTCACCTGGGAAGGTGAAGATAAAGAAGGAGCTGATGCCGCCAATGATGCCAATGATCTCACTGAGGTCGGGCAGGAACAGGGCCATGGCGAGCGTCACGGTGACCCACAGGATGGTCAGTGGCATGCGAACCCATGGCCCTGAGGGGTCAGCCAAGGCCCGGGGCGCACACACCAGCCAGCAGCTCCTCTGCCAGAAATCCTGCATCACCGACCTGGAGATCAAAGCACCACAGGCACCATAGGTCCCCAGGGACTCTGCCGCCTCTGCACCCCAGATTTCCTACCATTGTCCTGCAAGCTAGCGGGGTACCTATGCATCAGATGCTTATTCCCTGGGGATCCCACCAATGCTCAGGGGTTTAGTCCCCACCCGGCCTACAGAGAGAGCCCCAGGAGGGCACTCAAGGCAGGCTCAGGAGCCAGGCCCCAGCCCTGACACTTAATATATAACTGGGCAGTTCTGTGCAAAACACTTAATTCTCTGCCTCAGTTTCCTCCTCTATGAAACAACTCCACGGGCCTTATAATACATGGGCACAGCAGCACCAGGCTGACACTGCATTGCGATAAATGTTGACCCATGTCCCTGCGAGCCAGGCCTCACCTCCCCAGGAAGAGCACAATGGGGTAGACGGTCACGATGGAGATGGCAAAGAAGATCCGGGCGACCACGATGACCATGTCGTTGCCTGGGTAGGACATCAAGATGTCAGCAGAAACTTCACTCCCAAAGGTCAGAAAGCCATAAACCCCTGAAAGGCAGAGAGGGCAGAAGCCAGAATGGGATGCACGCCTTCAAACCCAACATGGTGACAGCGCCCAGCCACGACTGCCTCTGAGGCTTTCCCTAGGAGGAAACAGAAGGTTCTGGAAGGGGTCTCCCCCTGCTATTTCCCAAGGCTTTCCTGTCCTAAGTCAACATGATACTCAGTTGTTCTTCTTTTCCCCGCTGAGCAAAACCGTGGCTACTTCTTTGAAAGAGCTCCCAGAGCTGGTGAGAGGGACCTGGGCAGGGATGGAGCATGGGCTGGGGTCAGGCAGTGCTTAGGCAACTGCAACATAATCTTCCTGCCATGTGCATCCCACCTGACAGTACCTGTGCCAGCAGCTGGCAATGAACCCATTTTCCAGATGGGAAAACCAAGACCCAGGGCATCAGACAGCCTGTTATGGCAGGAACAGGGCCAGGGCACCAGTAGCCCCTGCTCTACTACAATGGTGCCTCTGGGAACCCCTATCTGCCCTGTCCTGGACATCCATCTCCAGCTGTTTTAGTTTCTCTCAGGTCTTTTCTGAGGGGTCCCATAATCCTGCTGACCAGCTACTGAATCTGAAACATCTCCAGCTTTGCCTCATCTAGTCAAGAGACCACAGACAAGCCATGGAAGTGCTCTGAGCCTCAGGTTCATGGTACTCAAAACACGGAGTGCTGTCCCCAGTACATGGCAGCCCTCTGTACACACTCCCTATTCCCATGCTCCTGCCACTCCCCACACCCAGGCCGTACCTGTGAGTGAGTAGACGAGACAGCAGGTCAACAATGACATCACGGAGACGAGGGCCCAGTGCAAGAGGCCCTGGTTGTGCATGCTGCAGTAGATGGAGACAGCAGCCTCGTGGCACTGGAAGACAGAGGCACCCTCAGTGGACTCGGACCATTGGAACACAGTGTAGCAGGTGCCAGAGTCCCCTGGAGCAGCCGACACAATGTCAATGTCCCAAAAGATAAGGGAGAACCCAATGTCCACCAAGAACAGGAGCACAGTTATCTGTATATTCTATATGGAAAAGCATGGACACAGCTGTACACCTCAGTGTGGAGACTCACAGACCAGACACACAAAAAGGTTTCCATCCACATGAAGTCTCAAGTAACAAACCAAACAAGACAGGGGTTCTCAGTCCCAGCACTACTGTCACTTATGGGGAAGGGGATACCCTGCGTGTTGTAGAAAGCTGATTATTTGTGGCCTCAAACTAGTCAGGAGCAGCCCCAGTGGAGACAATGGTAAACATCTACAGACATCGTGCAGTGTCCCCTCCAGGGGAAGGATTCTGTATATAATTGGGGTTATGGCCACATGGGAATACAAATCATTATGATTTACATACATATAGTACTGCCTCATCCTAAGAAATTTAACAGGAAATATGTACATGTAACCAAGATAAAGAGCCCCCAGTGTTACAGACGTCACTTACGTAGGGTAGGGCCTCGCAGTGGTGTTTCTCAAGCAGACTAGGACACCTGATGCTGAGGCAGGGTTGAGGGGTGCTACTGTATCCAGATGCAACCATGGGAGCCGGGATATTCCCAGGCTCCCAGGACAGGATTCCCACCATCACCACTTACTTTCGGGGCCAGGTTCTTCTGTGCTGCCGGGTCTCCCATGTGAGAGGTTTGCTTTAGGGTCTGCCAATTCTCTGCGTGGTAGCAAAGAGGCTCTTGGCAAGTACTGCTCGGACCTTGCAAGTGTCCAACAGCCTATGGACCAGCTCAACCAGGGAGGGGCGGCTAACAGCCTGGGGGCCCTCAACCAAAGGCAGTGATCCCTTGATCAACATTACCTCTTGTACTCACATGACATTTCGTTCCCAACTCCCAAGTGGACACCAGCCCTGTCATAAGCTCTGCTTCCAGGGGATTCCAAATGACAACATGCATTGGGGTCCTAGCACCACAGTTTTGAGTACAGATATGAGGAAGAAGACGCTTGTCGGGGTTGGGTGCAGGGGTTGGGGGGTGGGCAGGATGGTGCCATGCCTGCCCCCCCTGGGTTGGTGCAAAGTGCATGGCTTTATGAGAGGAAATTCAGCCATGGCTCTCTGATCACTGGGGTATGGAAAGCAGGGCCAAGGACCACAAGATGACTAAGAAGTAGCAACAGCCTAAGTGTCCACTCATGAGGAACAGGTAAACAGTGTCCATGTGGTGAGACCTGATGCAGCCATCAAAAGCAACAAGGGTAACAGCCCACATGAATCTCGGCAACCAGCTATGGGAAAGGCACCCATCACCAAAGGCTAAGTCCTGACATCCAGAACAGGCCAGTCCACGGAGACGGAAATTAAATCCCTGGTTGCTGGGGGTGGGGAATTGGTCGTGACTGCCAAGGGGTACGGGTTTCCTTAGGTGTGAAGCAAATATTCTAAAATTGATCATTGCTGCCCAGCTCTGGCTATGCAAAAACCACTGAGCTGTACCTGTGACACGGGGAGCAGACTGCTACAGGAGGCACTCTCAAAGAAGCTGTTTAAAGGGAACACCAATGGGCCGCCCCAGTGGCGTAGCGGGTTGAGTGCAGTGCTGTGAAGCTGTCCATAGCTTCTGCAGCGCGGGTTCAATTCCTGGCTGGCCATAGAGATACCCACATGGCGCAGCCGACCTCTCCTGTCTCGCCCGCTGCTCCCCTCAGCAGTGCATTTCAATCCTGCCTGTTCTGCTCCCCGCTCTGGCTCTGGGGAATTCTCTCACCCTCCCGCGCCTCTGACCTGTACCCCAGTGCTTGTATAAATAAATAAATCTTTAAAAAAATAAAAAATAAGTAAAAATTTAAATTGAAGTGAACACCAATGAAACCCCAAGTGTGGCCAGGGGGGCTGGCAAGTGCAGCCAGGGGGGCTAGGAGTAGAGGCCACACCCCACCTCTGCTCCTCCCTGGCCCCTTGCCAACTGCATAGGCTGGGGGTGGCCCTCTGCTAAAAGAGGGGGAAGGTGTGTTTGACCCAGGTGAGAAGTCCTGATGACAACAGGTAACTTCCATCCCTCCCTCCGGTCTTGCCCCTCCCTCACCCTGTTCCCCACCCTCTTCACCTGCATCTCTCCCGGCCTCCCTCCCTCCCACTGTCCAAACAGGAACCTGACAGCTTTGCTGATGGTCAGAGCTGGCCACTAGTCCTCAGCCCACCCACCCTGCCATTCACATCTTCTCTCGTGTCCCTGGAAACACGGCCCAGGCCTAGGCTGCTAGGAGAACTGGTAAGGGAGCAAAGTAAAGGTGAGGGGTGCCCCTGGTTTTCAGCAACTGGAAAGCAGCCCCTGCCCGGCACGCACCAGCCACACCACACGGCGCCCAGCACGGGCGAGCGGGCTGGCTTCCACATCCACGCACAGCTGACAGCAAAATCAGAGCCTCAGATCTTTCAAAATATTGGGTGTGTGAGAAGCAACGTGAGAAATCCCTGTAAGTGGCTTGCTAAGGCACCAAAATCGACTCCTTTATAAGGAAGAGAAATGGAGATGTTTCAGATTCTGTTCAAAAATAGTTTCCAAAGAAAACATATGAAGAAGAAAAGAAGTGGGCGCTAGCTGAGTGACAAAGAAAAAGCCCATGCTTGGATGCCGTGGTGCTGTTGTCAGCCCTGGGCCAATGGGATTTTACTTTGGGGTGGTTTTTTTTTTTTTGGGGGGGGTGGCATGGGGAGGACAGGTGGGCATCTCTGGGAGAGAGGCAAATCTTTCCTAAAGTAAACAATGAAGGAATAGAGTCCGCGGCACCTGGGAGGAGACTGGGACCCCCAAGAGAGACAAAGTACCTCTAGGCCCGCCAAGGCTGACCATGGCCGCTTTCCAAGCACCCTAGGACCCTCGCCTGTGCTGTCCCCTCTAGCTGCACTGAGCTCTGACCTCCTTGCACCCAGAGCTACCTCAGAAGTCCATCCACTAGGACGCCACACAGAATCTGTCTCACACAGACACCCTGTCAGAAATTCTGCCTGTAGTGCCGGCCACCACTGTACCACCGCCACCCGCACACCCACCACATTTCTCCTCTCCAAGGGCTCTGGGCCAAGCCCACCTGCACAGTTCTAGACCCCAGTGAAATGAGCAGCTCTTGCTCTCCAGCATGATCACAGCCCTGCAAGGATTTTGTACAGGGAGGGGGACAAATCCTGAACCCCCACGTTCTATTGTGAACCCAACAGACATGGTACTGCTGTTGGCTGTCAGCAGCTGAGTTCCCAAGTCCTGGAGCACAGATGCAAAACCACATGCACAGTCCCTGGAAGACGGCCAGCGGGCCCATCCACTCCAGTGACGGGCTGCCCAGGGAGCAGGGAGTCCTCCATCACCTGCAAATGCCATTGTCCTCCGCGCAGGCGCAGAGATTACCTGGAATCCGAAGCAGATGGTTGGGAAGACACTGAACACCGAGGTCCAGGAGGAAGAGCTGTGAATACACCAGAACAGGTGCTTATTATGCAAAGTTATTTTCTAAAGAACCTTCAGCTTGAATGTGAGTTTAAATGATACCAGGAAGATGTAAGTGTGACTGTAAGATACATTTTAATTACTGCATTCACTACCGGGTCTGGTGTGGGGGAGGGAAAGGATGCAGGTTAAATGCTGCACTATCTAAATACATCTTCAGTGTCTTCACTGACCCTTGGTAAGTTAACTTGACGTTCCCTGCATTGGCAGAGGTGGGCAGGGAAAGACTGAAGAAACTCCCGACCTCCCTCTTGAGGCAGGCTGCCTAGCGGCAATGAGGCTAGGGGCTGGAGCTCACATCTGAGCATGAACCAGCTGAATCTTCAGCTCAGGCCTCTCAGTGGTCCCCACCTGATGGCACCAGCTCCCTTGGACGGGGACCTCTTGGAGCCAGTCTGCAGCACCGTCGGAGAAATACAGCAGAGCGGGGCATAACCAGAAGTACCATTTGCTGGTTGGGACAGAATGAAGGTCCCCAAAAAGATCCACGACCTAATATTGGGAACCCGTGAGCGTGTAACCTGACATAGCAAAATTTCACTTTGTAGATGGGATTAAAGTTAAGGACTTTGAGAAGACATCCTGGACGACCCAAGCCAGTGAATCCCATGAATCTTTGGAATGTGAGCAGCTTCCCCAGCAGCGGTCAGAGAAGCTGTGGTTACAGAACCAGGGGAGAGGGAATGATGCTGACTTTGCACCACGGGCCAAGAATGCAGGTGCCACTAGAAGTAGAAAAGCAAAGAAATGGTGCATCCCTGGAGCCTCCGGAAGGAACAGTCCTGCCCATACCTTGATTTTAGACCCCCAGGCTCATTTTGGACTTCTGAGCTCTGGAACTCTATGATGTGCTCTTAAAACAGCACATTTGCTGTTTTAAGCCACAAAATTGGTGGTCATTTGTTACAGCAGCCACAGGAAACTGATAATAAGGGTATCTCTCGTTCTAGCCTGCTCTGGCTTCCCCTTCCTGCCTCCAGGGATGGTCCAGAGTCAGAAGCAGGGTGCCCATGCTCTCGCTGCTCCGTCTCCAGCCTACATCCTCTGTCCTCAGGTGCTCAGCCGAGACTTTCCTATGGCGGAGACCCAAGCCCCAGCCCCCATCTCCAGCACACAGCGCCCTCCCCTCCTGCCCACTTGATGGGATTAGTGGGAATCTGGCCCTCCCCGGCTCCATTTTTCCTTCTCTACTGGATTATCCCCATCACCATACACACGTGCTGTTGCCTCTGGCCCCACAGTCCTGCCCAATCCTCTCCTCTCCTCTCCTCCTGGAAGAGCTGTCTTTTTTTGTCTCCTCTCTTTTCTGCTGAACCCTACCCACAGCCTCAGCCTGCTCTCCTGCCCTGACATAGCTCATCATGCCACCAAAGACCTTCACAGCCAATGTGATGCCCAGACTCGGTCACATGGAACATGGGAGCAGCGTGTGGCAGCGGATCACTCAGCCTTCCTGAAACTTCTAAGCCCCTCCTTCTAGTCACCGTCCACACTGGGTTGAATATTGTCTCCCAAATTTATCTCCACTGGGAACCTCGAAACAAAGCCCTATTGGGACTAGGATCTTCACAGGTGTAATTAGTTAAATTAAGAGGAAGGTATAGTGGAGCAGGGTGTCATGGAGGAGAAAACGCACAGGGACAGACGCAGAGAAGATGGCCACATGACCACAGAGGTAGAGATGGAGGGAAGTGTCTCCAGGCCCAGGAACACCCAGGATTGCTGGGACCACCAGGAGCTGGAAAAGGCAGGAAGCCTGGAAGCCAGCCCCCCACACTCTGATTTTGGGCTTCAAGTATCCGGGTCTGAGAAGAATCTCTGTTTTCAGCCACCATTTCATGGCCATTTGTTACAGGGGCTCAATAAGCAAATACACCTTCCTAACTCCTCACTTTGTCCCCATCCTCCCCAGCTCCTCCTCCCCCCTGGCCTCCCAGTGCCTGATGAACAGGCAGGCAGAGTACCACAGGCTCAGGGTACCATTCTCACCAGACTCACAGCCTTAAAGGCTACCTTCGAGCCAAGACAGACACATCCCCCCCTCCTCCCTGGCCTCTCCGCAGACACACAGATCTTGGCCAGCAACCTGGTCTCAAGGATGGCTCCAACTTGTCACATCCCGCTGACGTCCCCAGCCTCCAGCACCTCTGCACTCCATCCATCCTGAGAAAGGGTAGGTGTGACTTCCCAGTGTTCTGAACTTCCCAAAGTTCAGAGGCACCTGGACCCTTCCCTCTCACACTCCATTTCTGACCCATCACCAGGAGCCACTGCAGCATTTGTGGGGCTAGTGTAAAACCAACTTGCTGCGGCCCTTAACAACAATGAAAAGCATCAGCGTGTTAGACCACATGCAGGGCCCTTCCGGGCATCGGGCATGGATGGCTGCACCAGTCACACACCCCTAGAGCCCACCCTGCCACCAGTAGAAGTGACTTCAAGCCTTGCTGTGCTCAAAACTCTGTGGGGTGCAGAGGGCTCACCTTAGCCCAAGCCCCACAGGACAAGCCCATCCCTCCATCCCCACCCCCTGGCATCCAGGCATCTCTGGAACTTCTGTCCAGGCACCTCCATCTTTAAATGAGTTTTGCTGCCTCCACTGTGTGGGAGACACATGTGGGCAGTCCAGAAGGCTGGGATGGCATTTTGTGCCTTTATATCCCTGGAACTATCCCTGTGTCTGTCCTAGAGGAGGGAAGTGGCCAGCTCTTGGCTGTGTCACTATGGAGACAGAAGGATTTCTGGGGAGGAGCCAAGGATCTGGGCAACCCTGATGGGGGTGAAAGGTTCCTTTTCCAACTTTTGGCCCCCTGGGAAATCATGAAAAGGCGCCCCATCAGACTCACCTGAGTGCAGTGCGGGGCTCCCGAGCAAGGGCCTGGGGTCCCAGGTAGTACTGCACCACGATGACCAGGGTCAGGTAGCAGGCGGCCAGTGTGCCTAGAATGCTGACAGAGGCGCAGGTAGGGGCCTCCCAGGTGAGTGCCATGTACCAGGCAAGCACAGGGGCACCAGCCCCCTAGGAGGACCAGGGAGTCCTACAGAGGGGTCTGCATGCCAGCTCTGCCCAAGATAGCAAGATACCACACCAAGTTTTCACTGCTTTCTGCCTCAGTTTCCCTGTCTGTACAATGAGCACAGTGGGCAGCCCATCTGAGGGAGGCAGGGCTGTTCTCCACCCAGGGGTCAGATTTGCTGAGTTCCTCACCAGGCTGGAACCTGTGACAGCTACAGATGCCTGCATATCACAACAAAAGCCAAATATCCAGGTCATGACACTGCTTGCTCAGCCTCACAGCAGCAGGGAAGAGGCCCCAACTCGCTGAAGAGAACAAGAGAGGCTGACCAGGGCTGGAGGCAGGGACACTCTGGTCTCCTGCCCACGTTTCCCTCCCTCATTTCCAAGGTAAAAAGAGGGGAAGGCAGGCAGCACATACTTTGTACCAACGCTTATGCCACTTTTCTTCAGCGTCTCAGACCACAAAATGAGAAAACAAGGATGTGTGTCTGTGTCCCTTCTGGTACGTGTGTGCATAACAAGTCTGTAATGATCAAACAGTAAAATGCTAGCAGCAGGTGAGGCCGTGCAGCAACTTTCCTGATTGCTTACCCATATTTCCTATCACACACATGTAGTACTGGTGGCATTTTTCATTATCCTGCCCTGTCCAAATGGGAAGCCCAAGTTGGCAGCTCTCCACAAACACTGGCCGCTACCGCACTCCCCCCCTGCCGCCCCACTAATCATCTGCAGGCTCGTACCTTGTGTACTTCTGGAAGCCGATCTCCCTCGGGGCAGACAGAGGCAGGATGACCAGCACAGCGAGCAGGGTCAGGGTGAAGCGCTGGTCTGCGTACCAGGGCTGCGGGGTGCTGGGCAGGAGGAAGTCACACACTGGTGGGAAGGAGGGAAGGTGCTCAGCAGGTCAGACCCCAGCCAGAGTGCCGGAGTCGTCCCTGGATGGGTTCACTACCGGCGCTAAGTCAGTCCCCTGGGCATAAAGGCCGGGGATGACAAGCATGACAGGGATGCTGTCACATCCAACCACCAAAGAAGAAATTCCACGCACAAATTCATTCCCCAGCCAGACATAGCTCAGGTGCAGAAACCCAGCCACGAAAGAGGGAGCCATCTGCCCGAGGCACCTTGGCCCTCAAGTTCTAAAGAAAGATCCTGTTTCCCAGGAATTCAAGAGGCATGTGGCGTCCCCAGAGGCCTGCAGCTACCCAGCATCAGGACTGTGCTTCCCTGCGGCTGCCACCACCACCTCAAGGAGTGACTGAGAAACACCACTTCATTATCTGTCACGAACTGTGGGTGCAGAATGAGGATGGGACTAGGGCAGCTTCTGTTCCCGGTGGGATCAGGTAAGGTAACTTAAAGGTATTTGTCTGGAAGAAGGACTGGTGTGGAGCGTGTCTAGTGCCTGTTGAGAAAGGGGGAAATAAGTAGGGGCCTCCCTGCACTCTCAGGGTCTTCCTACATGGACTCTATAACAGGATTGTCATTCGGGGACTCCTGGATACCAAAGTGCCCGTCCTCGGTGAGGCTGGCCTGGAACTGGCCTGTGTCACATCTGCCCTACTCTTCAGGCCAAACTGTCACAGAGCCCACCCTAACTCGGGGGAAGGAGACAGACACCCCAGCAACTTCTCAATGGAAAGGACATCAAAGAATCTGACACAGTATTTATTCTGTCACAGCAAGATGGAAAATTTGTAGCTGATAGAAGAGGCAAGACAGATGGGAGAGGGAAGCAAATGGGAGATGGCAAGAAGGCAGGAGGCCGGAACTGCTGGGGCAGGGTGGCCCTGCAGGCCCCTGGGAGTGTGGGGGTGGACTGAGCGCTGGCCCATCGCCCACTTGTGTTGCCATAACTCAACCCTGCTCTGTTCTCACCAAATAATATGGCCAGTCATGCGAAGAAATAAATACCTCATGAGAACAGCTTGTTTCCACTGAAAGGACAAAGAATTCCACATCAAGGTCATTAGACAGAGGCACTCACATGGGAAGATAGGCGGCATTCCGGGCCAGCAAGGAGACACGCACGCAAGGTGCACAGAGGTCTGGCTAAGTGTTAAACCCTGTGTGGCACGTGACGCGAGACACAGGGTTCCTGCAGCCAGGTTACACCAGCTGTTTTCTGAGCCAGTACTTTCTAAAACATTCCTTGATGTCCTCAGCTCGTCACTTATGTGCTCAGTGACACCCCCAAGCACACCACTTCTATTTAGGCCTCCTCCCAAGCAGCGTGGACTGCTATCCCAAGAACTAACTGGTAACACACTGGCATGCTCCCCCCACAGTCACCCGTCAGAGCCAGGAGGCTGCGCCCTAGCCAGTACTGCATTACAGAGGCTCAGAATCCTTCTCAACACAGCTACACTCCCACTGGACTTGCCACAGGGAGGCAGGGTGTTGTACCCCCCGAGAGGTTCAGATTACCAGCCTTGATACATTTGGGGATAATGGTGCTCCCCAAGACATGCAAACCTTTCCTGCGCTATCCAGAGGCAGGGCCTTTTCATTCATGGTTCAAGAGACAGAAAAACACACGCAGAACATTGGACCGAAATCCAACCACATCAGTAATTACATTCCAATTAAAAGTCTGAGAGCATTAAGATGACAAAAAAGCAAGACCCGACCATCTGCTGTGTACAAAGAACGCAAATTTTAAAATCTCAGGTTCCACAGGAAAGGACGGGGAGAGAAATGTGGGAACGCTCATCTATGCAGCTGGAGAGACAACATTCGCAGCAGAGAGGGTCCATTTAGTGACAGCTTTGCAGGAACAAAGGGATGTGTCCTCAGCAGCAAAGAGCAATTCACAGGTGTGCGTCCAACAGCAGAGCTTCCAAAATCATGAGGCCAGAACAGGCAGAATAGAAGGAACAACAGACAAATCTGCAGTCACAGCTGGAGATTTTCACTCCCCTCAGAAGCTGATAGAATAATTAGACCCTCACTCTACCCCCACCCCCAAATCAATAACACTATGAAAGTTCTAGCTGCTCAAAGCTGTGGGCCACCTGGATATATGGAAATTTCCAGAACACTGCAGCCACTGCAGAACACACGGGAATGCTGACTGAGACAGACCATGTAGAGGCCACGAGACAAGTCTCCAATGCACAGTGAGCAGCCACACAGTGAGTCTACCATGCAATTAAGGCAGAAGCCAGAAAGGGATCTAGAAAACTACCCCTAAACTGAAAATCAAACAAAACATTCTAACACTCTAAACATTCCACAAGTCAAAGAAAAAAGCATAGCAAAAAACAGCAATTATTTTGGATGGCATGAAATGAAAATAAATAAAAATTGATAGAAGCAACTAAAGCAATGCTTAGAGAAACTATTAGTTTCTCTACTAGAGAACTAGAGACCTTGGACTAGAGACCAAGGCTGCAGGCAGGGGGCTGAGCCTGTCTTCCCAAAAGTCAAGGTGCTGGTGGTTCCACTGAGCAGGCTCGTAAGCCATCTGTTAGTGGAGTGCCCCCCAGCCACCAGAGCCACAGCCTCTCCCCAAGAATCTCCTGGTGCTGAGAATCATGAATGCCCTCCCTCCCTCCCCTGCACTGCCAGGAGGCTCAGAGGTGGTCATGGCCTCTGCTGTCGCCCAGCCGTGTCTACCTCCCACTCATCAGGCTTGGCAGCCCAGGGCCAAGCAGGTACTTACACTTCTCCAGCTGGTCCCCAATCACCCTGAGGAAGGCCACGGAGATCATGAGCAGATTGACACTGAAGCAGGCCTCGCACAGCTTCCCAATGGTGGGGCCACACAGCTCTCCCACCACGCTCTGGTAGGTGGCCTGGCCGCTGACAGAGGCTGCGTAGCCCAGGATGACCAGCCCACTGATCAGAAAGACCAAGGAGACCTGCAGGGCAGGAGCATGGGCCAGGGCATGCCCTTAGCTCGCTGTCCAGCCAGCTGCCCCTGGGGACTCTGACATCACTCCCCCCTGAGGCCTGTCACCAGCAGAGGCCATGCTTGCCTACAGACTAGGGACTTCTCCCACTTGCCACCAGTCCTAGCCCTGAACCCAGTGCTGCAAAGAAGGCCCATGGTCCAGGACCCCTGGTTCCATGTCTGTGTATCTGAGATTGTCACCAATATGGACCAATTGACAAAATGAGGCCTCAGAAACCTAAAATTTCAACGAGTCTCTTGAAATCACCTGTGTTGTGGATGGAGAGGCAGGAAAGCAGAGTGGGCAGGATCCAGGCACACCTGGGTTCAGATTCTAGCTCTGCTCAGTGGGGTGAGGGCGACCATCCACCTGCTCTTCCATCTGTGAAATAGGTTGATCTCCCCTCCCCTCCAGGGGTGCTGAGGCATTCAGACTAAACAAGCATGTGACTTAGCACTTACCTCAGTGCCCCGCACGCAACAAGTGCTCAGAATATACTGAGCATTCTACCCTTTTCTAATGCTCTCTCCACTTCAGCCTATTCTTTCAATGTTCTCAAACACTTTTCAACACAGAGAGAGGTGTCCAGGTTGCAGCGCTGGCACTCCCCAGGAGCGCATCACTGCTTGCTCTGCCATAGCTCCAGCCAAGCAATTATGCCTCTGCGCATCTGGGAGGCCCTTAATTTGGGGTACATTGGACTTGCTGCACATGAGATGCTTTTGAGCCTCTCCAGCACCGACCGCTACACGTCCCTAAGTTGAACTAGTCTCCAGGCCCAAACTCCTTGCCCACATTTATTTGGAGTAAGCATGAACCAGGAGAGGTTTAGTTGGAAAGCCCAGGGGAGCTAGAATGGCTGTCTTAAGACATAGTTCATGCCCCTGGACTAGCAGATTTGCTCTGTACTATCCAGAAGCCAGCTCTGAAGCTGCTGAGCAGTTTCTAATTAAGCCTTGCGAGAGCAACCTTTCAGAGTCAGGACACCTCAATCCCTCTAGCCACTGGACCTTTGCCCATGCCAGTTCCTTTCCCTGGAGCCCCCTCCTCTCACTCTACACCTCCTCAGCAGGGAAAGTCTTTCAGTCAGTGACACTCCACCCCGAGAGAGGTAGGCCACACCTTTCTTAGGCACACTTCTTCTAGAAGTAGGTGGAATGGTGGGCCCCCGACAGGTAAGCCCACATTCTGAACCTGTCAAAGTGACTCAGTGAGCCCAGTCTCTGCAGATGTAAATAATGAGTATGTAATTAATGAAAAAGGGTCTTTGCAGGTATAATTAAGGCCCTGGATCATTCATGTGGGTCTCAACCCAATGACAAGTGTCCTTGTAGGAGACATTAGAGGAGACTGTGTAAGAGCCTGGGGGAGGCACCCACCAGTCAAGGACACCTGAAGCCCCAGGAGCTGGAAGAGGCAGGAAGGACTGACCCCTAGAGCCCCAGAGGGAGATGGCCCTGCCACGCTGGATCTCAGATTTCTAGCATCCAGCACTGAGAACTCCACGGTCATTAGGCCAATTTATGGCCCAACAGCCCTGGGCACTGATACATCTGCCTGCACATGCATTATACAGTCCCTCACCCACCAGACTGGGAGCTCTGGGAAGACCAGGATCGTGTCTGGGTTTTGTTTACCGATTGACCCCAGAAAGGAGCCTGGCACACAGCATGCACTCAGGAGACATTTGTGGATGAAGGGAGAGAAGGAAGTTCAGAGAGAGCTGAGACGCTGAGCAGCACAGCAGCAAAGAGCCTTTGCCTCTGCCCCACCCCCACGCTTGGGTTCCTCCTCTCTGCAGCTTCAGGGAGGGTCCGGGTTCATCCAATCTCATTTAGCCTCCACTAAGAGGTTGATAGAGAGGACACCCTCCACCATTGTGCCCCGGGAGTGGGGTTGTTTACACGCTGCTGGACCAGTGGGGCCCTGGGAAAGGGCAGAGCCTCAACAGGTAAGGAGGGAGGCAGGTTTCACAGTCTCTTCCACCACCCAGACTGAGCCACCACCAGACGCAGCCCCTTTCTCAGGCAGCTCTGCGTGAAAAAATGAACAGCTAGAGGAGGAAGGGGGACAGTGTTTGCTGATGACCAAACTGATTCTTTCCCCTGCTGGGAGTTTCCACTGGTCCACGTTCTCATATGGGGACCCAGGCGAAGCACGATCCACACCAGCAGCAACCTTGTCTCTGAGGAGCTAGTCAGAAATGGATGACCTCAGGTCCACCCAGACCTGCCGAATCAGCATGTCATTTCACAGGGAGCCTGGGGCTTGTGTGCAAAGTGAGACACGATGGACAGCCTGCTGCCCTAGAGTGGTCACACCTGTATTTGACCATGGATTCCCACCCTCAGCCCCACCTATTTTATCACTGAGCCTTCGTGGTTAGAGAGAGAGTTTCCTCCCCGGGGCTCTAGAAGGTCGGTCTTTCTGCTGCATGTGTCCAGACACAGCCATGCTGGCCCTCACATGCACCTGGACACCTCGTTCATCTCTGCTGGGGCTCAGGTCAACATCACCTCCTCAGTGAGGCCTTCACTGACCACCCTGCATCACATCATCCCACCTTATGCCTCCTGGCACTGCCCACCACCTGAAACTATTATGTTGGGCTTCTGTGTCTTTTAGGAGTTCCCCATAAGAACAAGCTCCATGGCAACAAGCACCACACTGCCCTGGCCCTCCAACCATGCTGGGGGATGCCAGGCCACACCAGACACTACACAGGAAAGATTCACCAGTTTCCAGGACACAAAAGGCCCCAAAGATGGTTATAACACAGTCATACCAGCTGGCAGCCGTAAGAGTCTGTGAGCTCACCATGAAACAAACACTGTGTTCCCAACAGCCGGAGGAAAGGAATCTTTGCAAGTAAGGTAAAGCTGTGCTGCTGACTCCCCCCACCACAGCTCAGCTCCCAGGCACTCTGGAGGGGTTTTGGGCTGGTCCTGCAGCCACAAAGTGGCTGAATCCCCTGGGACACCACAGAAGACCTGACCCAGCGGGATATGGAAATGTCACAGGCAGTCTTAGCCCTAATCCCACCTGCACACAGCACTGATTCTTAGGCATTGCGCTGAGACCGCAGTCAGCTGCTCAGAGTGGGCCCTACCCAGCTAACAGTGCTAGGTAATTCGGTGTAGGCATCCTGCCACTCACAGAGCTTGGCAAGGGCTCTCCGTGTACACCTAGATGTGTGCCAGCCCCCACAGCCCAGAGGTCACCCTCTATAGCACCAAGCACACCATATTCTCCCCTGGCGAGCCCAGGGAGACAAAACCAAATCCTGAGGATTTGGTTGACAGAAGCAATCCCGGCACCCCACCTGCCCCAAGTAACACCCCCACTCAGTGCTTGCCAGTTGCTTACCAGCTCCACCAGGAGGGCAGGGGCCACACCACCTGCCTTGTGGAAGGCCCAGGGGAAGTTGAGTAGGCCAGCCCCCAGTGCAGATTTCAGGAGAATGAAGCTGGCACCCAGTGAGGACAGGCCGGGGCTTGGGGCCATAGGGATCTGCTTTTCCAAAAGGCCTCTGCTTTGTGGGGCTCCACCCTCCATGAATAGAAACAGCAGAGGGCAGGCAAGGGCTGTCTTCACACTTCAGGTTCAGAGTTGTTGTAGAGCTGCAACAGTCCCATCAGAACCAATGCCTCCCCCTCCACAAGTCACCAGCCACCTCTCCCTGTGTTCTGCCACCCCTTTCTCAAGCAACCTACATCCAATGGCCATGACTCCCGGTGCTCACCCCCCTTCTAGTCACTGCTCTCTCCCAGCATCCTTGCCACCCCCACCTCCAACCACACCTCTGCACTAACTGCTCCACCCCAGTCCTTACCACTGACTCCAAACCTCAGACTGTCCTCAGTCATCAGGAACTCGGGCTCCCTCCATGGTTCAGCTTCATTTCTGGGGCCAAATACCTGGGTAGAAGATTCTAGTTCTGCCTGGGGTAGATGAATCACAAGTCATAAATTAGGGGGGCCCTAGTGAATGTTGTGATCATGTCCCAAAGCCTGGGCAGACAGGGACAAGTAGTCAGAGGCAGGTGTCCCAAGCACTGGCAGTGCCTGAGACTCCTGGCCTGTGAAAGGAATCTTAAGGCTCCCACCTCCCCTGCAGCAGAGCAGGCCCCTCCTCAGAGAGGGTGGAGGGAGATCAGCTGGGAGAGATCAAGGGGGCTCAAGCAGTGACCTGAGCCAGTTTTTTTATTGCCTCTTCCCTCAGATGCTCCTCTGAGGCCCCCAGTCTGAAGGAGAGAGTGGAAACAGCGTAGAGCAAAAGCGGGTTGTCTGTCTACTGCAAAGTGGGCTACAGAAGTGGCAAACATGTGCAAAGGCCAGGCAGTCAGCAGCTGCTTCCTTGCACATGCGGATGCCCTGGAGGTCTTGTTGAAATGCAGCTTTGGGTTCATCCCCCTTGGGTGGAGCAGAGATCCCACTTTAACCACAAGCTCCAAGAGGTGGTCCTGGGCTCACACTTTGATTAGAGATCCCATCTGACCTGATATATCATCAGTGCAGGTGGCAGAATATCAAGATTGAACCCATTCTGGAAAAAGCAGATTACAAAGGTCAGAACTCAAATTTAAATGTGAACCTGTTTATTCCTGGTGCCTTCAAAGGCACGTAAGAACAGATGCCCAGCCATCCTGGTGTTTCCAACTCATGGATCTGAGTGGGGAGTTGCTGTTGCTGGGTTGGGGACCCCATGCTGAGAAGCACTGCTATAATTAGGCATCCCAAAGCTCAGTGTTCACCCACCAAGTTCTCCTCTGTCCAACACAGGTCAGCCCTACAGACTTGAGCTTCCAGAGGTTTTTCCTCATCTCAACACCTGGTGGCGTGACTACTGTGCAGACTAGGTAGCAGTCACCAGTGTCTGACCAGCTGCCCTGCCAGGCTCTCAACGCAGCAAGAAGGGAGGAGAACTGTGTCCACTGAATCCTCACACGGAACCAAAGGGGTCAAGGTCCAGGACAGCGATGTGCTCAGGCCAGTGGAGCAGGTGGTTAAAAATGCCCTGACCAACAAGTATGGCACTAGATGCATGCACAGCCTGTGATGTCGAGCTGCCGCCCACACCCCAACTCTCACAGTCCAGGGCAGGTGTTAAGTGAATGAACCGATGAACAGAGTCCAGGAAATTTACATGGCCCTGGTGGTAAAGGGGCACCCCTCCCCGAGGATCCCTCCTTCCCAGTCTTCTACCCCCCAAAGCAACCCTGAGGCAGTGAGAAAGGAGACACAGCCCTCCCAGCAGCCTTGGCTTTGTAATTCTTAATCTGGGACCTGGGGCGCCTCCTGCATTTTCCCCTTGGATCCCTCATTAGCTGCCCATTAACACGCATGGCTTAGAAATTGGCCACTGGGCTGTGAAATTCCACTCAATGGGAAAGCCTCTTAAATCAAGGGCCTTTGATGTCCACTCTCTGCTGACCTTTCCCGCTGGAGGCACCCTGCAGGGAGGGCCCCAGCTTGGCAGGAACTGGGTCCCCAGGGGCACAGTGCAGAGGAACACAGGGGCCCAGGTGGAAGAAGCAGGGGCACTCACCTGCCCCCACACGCTCCAGAGCTTTCTCCCATCTTGCCCTACCAGGTGAGCTCCCAGCACTAAGGTTATTCCCAAGGGTTCCGTCATCCTTTGTTCAGGGAGTTGTGGTCACCCACCAAGTTGGGAAATTCCAGGGAGAAGCCACAGGGGCTCACTCTCCTGGACCTATGTGCTCACACCCCCTGTCTGGGAGAGAGATGAGGACAGTTCTCAGGATCCAGAAAGCTTGGATCTGAAGGGTAACTTTGCCACTTGCTGGCTCTGGGCCTGGCAACAGCTGGGCTCCCTTGTAAAATGGAGAGACACAGGGCCATCAGGTGGTTCCATGACCCAGAGAGTGCAGTGCTCGTGAGCTGCTGCCACCGCTGAAGCAAGAACACGCCTCATTTGGTCACGTTTATGGTTTATGTGTCTTTACCTGAGTTGGACTCTTAGCTTCTATAACTGTTCTGAACCTTGGCTACCCCAAGAATACCCAAGGACCTCAAACTGTCGATGCCAGGCTTCAGATAAAGTTCTTTTAGGGTGGAAGGAAGGTCAATTTTCTGTAGAGCTCAAGCGCTGCTGACGCGCCAGACGTTTCTGGGCAGGTGGGGTCACTATCTCAGCCATATGTCCCTTTCTTCTCTAGAGTTCTCAGGGAACAACCTCCTACTGGCAACAAATGACAACTGAGGGGCAGAGACCCAGAGTGTCAGCTGAAAGATGGCCCTAAAAATGTCTCACCCTGGTTCCAGAGCCGGGGAAGCTGTGACCTGACAGGAAAAAAAGGACATCTACCAGTGAGATTGAGGAACTTAAGATGGGAGTGTCCTGACTGTAAGAGGGACATTAGTCAGCATACTGTCCTTATCACAGGAAGGGTGAGAGATAAGGGAGGAGGAAGTGATGTGGCCACCAAAGCAGAAGCTGGAAGGTGAAAGAAGTGGCCGCAGCTCAAGGAATGAGGGGGTTCTAAAAGCTGGAAAAGGCAAGAGAAGGGATTCTCTCCCAAAGTCTCCAGAAGGAACTAGCCCGCTGACAACTGACTTTAGCCTGCAGAGTGACTTACAACCTCCAGAACTGTCAGAGAACATAAGGGCAATAAGGAATAGAATGGACTTGGCCTCCTGAGTTCTAAAGGTAAGCCCTGCAGCAGGATCTTGTACAGAGCAAAACTGGGCCATCAGGAGAAATGTGGCCAAGAGCAGGGGCCAGGCCAAGTCCTGCGCCCTTCTCCCTCTAGTCAAGGGCCAGCGCCGAGTTCTGTTGGAGTCCCCAGTCTGGGTGAAGAAAGGGGGCATGCACTTTGGCAGAGAGTAAGTGCTGAACTTCTTCCCACCTGTGGCATCCTGAAGATAAAGCTCCAGGGAGGGCTCAACATCGGACCAGAGAGGGAATCATAGGGCACAGGGCCAGCAGGGAGCAAGACCATCCATATCTCTGGCAGGTGTGGTCGTCAGCTGGGTCCTGACCTCTGGATCCAGGTTGACTTTGGCATCTGGAGAGTCAGAGAATCTCAGGTTCCAGCCCTGCCAGTTGTTAAGAATTGCCCAGGGAGATGTTTTTTCATGCTGCAATTCATGTAAGAGTCACCATTTTAAAACATGCAACACAGCAGCATTCAGCACAGTGTCTATGCCATGCAGCCAGCACCCATGTCTAACCCAGAAAATTCTCATTGACTGTGCGGTGGCCACAAGCCCATGAGCAGCTCTCCCCACCTCCCCTTCCCTCTCCGGGAGCCACCATGAATCTGGATTATAGATACAGCCTCTCCCTCCTTCCCACTCAGTCCTCCTCACCTGCAATGTGAAGACAGTTCTCTGATGTTCGGCCAGTTGGCAGAAAGAAAACCAACCAGTCACTTGGGAGATCAAAATGAACCAGCTATCTTGGGTTAGCCCAGTTTCTTAGATATGGCACCTAACAAATAAAATGGATTTCATCAAATTTAAACATTCATGATTCTAAGGATACCGTAAAGAAAATGAAAAGAAAACTTAACAGAATGAAAAAAGTACCGGTAGGGTACCTATATCTGCAATTTGTAAAGAATTCTCTTAATAATCAAAAGATCACCTAATTACATAACAGGCAAAGAGTTAGGACATTTTGCCATATGAAGATATACAAATGGTCAATAAGCACATGAAAAAATGCTCAACATCATTAGTCTTCAGGGAAAAGTAACAATGCCATGAGACACCACTTCATACTCCCCCAGCTGGCTAGAATCAAGAAAATGGATAATAACAAGTGTTGACAAGGATGTGGAGAAATTGGAACCCTCCCACTCTACTGCTGGGAATGCCTAGTGCTGCAGCCACTTTGGAAAAGTTTGGCGGCTCCTCAAAAGGTTGAACACACAGATATAAGATTTTACCTCCCAGGTAAACCTAGGTAAACAGAACGGATTTTACTCCTAGGTAAACAGAATGGAAAATCTCTGTACATGAGTACACAAACATTTGTACATGAGCACCCACCACAATACTATCCACAACAACCAGAAAGTGCAACTGGCTGAAACCCACTGATTGAAGAACAGATGGACAAAATGGGGTCCAGCCACACAATGGACCGTCACACATGCAGATGGACGAAGTACTGGGCACACACTACAACATGGTGAGTCTTGAACACGTGCCCAAGAGAGAGGTCATTTGCAAAAGGCAGGCACTGCGTGATTCCAGGTACATGGAACGTACTGCGTAGACATGTCCAGAGCGACAGCTCATGAGCTCATGAATGCTTGCTGGGACTGTAGCAAGGGGACAGAGTTGGATTAGCTACTAGGCATGGCGGCGGGAGGGTGGGTGAAAAGAAGTTCCAGAAATACAGTGGTGAATGTTGCACAGCCTTGCACAACATTGTGACTGTGCTAAAAACCAATGAACCGTATATACTCCTAAAATGCAAAATTTTATGGCATATGAATTACATCTCAAAAAATATCATTATTAAATGGGCTGATTCAGAACCCATTCCAGGCTGTCATCAAAGAGAAACAGGCAGGTAGAAAAAGAGCCCATTACACATTCATGTTAACTTCATACAGGTAATGCATATTTATTGAAAATTTTCTTCACCGACAATGGTGAAATCAAGACCCCAAATTACAAAACATGATGGCAGTTGATACAAAAATAAAGCAAAGGTCTATGTTTCACAGATTTGTGCACGTTTCCTTCAAATTTCAATCTGTCCTTCCATCAAAAAGGAGGTCACAAAATCTGTGTTATTCCTCATGATGTAATAGTAAAAAACCGCATTCCATTGACAAAAAAAATAGCTTTGCTTCCAAAGAGCACAAGTCTTTAAAGTGACTTTTCCCAACAATAAATATATAAAATAGCCTTTAATGAGCATGTTTTAGCTTGGTCAGAGTTGTCTCGCTGGTTTGAACGGACACCCTTCCCCTCAGGGAGAAGGCCCGACAGCCTCGGTGCTCTTCAGTCTTCAGTGCACGCAGCAGGGGATGGAGTCTGACCCCAGGCCCCTCCACTGCATCCCTTCTGTGGGCCCTAGCCAGGGGACACTCAAGATGGACCTTGGCCCTCCACATAGCAGAGGAGGAAGACCCATTTAGATAAAACCACCACTGAAGACTCCATCCCCTTTACACAGGCGGCCCCCTGAAACTTCATAGCTCCATCTGCCGAGGCCACTGCCAAGGTTCTTTGGCTCTCATGGTCAGCTGGTGTGACAGTCACACTGAAGGGGTTTTTGGGGGGTGAACCTGCTGCATAAGCTGTGGTCGCTTCACTCGGGGCTTCCTCCGCTTCGGCCTGCTTTTGGCCTTGTTGATTTGTACCACAAAGAAGGCCAGGACCACCATGGCTCCCAGGAAGGCAAAGACAGGAATGGTCTGACCCACCTCTTGGTTGTAGCGGCCAGGCATGATCCCTGCAATAGGACAGCGCGTGACGGTCAATACAACACAGTCACACAACACAGCCTCCTCTGAGAGATGGACTCATCAAAAATGAAACTCTGGCTACCTCATCAGCTGGGCTTGTGGGGCAAATGCACTTTTTATAGCTCAGCTGAGTAACTCAGGCCACAGGCCATTACCAGGGAAGGACCATGCACTGAGCTAGCTCAGATTAGGGCTTTCCTTATGGCGTATATGGGGGGGAGGGGGGGGAGGAAGGGTGCGTTTCTCTGTTCCCTGTGCTTACCTCAGAAACAAGCACTGGCCTTTATTCTGTCACAAATAATCCACACTAGGAGCACATGCTGTTTTCTGTTCCCATAAAGACAACAATGAGGGGGCCTCCCCGGTGGTGCTGGGTTGCCAGGCTGCCCGCAGCCTCTGCAGCGCCGGTTTGATCCCCAGCTGCTCCCCGGCCACCAGAGGGTCCCACATGGCACGCAGACCTCTCCTGCCACCCGCTGCTCCCCTCAGCAGTGTACTTCAGTCCTTCTGCCTGCTCTGCTCCCTGCTCTGGCTCTGGTGAATTCTCTCGCCCTCCCGCGCTTCTGACTGTACCCAGTGCTTGTGTTAATGAATAAATAAATCTTTTAAAAAAAAAAAAAAGACAACAATGAGGGACAAGAGGCGGGTGCTGGGGGTATGAGTAGCAGAGTAAAGGTAAAGAGGGAGGCCAGGTGTGGAGATAAGGACTGCTGCTGTGCACTTATCCTTCTGGAAAGCCCCCATAACTGGGCCCCAGTGCCCTTCCTCAGTAGGAAAGTGTTTAAGTAAGCACTGGAGGACCCTTAGTTTCTACTGCAGTGTGACTTTGTAGCTGACACTGGGTTCAATAATGTACTATCATCATTGCACCCATGACCCGAAGACAAGGAAGGTACTCAGGAGGTTGGTGTCACCACACAGTCCTCAGAGGTGGACTACATAGGCCCCTTTCTAATACTCAGAATTTCCAAGCCAATTCCCAGAGCCAGGAAACCACCACCCAGGGAGCTGGAAACTCCTGGAAAACCACAGGGATTTCCAGAGAAAGCACTGCCCACTCTCTGCAGGAATGACTTATCCCAGATAACGGCTAACCGATTCCTGATAGTCTAACAGATCAAAGCCATCACCTGGGGAGCAGACATTTTATGTCATTTGGGTAGAGGGGACAGAATCAGATCACTTAGGGGGCACATACCCGAATTTAACCAAAAATCCCAGCCCAGTGAAGGCCTATGTTGGGCAACATATGGCGGAGCATAGGTAGAGACCTCTGAAGGCTGAGGGGCCATGTGTCGCCACTATTTGGAACCAAACCCAGCAAATGACAGTAATCCCCTGGGGTACATAACACATTTCTCTCCAGAACTTTTATAAAAATATACAAGTCACTCTACTGGAAAAGTTTTAGGTTTAATACCAGGCTGTTGATTCATAACACAAAGAAAACCCAAACCACCAAGGTCCCAGGAAGGCCAGGTTGGGAACAGTCAGGCCCCCCCTGGGGAGGCAGAGAAACTCCTTTGACATGTAATCCACGATTGGGCACAATAGGAAAACCTCCACAAACTGACCTCCAGGAATGTCCCAGGCACCACTTTCTCCGGGAGACAAGGGTCTCACTTGAGGGCGATTCGATCGAAAGTTGGGTAATACCACTTTATCCAGGTCAATGGAGAGTAACTTCTGATGTTTCCAAAGATTACTTCAGGAAAATGGATAAAGACAAAATAAAGATAAACAATTGTATTGGCCTAGAAAGTTTAGCCAACATCTAAACAACAGGGAGTTACTGGGCCTCCCCTGGTGGCGCACCAGTTGAGTGCTGGGCTGCAAAGCTGCCCGCAGCCTCTGCAGCATCGGTTCGATCCCTGGCCACCAGCAAGGGTCCCACATGGCACGACAGACCTCTCCTGTCTCACCCGCTGCTTCCCTCAGCAGTGTATTTCGTCAGTCTGCCTGTTCTGTTCCCCACTCTGGCTCTGGTGAAATTCTCTCACCCTCCTGTGCTTCTGACTGTACCCAGTGCTTGTATAAATAAATAAATCTTCAAAACAAACAAAAAAAAATAGGGAGTTATTGACAGAAAAGTGAAATGCTGTTCCCATTGAAACCTGCCTAAGAGCACCTGTGTGACAGCATCCAGATCCCAAGAGACAGAAAAGTCCAAGTCAAGTTCACGTGTGTGAGATCTCAACAATATGGATTAGGGTGAGTCCCATGGCGTTTTAGCACTGCCAACACTAGACCGTCTGTACTTGGAATGTCACCAAGGAGCAGGAAAGAAAACCTCATGTTGAGCCTGCAGGCACAGAAGGGGTGTTGGTGGGTGGACATGGGGATGGCATGTGGGGTCTGGAGCACAGAGCCCGTGTTCTGAGGCCTGCAAACCAACAGAGCAGAGGAGGTCACACTGTGCCGGAGCCAGAAGCCATCTACGTACTCAGGATGCCACCAGCAGGAGGGAGACAAATCACCCAAGAAGCGAGAGGCAGATCATGGGGATAAGCATCTGCTTTGCTCGCTTGGCCAGAATGACAAGAAAAGAAGTCATATGCTTTGTGAAATGTACTGTTCATTATGGCACAAGCACTCCGCATTCCAGACCCGGAGAACTAGTTCAGGCTCATACAACTCACACCCCAAGAACAGAAGCGGCTGATAGGCTATAAACAGTAGAAGACAGACTGGAGGATGCCTTAATCAAGCCACGAGCCTAGAAAATCTGAACACCATTCTGCTACTGTCTGGGAAAGGAATAAAGTATGTGTAATTCCCTGTTTATCTGCTCTTTGTTTGGAAACTGCTGGTCTGTCTCTTATTTTGGTCAAGGGAAAGCAAAGAAGTTCAGATCTATCAGCAATCAGGGAGAAGGTCAACAGGAAGCCAGGCAACTTGGTAAGTGTGTGAAGCTTTCTGTGCAGGAAAGAGATAAATGACTACTATGACTTCCAGCTGGGCGACTGCTTGGAAATGTCAGCGAGGATGGCCTGTTCTCTTCTACATGCTGTAACTGTACATAGCAGATTTAATGAGCTTGAAATTTAGACTGCTAGGTCATGGAAGCAATGGCACTGAAGCCTCTGGACCCTGCAGCAGAATGAACATGTTACATTGAACCCTCAGTGGGCTCCACCCCATCCTGGAGTTCAATGATTGGTGACGGCATGGCCTGGTTACACCAAGGCAGTAATGGTGCACCAGCGTTACCGGGGGGAGAAGATCCCAACATTCTGGATGCTATGCAGCGGCTCTGAGCATGGACGCCTGCTGCCCAACAAAGACCCCAGTCTCCATGGAGAGATGTGGCACTACAGTGGGTCCTTCTGGCACTGTTGGAAGCAAACAATGCACTCAAACCTCTTTGAGAGAGTCTGAATAATATGTCTGGATATTTGAGGACTGACAATTCCAACAAGATGTAAAATGAGAAATAAAGCTGGTTGGTGTATGAAGGATTTGCTGAGTGTGTTGGTGAGAAGCACATTCCTGGAGCTGTACAATCAGTATTCTTAACGGACAGGTCACTATCTGAGGGATTCTTTTATGTAGCCATGCAGATACCAAGGATCTTGTTAGCTGTCTTTCAGAGTCCTGACCAGCACCATGGAGAGTAATCAAGTTGCTAGAACTTTAGCCAACTCTGACTGTCCAGAGTATGAACTGCTGACCACAGCTGTAATGGAAGTCTGGTCCAAATGCTAGGATAATGGAGGGCTATAAATAAGTTGAGATATAAAAACGAAAGCTTATTAGAAATTTCTAAATGATGGAATGTTAACAGGGACAGAAAAGTACCCACTAATTGAAAGTTTCAGGAAGAAAATTGCTGATAACAAAATTCTACAATTCTACTGTTTTCCAGTCAACATATCTGAAATGATCAGTGTGCTGAGCGCTTTCTGGTTGTGACAACAGTCACACAGAAGGAAGCTGTGAGGCCCTCCTGCTGGCACCTGCCCTTTAAGGCTCACAGCATGGTCGATGGCCCTGTCTCGTCATACCCACACCTGTACAGGCTGAGGCGCAAACAGAGTGGGCAGCCTGTCATCAAGAGGAAAAGTGGCCAGGAGTAGCCCTTAAGTGGGAGCCTGTGCCTGAACAGTGCTGGGCATGCCTGCCTGTGATCAGTATGGATTCTGTAGCACCCCTCAAAGGAGACAGCGTGGGAAGGCTACTCCCACTGCTTCCCTAGTTCCCAGATCAGGAAAAGCCCCCACTCTCTTTGAGGAAGCTTATCCCACTGAGGCAAGGAATGCCAACGAGAGAAGCAGGAGGAGTGGCTATCTGGAGACAAGGTGGAAAACAGCTTGCTGAGCTGGCTGCTCTGCCCGAGAGAAAGAGCAGGGCAGCACAAATCCTGTTCTGAAAGGAAATGGTACACACTGAGGTCAAGTTAGTAGCTGATGGAGACAAAAGAGCAGAGTCAGGACACTGACAAGCACACAGGGTGACAGTGATAGTGTGAGGACACTTCCACAGGTGTTTGTTAACACTTAGGTGGGGGAAGGGCACAGACACACACCAGGGCCAGGCTATGCCACAGAGCCCAGGTGCACTGGAGCAGTCCTAGCCCTCAGCCATGACCTGTCTATATTCCAGAATCAACATCACAAACAGAAGTCCTCAACTCCCAAAGTCTTCACCAAAGTAGTCAGAGCTTCCAGTGAAGTGGTATTGGTTGGATCACAGCTTTTAAAGCACGAACCAACCAAGCCTAACAAAGTGCTAATTACCCAAAGATAATATATACAGGATCCCACCAGAAAGCGTAATTCTCAAAGTCAACGCGGGGGCTCACTCATTTAAATAACCACCACAAAATGACAAGTTAGAAGACATGGTGATTTGGTAATGATGTCTATAAAATTCCCCTCTCTCTTATTAAAAATAATGCATCATGAACCCTATGGAAGGAGGTGAAATAGCAAAGGGAGACACTGACCTGGGAGCCGTCTCATTTAAAGGCTGTGGCTTGGCCCATGACAAATGTGGACAGGCTGGCAGGGCCCTTGGCTCTGGGCCTCCCAAACGGGCCTCTAGGACCTTGGAGTATCGGTGCAGGTGGTTCCCTGGACGGCAACATTGGCAGCAGGAAACATCATGTGGCAAAGCAAGGGAAAACAAAGCTTCATTAGTCAGTCTGCTCTTGGGCTGACGGGACTATGGACTGTTAGTCTGTGTACCAGGAGTGCAGGAGCTGGCCCACTGTGTCTAACAGGTGACGCACACCCAGAACTGTCAGTCACGCCTCCACAGTGGGGACACTGCGCAGACAGCAGCTACACACTCCTTACTGACCATCACTATGGGCACAAGGCTTCAACTGAAGAGATACCACATGGAAAAATCTTCCTTTCCTAAATTATTTAATTCTTAAGCTAAAAACCCTACATTTTCAAGAGTCAATTTTTCTTTTATTTCTTAAATCTGTGCCATCCAACTCTATATCACCAGCCTCATGTGGAGCGTGAGCAACTGACATGGGGCGAGTGTAATGTTTTGGTGTACTGGGTTAAAAGCACAATATTTAAATGAGTAAGTTATTTAAATGAATTTCACAAGTTTAACTTCTTTAACATGGCTACTGGACAATTTAGAATTACAACTGTTGCTCAGAACACACTTCCAAGGACAGCTCAGAACTTTCTGGCTTTGGAGTGCAGACCAGCTCTGCCACACACAGCAGGCTAGGCTGCAGGTCACCGTGGCACCAGCATCTCTCTGACGGGGCTACTCTTTAGGCCCCACCAACTTGAGCAGTTACTTAACTTCTCTCATTTGTGAATGGGGATTAATAACCATTTCATAGGATTCTGTGGACTTAGTGCCTGGTACCCTGCCCGGTACCCAGTGAGCGTGGGCTATTCTTCTGGAAGACCTGAGAGCCAGGGTCTTTGTTAGTTAGTGGCTCAGTAAGTGTCAAGTGGGATTGCTAGGCATTGAGTGTGGAACAGCATCTAGCACATGAGGCCCCCAGGACTTGTGCCTTCACTCAGGGAGGACAGCCCACCTGCAGTCATGAGGGAAATCATGGGAGGCAGTGCTGCCTCGCTCTATGTCTGGAGGCTCATGGTTTTCCAAGCAGTACCTCAGGCTTGATCCCCCACACCCAAGAGCACCCCAGGCCTACTTACCTTCCATCCTCTCTGGAGTCACAGAGCCCACGCCACTGGGAGGACGCTGCCGATTTCCAGAGTGACTGAGGCTGGGAGGTGTCACCCCATATGACGTGTACTGAAGCAGAGCATCCAGAAGCCAAAAGCAGTCTGTGGGTTCAACAAGCAAGATTTTAAAAATTCCATTTTTTTTTTTTAAGGAACCTCTCCAGGAAAATGAAAGTAGCACCAAAATGTGGGGAACAGGTGACATGTTAGTTCAAAATGAACCCCCACACTTGAGAAACATACATTCTCCACACTCAGCACCAGATCACAAGGGTCAGCAAGGCAGACATGAGCTGGCTGTGCCAGGCACAAGCAGGTCAAGAGCACTAAATGCCGAGCTGGACGAGCATTGGACCCCAAGAGAGGACAGAACAGTCCATTCAGGGACAGGGAGGCCAAGTGACACCCAGGGAGACAAGAACCCAGAGAAAAGGGGCAGCAGGCAAGGGGAGAGCATGGGGCCCCAACACTGTACCACACCAGAGGCTGGCCAGTCAAGGATAGAGATACACACTGCGAAGGCAGAGCAGGGCCACACACGCCCTCCAAAGGGAAGTGGGTCAAAATCAACACAAAAGTACGCGCTAACCAGAGATGCCCTTCGAGTCCGTACCCCCATCCCCAGCACCCCAGGCTCTCTACCAGAAGATCTGACATCTGAAAAGAAAACCTCTGTAGAAATAAACATTCATCCTTTGTGCTTTCCAACCATAAAGTACAAAAAAAGCACAAGGTGGTCAGTTATTTTGGAGGGTCAACGCTGGGCACCCAGGGGCTGCAACTGACAGCTGCCATCACAGGCACAGGCTGGGAGATCAACTGTGTGCCTCCTTTTCTAATTCCATGCACTTGTCCCCAGGGCAGGCCCTCCACATCCCAGTAATCAGACTATGCACGATTCATAAAGAGAAAACACTGGTAAATACTTTTCTCTCATTAAAGAGCACTTGTGGTCAAGTGCTCAGAGCCCCTGAAAGATCCTGAATGCTGCAATAACAAATGTAAAGACCAGGGCAGTCCTCTTGGGCATTTAAATTTTTAATAGAGACTCTCAACGGAAGATTTCAAGTCTTAAAAGAAAATCTCTATGGAAACAAAACATTCACCTTCTTTCAACTGTGACTTTAACCTTCACTTCTGATTTTGATGACCAATCACATTCTAAGGATTTACATAAGATGCTAGGACCTGTGTCGGCTTCAGTTTCCATCAGGGCGGGGCACACAGTGCACCCCAGACATGCCTGCTGGCTCCTCTCTCCAGTTAACCATCCCTCCCCGTGATCTGGGAGAAGACTGGGCTCTAGTTCTGGTCTTGTCATCATCTTGCCAGGCACAAAAATGGAAACTCTTAGATCCCACTTCCCCCTTTACGAAATGAGGAAAATAAATGGTCTATGTCCAAGTTCAAAACCTCCCATTTTAGAGGAAAGGTTAACACTGTGAGAAAGAGGAGGGTACTGAGACTATTCCCCTACCTCCCTTCATACTCAGTGATGTACCAAAGTCCCTCACTGACACAGGCCCACAGCAGCTCAAGTCTGAAAGGCTAGCTAAGTGCCAGGGAGAAGGGATGGTCATAGACAGCCAGTGACCTACAGACTGCATGAGGATGCCCGGGACAAGCCCAAAGTAAAGGGGCCACAGGTCTCTCCATAGAAGCACAGTAGGCCTGGCATCCCCGGGTCTTAGGACTACAGCCATGCCATCAAGGGCAGTGTTGCTGGGAACCAGTCCTGCTTTGTTCATCAGCGTCCAGACTTAGATACCGATCCAGAATTCCAAGCAACCAAAGCACTGGAAACTCTCAGGCCCCAAGAGCAGGAATCTGGCATCTGCAGCACCTTCTCATTGCTTTTTCAGGGACAAGCAGTCAAAGCCTGAGTGTGGGAGGCAAGGATGCGCCTTACCTTTCTGCCGGTGGCTGTCATCCAGGCAGTTGGAATCTCCATAAAGCACAATCCGGCCTCCGCCCTCAGAAGGGATCTGATAAAGCCCCAAAATGGGGACATTTTCAACCACTGCTGTTTCCTGCTTTAGAACCTCCAATCCTGAAGCAACACAACAAAACAGCAATGAGGATTCTAGTTGCGGATGGATGGTTTTCCAGTTGTTACTCACCTTGACACTCAGTCCATGTGGCCAGCACACATCGCTCAAAATCTCATTCCCTCAAGCCTGCAAACTTTTAGGATATGAAGATAATGTCTTAAATGCAGCTTGTCTAGGATGTGCCAAATGCACATACATGTGGTGTTTATTTCCATCTCCACTGGTACTTTCACTTGAAATGGTGCCACACAATATTTATAATCCTAAAGGGAGGTCTCCCTTTTTATCCTAAAACCACAAATTTTTGTTTCTTCTGATGATGCTGAAAGGCTATGTCTTTCGACCACATACACGGGGGTCTCCAGTTAGGTGGTTCCCACTAGACACCAAAGCGCCTCTGTGAGGACAGTACACAGACACACAGGCTTCACTTTGCATTGTCAAAACCTACAACAAACATAATTAACTTTACAACATATGCCCACACCATAAATATATTGTTTAAATTTAGATTTAAGGTAGTTGTTACATTCATCTCACAGATACAAATGTTTTGACATTAGACCTTTGTTATCTTCACCCAAACAGATGCCACAACTCACAGTGTTTAATGAATCAAGAAGTCAAACACATATCAATGCCTGAGGCAGTAATTACAAGTCAAACATCTGAGAGTCCAGCCCTGAAGCAAGTACTGTACCCAGCTCGATGGATGACGCAAGCCTTTCTCAGGAACCATCTAAAATGTCTGCTGTAACATCTAAATCTGAGAATTTAACATCTAAGAAATCTGTGGCTACAAAAACAGAGCATTTCCTGCTCTGTATGTGTCATCCCACCAGGAGCTGAGAGGTGGGTAGAAAGCCACTGTAACGGTGAAATGCAAGTTCACACACCAATGACTTTGGCCCCAGGTATCAGAGTATTGTTTCTAACAATTGTTTTTGATCAGCATGACCCAGGTTCACAAAGTCCAATTCTGTACCAAAAGATTACTCAATGTAAGGCCTGTGGAAATAGAAAGACCCTTGAAAGAATTTCAAGGTAATACACTTTGGTGTTCTAACCAGCAAAACACCAGGCTGAAGCATGCACGCTTACACCTCCTTTGGTCCCCTCTCCTTGCAAAGCAGCAAGGAACTACCAGACGGGAAGACATCAGGGAGAACATGGCTCTCACCTGTCCACCTGGAACCACCCATCCTGAGAGACCAGAAATGGCCAAGTAACGGTGAGACACTTTTGTGCCTAAAATACAAACACTGGACTTTGCAAACCTGGGTCATGCTGATCAAAAAAAATTTTGGAAACAATATTCTGTGAAACCTGGAGCTGAAGGCAGTGGTGCATGAACCTGCATTTCACCCTATGGTGGCTTTCTTCCCACCTTCACAGCTCCTGGTGGGATGACACACACAGCAGAAGCTCTGGAAGGACACAGACCTGTCCACTGACTTGAAAAAGCAGCTTCCAGTGGACACAAGAATAAATTCTGTGCTGCAGGTACAAACAGACCAGTGAGAAATCCTGCCTTCTTGTCCTATTTGACTACTGAAACTGTCCCAACTTTCAAGTACAGAAAACAGCAAACTTAACAATAGAAGAAACCTTCCATTCTGAAATACATAACAGCAGTTTGTACAAGGAAAGAGATCCATCCCATCAATTTCTCTGAGCCTGTCATGCTGGGCACAGGACATGATGGGAGATGTGCTGCCCAAACCTCGGCTCTGGAATGCCCAGCCCATAGTCCCACACCAAGCAGATGGACCACTTCCCACCTCAGGAAGGGTGGAGGCAGGAGCAGAAGTGGGGAGATGTGTGGAAGCGGGGGATGGCTTGGCTCCTCCTGCTCCCAGCTATTGCTCAGATCCTCAGCACAGTGTCAGGGATACTAAATCCAGGAGCACTGTCCTCATTTGCCTTCATGAGTGGTGGTTCTCTGTATTTAAAGAAGCAAAACTGAAAGGGAAGACCTTTCTTTCCTTTAAATTCTTCAAAGAATTTCAGAAGATGACTCCACAATTAGCATCTTTACCTTTACACAGTTAAGAACTTCAAAACATGGTCAGTATTTTAGTACTCTAGCAAATCATAGAAGCATAGGTAATTCATAAACATTAATAAAAATTTGAGACAAATGGGCCTCCCTGGCGGCGCAGGGGTTAAGATGAAACCTATGAAGAAATCCGCAGCCACTGCAGCACAAGTTCGATTCCCGCCCGGCCAGGGAGAAACCCACATGGTGGGACAGATCTCTCCTGTCTCGCCCGCTGCTCCCCTCAGCAGTGTACTTCGGTCCGTCTGCCTGTTCTATTCCCCACACTGTCTCTGGTGAATCCTCTCACCCCCCCGTGCATCTCTGACCTGTACCCCAATTCTTGTATAAAAATAAATGTTTAAAAAAAAAAATTTGAGACAACTTTGAAGGTAGTTAAAAAAAAAAAAATTTACAAATATTCACAAAGTCCTTCCCATGTAGGAAAATCAATTTTATTTGCAGTGGTCAGTCACATATATTTGAGTTATCAACAAAAAACTATCTTATCTACTTTACATTGCCCAGAGCCACTGCTCATAAGTCTTGCCTAAAGAAGGTATAACATACAAATACTGTAATAAAAAAAAAAAAAAAAAACAACCTGTTAATGTGTACAGGATGTCAATTCAAGGTTCATAAAGGCATTCTGGAAGCTGATAATGGTGATGATTACACAACTTTACACTTCAAAGGAATAAAGGCTATGGCACATGCATTATATACAGTAATAGTTACTTTAAAAAAGGGGGGGATCTAAAAGCACATGAGTAGCATTCCTTACCTTGGTCTTTAAAGGTCTGTGTTATCACTATGCCATCTTCTGGAAATTTAGCAATGCTGCACCCTGACGCGTAATACACTAGAAAATAGTTGTTCCAAGTTATGAGAACATAGAAACAATGCAAACTTGCATCAGTAGCTGCCCATTTACCTGAAATGCTTTGTTAGACATCATAAATATTCTAAAATTGTTTTTAATTTTGAGAGAAGAGCTGCTGTTAGAAACTGGTCACACAAACTATAAGTAATTACCTCAAAATGCAAGTTAAATATCACTACTGATATAAGGTTCCTGAAGAAACTTCAGAAGTCAAAGCTGGCAGAGACCTGGGACAAGCTAAGTCAGGACGGGCAGAGTGAGCAATAATAATGCCCAAGATGCGAAGTAATCTACAGGGAGACTTTTTAAATAGGATATACCAGTTATTTCATAAACAAAATTTTTTAAATAACCAGGAATCTATGAGGTACTTCCTACTTGGGAACATACAGAATAAGCCCTACAGATGGTGCTGAAATGAGGAATGCTTGCATATAGTATTTTCATTTTAAGAATCTAGGTCCAAGGCCTCCCTGGTGGTGCAGGGGTTAAAGACACAGCACTATCAAGCTACTGCTAGCCACTATAGCATGAGTTCGATCCCGGCCAGCCAGGGAGCTATCCCACATGGTGCAGCAGACCTCTCCTGTCTTACACGCTACTCCCCTCAGCAGTGTATTTCAGTCGATCTGCCTATTCTGCTCCCCACTCTGTTTCTGGTGAATCCTCTCACCACCACCACCACCCCAGCACCTCTGGCCTACACCCCAGTTCTTGTATGCATAAATAAATCTTTTAGAAAGAAAAATGAATCTAGACCAAAGGAGAGAGGTTAACCCCCAGTTTCACAGATGTCCTTCTGAAGACACTGAACAGCTAGCTGTTCGCCAGACCTGAACTTATTTAGGAATCTCCTCATTCTGTCTCTGACACAGACTTCAAAGACATATATTATTATTCCATCTCTTGGAATCATGTGCTCCATAACAAAACCAATGCAAAATCTTACTATCATGGTTTGCCAAGGTGAAGTCCCCTTCATACAGGCCATCGCTGAACCCCATGTTCCATACAGACAGGAGTTCGTTCAGAGCTGGGATGTTAGCTCCTCCAGTGTCCGGCATCCACCACTGCCTGTGAGTGATTAGGAGACACTAAGAATGAAGGATTCCGAAACCCATACAACAACTTACCTTCTCATGGCAAAGCTAAATGTCTCCTGCCAGAATCCTAGGATCCACTCTAAAGTCCACTCTAAGGTTTCAGTTGAAACTAACTGTCTGGCTATGGGTAATGCTCAAAGTAAATTTAGTTTGATTAAATCCGGTTTGTTCAACCCGTGTGCAAAATAAAAGTAAATTTATTTCACGATATGCACTGCTTATAAACTGAACTTAGACCTCGAGAGGGTCACTGAAACACAAGAGAAAGAGGCTTATACAGTTCAAGTCAAAGATTCTTCTGAAAAAAATTCAAAATATACTGTAAGAGTGATATATTCCTAATATTCTGGGAATCCTTGATCAATAACTGATTTAATGAAAGCTGTCTTTAAGTAACAGTTCCCTTTGTGCATTTAAATGTGTACAGATCCAGTGATAAAGAGATGGGAGGATAGAAGCTCTACCCAGTTAGAGTACGGGAAATAGAGCTTAACAAAAATTCATGCCTCTGCTACCTAAGACTAACAAGGCAGGACAATGAAACCTTCAACGGTGCTTAGAATAAGGGAGCATCTTACATGTTTTCAAGCAACCATCTCACCTCTCTACCAGAGGAGGAGGGAGTGCTGGAGCCAAGCCTTCTGACCCCACCCCTGACAACCACAAAAGCCACCAACACTACCCGAGTATCTGCTGGATAGAACGCAATCCCAAAAATGGAAAATCTCTTCTCCAAACACCAGCTCCCTAAGTACCTTGTGTTTTCATCATAAAACTTCACTTTTCTCATAACGGAGGTGTTGTACCAATCACTGAAGACAATGAGGGAAAGGCCATTGTCCACATCCCTCCTCAGTTTGGCCACCTCCTCAGGGAAGTACTCCTCTTCACTGTCCACCAGGAGCAATGTTCCTGAGGAACAAAATGCCACGTGAGAATTCCCACCTGTCAGCCACCAGACATCATGGTTTCACTTGCTATTTACATACAAACACACAAATGTCCCCCATCCTCTGGTGGTTTCACACTGTTGCTGAAAGTTACAACCACCAACAAAAGAACCAAGTTCACTGCCCAGCCTCCCCTATGATCGGGAGACCCTGCATGCTCTCTTTTCAGGCCTGTCAAAATTTTTCACCAGCCCCCAACATGGTGGCCACAATATTCAGCTAGTGCCATGTGGCTGCTCACCATACTGATTAGCATCAAAGCACGTGAAGGGGGAGCCGAGAACCTCAACAAAGTAGCCCATGCTTCTCAAGTGTTGGTACATGTCCCTGAAGTTGGTGTGGATGTGGTCACCATTCCTGAAAGACAAAAGGTGCCAGCCCTGAAATGACCCATCTTTACTAGCAATAAAGGCTCCTCTGGACAGAGCCACTTCTGAAACGAGGGAGCACAGTCCCTTACCAGCAGAGGCCAAGGGCACAGAAGGCAGCCTTTCCAGACCAGCTTTTCTCTGGATTCCTATCTGTCATGGTGACCGGACACTGCACACATGGCACAGGAATGCAGATGACATGGTGAGAAGAAATGCTCTGTAAAGTGCAGGTGCATCCTGTAGCATGGTGCAAGTGTAAGTGGCCAGTAGGCCTGCTCAGGCAGGGCATATCAACCCAGATAGTGCCAGACAGCAAGTCCTGCATGACAGCTCCCCCCACCTTCCGTCCTCCTTCCTGCTTAGCATGCTCATCTTCCTACAGCACAGTGTAAGCCCACAGGACACCAGGGTCACTCCATCAGCCAGCCTCCACCTCGCAGGCCTCCAGAGTCCACCTTCACAGCAGGACTAAAACCACAAGAACTCATGGCCATGACCTAAGTTTCTTAACTTCTCACCATGTCTTGTCTATTTGCCTCTGGTCTTAGCCCCTCCAACCTGCTCTGGAGACATCGTTATAAAGAACAGTCTGTCATCACAAGTGTTCTCCTCAAATTCATCCATGCTACCATCCCCCTCCCTGTATATGCTTTCAGGTCAAGTCCAAACTCCTTCGCTTCACACTAAGATAGAAATGACCTTGGCTGATGGGCGAAGAGCAAGTCAGCTCAGCTGTCATGGAGGCTGAAGAGGACATACCAGGAAGTCTGTCCCATGAAGAAGTCCACAGAAGCAGCCATTGCAGAGTGTGATGCAAATTGCAACAAAATCTATGTTTTTAAAGATAACCAGGGCTGCTACATAGAGAATGGAAATGAGGGATAAGAATGGCAGCGGTGAGACTCCTGACGAGAAATGATGAAGGTCTGCATGGGGTAGGAGTAGGGGGCAGTCAGACAGGGTAAGCATTGGGGAGCTGTTTTGGAGACAGAAATGACAGCACTTGCCGAGCAACTCTACAGAAGTCAGGGGAAACAGGCAATTACGGAGAGTTGAAGAGGCATTAGGACACAGTTGCAGGCGCTCCAAAGGAGAAAAGCAGAGTACCCTAAAGCAGGACCTGCCACATCTCAGAGGTCATGGAATCCAGGCTGAAAGTGGAGCCAGGTCTGTTCCTCAGGGGGGCAGAGACCCCAGCCCTGCTGAGAAAGGAGTAGGGTAAAGGGCGTCATGCTTGGTGGCTGCTTACCAGTCCAAAGGGTCATTCTTCATCCTTAGATTGTCCCTGGGGAAATAGCCGGGCGGGTAGCGGAGGTTGTGGTACTGGTCCCACAGGACCCTCTTACTTCGCGGAGGAGCCGGAATTATCTTCACCTTAACTGGGAGCTTCACTGTCGAAGTCTGTTCTGCACCATTTTTTGACTGGGAAAAAAAAAAATTTTTTTTTAACCTGAAGTGCCCCAGTTGCCCAGAATGTTCAGATTTGGGGCTAAAAAAAGTAGCTTCTATTATCAACTCAATCCAAATACTCTGAACCCATGAGTTTCAAATAATAACAAACATCAGAAGGAACATTTACTTTCCACAATTTCTTCTAGGCAAACTCTTAAGAGTTTAAGATAAAATCAAGACACATGTTCCTGAAAACTACTAGACTTAGGATTAACCCAACATTCCTTTTTAGAGAATGCACGCTCTCTGCAAATTGTTTTGAGCCTGAAATTTGGTACAACCGAATCCTGGCTGCCGTTTCTCAGGCAGAGAAAGGGAGGCAGCATTCCTCACTACAGACAGCTTCTCTCTACTGCTCTGCAAGCCTTCAGCTTAGTGAGTCAGCTGCCTTCAAACCTGAGATCCAAGGCATCCACCTGGCCGTCTGGTCCTAGAAGGTGCCAAGGGAAGATCAGGAAAGCTAGCCCTTCCCGGTGTGCACTTACTTCCAGCTCTGCCGGGGAAGCCACGGTGATCATGACGTGTCCCTGTGCAATGCCTTCCCAGGAAGCTGCTTTCTTGGTGACAGAAATGGAAATGGCCAGGTAGCCTGACCAAGGCCATAAAACTGATGAGTAAGAGAAAGCGACTTCAATGTTGTCCCCATTCTGGGGTAAATAGGGCTGCCAGTCAGGCTGCAGGAGAAAGTAAATAAGCAAAGGCTAAGGTGAAATGCTCGATTTCTAGATCCACTTCTGAGAAATATTTCATTAAATAAAACAAAGTGAAATTTATGCAGAGATATGAAGCAAGGGGTAACCAAGTAGCCTATAGAATATCTGGAACATCATCTGACAGAAACCACTATTTCTGATAGCCTCCTGTTTTAGAGACTTTTCTGCCAAGCTGAAAAGAGAGACAAGTGGTTTGACAAAGGCAACTCAGATGTGCGGGTACATCACAATTGTTCGTCTGCTTAAAGGATGCCAATAACTGAAAGGAAAGGATGGTAAATGACATGGATACAAGATGCCACCCATCAGAGTTTGGGGACAGTGATTGGTTTACAAGGCTCCCAGAGGAAGAACTGGCTTGGCTGCAAAGTTGGCTGTCTGCTCCATCTCCCCCATATCTGAGGAAAACATTAAAGGGAGCATGAGAGAAGCATCCGGAAGAAACATAATCTAGCTCTGATAATTAACCAATATTTCAAAGTAACCTAAATCACTCACTTCCCACATAGGCAAAAATATACTCCCCAAGTGAGTCAGCATATTAAAACAAATTCTGAAAAGGCAAAAAATGCACATGATACAGCATCACAATGAGGAAGAAAGGGATTTTTTTTAAATGTTCTTGAGCACATTAAATAGCAATTGAGAAAAAGGCTAATTTCATTCATCTCTTACATACCCCGATTAATACAGACAAAAAATTTAAATATTTAATAAGCATGAAAGGAAAACTAGTAGAAAACAAACTTAAGATTTTATTATCTTTCTGAGTAGATCAGGGAATCATAAAAGACGAAAATTCAACTACGTGAAAACATAAAACAGCCATGGAACCAAAAAATAAATAAAACCCACCACTAGTGTTAAAGAGAAAACAAAAACCTGAGGGAGCTTTCAGCATAAAACACAACAGGTAATTTCTCTATATGAAGAACTTGTTCAGATTGATATGAAAAAACTAATTTCCCATAGAAAGACGGGCCAAGGAAATGAAAAGCTGGTTCACACAGGAAAAAATTAGTCAACAGGCCTGGCAACACCCACCTCACAAATAATGGAAGAACTACAGAGTGAACCAGCTATTTGCCCTCTAAATTTAACATGAAAAGATAAACCACCCAGAAATAAACCATTTTAAATTCCATAAACTCATGAATAAAAATTGGGTCCACTCCACACCATGGAATATTTCTCAGTCATGAAAAGGAATGAGAGACACATGCTGTAACATGGGTGAACGTAAAGATATTATGCTCAGTGAAAGAGGCCAATCACAAAAGACTATATACTGTATGAATCCATCTATATGAAAGGCCCATACAGATAAATCCATAGAGACAGATAATGAACTAGCAGGTGCCAGGGGCTGAGGGAGGGGAGAATGGAGAGTGACTAGCAATGGGGATCTCTTCCTTGTGATGACTGAAATGTTCAGGAATTACATAGCAGCAACGGTTCATCACTACTTGTAAATAGACTAAAAAACACTGAATAGCACAATTTAAAAGGGTACATTTTATGATATGCGAATTTTACCTCAATTTTTAAAAACCCCATGGAATTAAAAACAAAAAGGTACCACCCAGTGCAGGCACCTTGGAGACCTGGTCCCTCTATATATGCTGGCCACTGTTGGCAGCTCAGGTGCCCTGACGTTCCTCTTTTAAAGAATTGGTAGTATGTACCAACAGCCATATACTTATGTCCTCTGACTCAGGGTCCTAGCCATGCTATTTACATTAATAAAATAATGCAGGAAAAAAGAAGACATATATGGATTGATATTCAGTGAAATGTCTACAGATGAAAACCACCTAAGTGCTTAAGGGGAAGCAGTAAGCACATTATGATTTGGCTCTTCTATGTAATACTAAATGACCATTAGTAAGTACACTAGTGCTCTGTATACAGTTACATTTTGGAATGTTTACAACATGAGAACTGAAAAATAGACTGAATTTTTGCCTACCACACAAAGATAACAAAAAGTATGTACTTCAGGTAAGGGATGAGAAAGAATATTTTAAATTTAGTGGCTATGCCAGTGTGCTTGGGCTGTTACTAATTTTTCTGTTCTCTCCCTATCCTTTATTATTATAATGTTTACACAGTAAGCACTAGAAAATGGTAAAGCCATATTCAATAAAGGCCATACCTTAAAATAACTACAAATTGTAAAGATGAAGAATCTAATGTAATTAGTTCATTCAGCCAAACTCGACATGCCAAAGTAAAGGTAGCAAATGGATTTCATTAATCTATCCCCTAATTTATTCTGCAGAAGATTTTGGGTAAAAGATATCACTGCTTTCGATACCCTGCAATGCACCCCAAGAGGCAGAAACTCTCCTGTTTGAACTTCAAGAGAAAGAACTAGGCACAAAGGTCTGGGCCAGGTCTCAGTTCCCCACCACGGCACAGCAGCTTCACCTTGTCTACAACTCTTCCTGTGACGCCCATGCCATTGAGGATGGTGACATTGACGATTGTTGGCATTCCTCCATAGTAGATGGGCTGGGAGCAGTAGGGCCACATGTAGGGACACTCAGTCAGATCTATGTAGCTGGGGCTCAAACTGAAACAGAGAATAGTGTTAGAGTAGAGCCGGTGGTTAGAAAACGACAGGGGAGCAGTGCAGCTGTGCGGGGACATCAGCTGGTGGGCCTGGGCCTTGGGAGGGCTGGCTCTGGGAACTCAGCTCCAGAATGCTCCCTGCACTAAGGTCTCCAGGCTAGCCTGCCTAAACTGCCTGTCTGAACAATGGCACCTCCTGCAAGTCTGGAATTTGGTTGTGGCAGGCAGACAGTGAATGCATGACCAGCCCAAATGAATACCTTGGAACCAGAGTCTCAAATCATGGCATCTCATCACTGGGGCAAAGATGGATATTTTAATACATGGAACTGCAACAGGTGCATGACCAACTGGCAAAAGAAATTAGACCCATATCTCACACCACACACAAGAAGAAACTCCAAATGGACCATGGCGTCTCAATTAAAAGAAAGCAAACAAGTACAAGAAGAAAACACAGGTAAATTTCTATCACGTCAGTGCTGAGAAAGGCTTTCCATAACTCAGGGGCCACAACAACAACAAAAGGCAAATAAATTTGGCTATTTGAAAAAAACTGCATGGCAAAAACTACTTTATACATAAAGTCAAAAGACAATTGACAAACTTGGGGAACTACCTGCAAAATAAATCACTGACAAAGAATTTCTGACCCTCATATACAAAGAAATCTTAAAAACTCAGGAGTGGCGGTGAAAACCCACAGAATAATAGGAAAAAGAAATGAACACTTTTTAAGAAAGATTTTTAATGGTCCTTAAAAAAAAACACAGCTCTTAAGTGAAATGTTCAACCTCACCATGTGACCAGAGAAAAGCAAAGCCAGGATGCCATTTGTCACCCACCAGACTGACAGAAGTACAGACCCTACAGAACAAGCAGCTGGTGAGAATTCGGTGTGGCAGTCCCCTTCTACCCTGCAGGTGGGGTGCAAGTGGACACACTTCTTGAGGGCACACCCTACAAAGCCACCTATGTACTGAACTATGACCCAGCTACCCCACTTCCAAGAGCTTCCCCTGAAGACAACCTCCAACAAAACAAAAATCTCAGGTGATTCACTAGACAACTTCTAATTATGAAATAGTAGAAATAACTTAAATGTCCGTATTTAGTTAAGTGGGCAAATAAACAATGGTACATCCATACTATGTGGTTGTACAAAAGAGATGGAAGGTCTCTGAAGTGACACAGTGATTTCTAGAATACTGTTAAGTGAAAAAAAGCAAAGTACAAGGACTATTTATAATAATGGTACCCTTCATGCAACAAAGGAGACGTAAGAAAATGTAAATGCACTAGAGAAATACAAGGAGGATAAAGCAAAAACAAATGTGATTGTCATCCATGGGGAAGTGGAACAAATGAGGAGTAGAAAGAGGGACGGACAGCAGGATGGAGGAATGACTCTTCTCAGGTATAGTGACTTTCCAGGCAAGGGAATGTGTCACATACTTAACACCTAATGAGTTTAAATCCACCAGAATGGAGGAAATCCAAAAAGAAGTATCAATACTAACAAAGGAACCCAAATAAAATGTATTAAAAATGAATAGCAAAACCAAACACCAATGGTGGCAAGAAAGGAGAGAGAACCCAGTAACTCTGGAGAACACCATGTCTATATGTTGTATAGGTAATGATAGAAAAAACTACACGTAATGCACTCAGGTTAGTAAATTTATTTTTTGTATACACTAGAACTGAGCAAATAAGTAAATCTGTTGTGGACAAAGAGAGTCAGCTTCTCAACAGAGAAAGACTAGAAGGAGAGTTGTGGTGTTGGGTGGAACAGGGAGGCAGCAAGGACAGGGATACTAGCATATACACAGACGCACAAACAGGTACAAGTATGTATATATACAGATATTTCCCAGCTTGTCAGTTGGGGACAAGTATGTATATATATAGGTATTTCCCGGCTCGTCCGCTGGAAACCTCTATGAGCACAGCTGTCAGGAGCATACCAAATGCCCAGGTCTTGGTTTGTAATTTCACTCTGAGAAAAGGAGCAGGGCTGCTTGGAGAAACAGCCAATGCCAAGTCTGGGCAAGGAAACGCTGTGCTGTCAGCAAGGGAAAAGGGGCTGACAAATAGTGAAGACATGGAGACGGCTGGATGGTGCTCCTGAACAGCCGCATGCGGGGCAATTTGACCAACAAAATAAACTAAGATATGAACAGGTTACAAACTAAGATATGAACCACAGAGTAAAACAGCCACATGTCTACACTGACATACACAACTGAATGAAGTCATAAGAGAGAGAGAAGGGACAGCTCACCTTAGAGCAGAATTCTAATTAACAAACGAAAAGGAATAAGAGAAACAAAGAATCACCATGGGGCCATCCCTACAGGAAGAACCCTGCAGCAAGAACCATCACTGAAGATAACACTCAGTGCGTGGACGCATTTGAGGGAACAAGACCGTCTCCAGGAGCATCCCCACTGAACTTGGTCATCACACAGGAGCAAACAGCAACTGAATGCCGAGACTGGTGCCACACACCATGCTGCTTGGATCTGCTGCTGCTGCAGGGCCACAACTGACCCTCTGTGCCTGCTTCAAGGCCACACTCCTCAGCTGCTCCTAGCTAGAGGGAGCACAGAGGGGCACTGGGGCCAGCCCAGCTCGTGAGACATGGCTCCTCTAACAGGCAAGCTGAGCTCAAGGACTCTGAGGCTCTTCCTCCCCAGTCCTCCCTCCCCTGGCCTGTTTCCACAGACATCACATCGCCATGGCTATCCTAAGACACTTCCAGTCTCTTCCAGCCTCCTCCCCTCCCCACAGCAGGTCTCCTGGACAGCCGATCCCATCTTGGTGCCTGCTTCTGAGAGGGACCAGACTGACATCACTCAACCACAGGATGCAGGCAAACACCAGCAGCACTAAGAGGAAGAGAACTAAGGACTGTGCCCTACTGGAGACAATCAAGGAGAGATGCTGGGTAGGATCCAGTCCAGGAAAAGGAAACGAGTGGGGAAACTGGTAAAATCTGAGTACAGTCTGCAGAAATGGTAATGGTCATGTATCAATGCGATGTTCCAGACCCTGGGGTTTGAAGGATGGTTACATAAGATGCTAAGATCAGGAAAAAGTGAAGGATTTATGGGTTCTCAGCTCCAATTTAAAAACAGTGCTATAAATCTAAAATTACCGCAAAATAAAAAGTAAAAAAAAATTCTTACCAAAAATACACAGCCTCAAACTAATTAGCAGAAAACATCAAACTCACATGGGAAGTGTCTAAAAAGTAAGTAGCCAGAACTCCCCAAGGAATCAGTCATGAAAGACAAGCCCGGTGGGCTGCCAAGTTGGAGGAGACCTCAACAATGGGACAACTTGGGGCCTGGACCCTCGGTCCCAGCAAGAACTGGCCAGTGTGCGTGAAGCCTACAGAGGAGACATACAGTACAGGCCACGCTCAGCTGCTAGTCTTAACAGAATTATGATCATTTAAGACATTGGCATTAGGGGACGCTGGGCAGAAGGCATATGAGGGCACAATAACGATTTTTGCAAATTTCTGTAAACTTAAGATTTGAAAATGAAGTTTTAAAAAAATAAAAGGAAAGTGGGGAAATCTTTCTTTTAAATTCCCTGCATTAAAAATAGCAGAACATCAGGAGGTGAGAAACAGTGGTATGTTCTGGCAGGAACAGCTGTGTGCGGTTCTCCCCAAAGCCCCGAGGGCTGGGTAATCAGTGATCAGCTCCTGGTTTGAGGCTAATGCTTGGTGTAGAGGGAAAAGTACCCCAGAACCCAGAAAAAGAAAAAAAGGCCTATTCAAAAGGAAAGCACACCCACCTTGCCTGGGGCTTGTAGCTGTTGAGGATCTGATACGCTCTGAGCAGGTCCAGCTTGCCATGGCCTTGCTCAAACATATTGACACCAGGAAGCCTCCGGGCAGATGCAATCAGGGCCTGCTTCATACTGGCTGGATTCACCAGTTCCCGTTTCTGGACCGTGCTAGGGGGAATCACATAGTTGCTCATTTTCTCTAAGAGTGAACACCAGCTGTCCCTAACATGTAGATGTGCATACATGTGAGCCTCAGTCTCGTTCTGTATCTAAAGGGAGCTTCTGGGGTGAAGCCCAGGCCAGATGAGTATGAACTTGCTTGGGATCCACACTTCTCAGCCTCACCTCCACATGGCCTGTGTGAACAGTCACTTTTAGGTTAGTGGCTGTTTCCATGAAATATATCAGAAGCACATTACTTTCCCTAACTCAACTAAATCAACCTCAGAGGCTGGAGGTGGCAAGAACAGAGGAGGTGCTGGCTCCTCAGGGGAAGGGAAGCCAACTGCCAAAAATACAGGTGAAACCTGGGACATCACCTGGCTAGATGAGGAAGGAAAACACATCCTGGAAAAAGGTCTCACCAGACAGGCAAGAAACAGTCAAACCAGGCCTTTTCTGTCTTAGAGGCTATGTGTGACACACTACCTGGGCGGATAAAGCCTTACAGACAGTGGAGACTTGAGGCCTGCACCAAAATGCCTCTGGACAAGCTCTACTTGACTAAGAACTGACTCAGCAACACCAGGGCAGTACAGCAGTACCAGTCGCATAAAACCACTGGCATGATCACATTCATTTTTGCTTAATTGTGTTATAAGTACAAGTACATTTTAATCCCTAGACGCAGGGGCAGGGTGTAATTCAGTAAGCAAAAAAAGAAAACTTACTCTAAGTTCCTAAATAGCTTTCTGAGGTGGTGGGTTGGTCCTGGCCTGGGCAGGTATTTTTCTAACAGGTATAGACTGGAAATCTGACATATGGAGAAGTAAGGGAGGAGAGAAAGTGGGACGGGGTCTCAGGATAGACTAAAACAACTACAAGCAGCTCACCCACAGGTCAACAACCCTCCCCCTCTTCCTGAGGATAAAGGTGGAGACCAAAGGTTAGGGCTAGTCCCTCCTCCCAGAGCCGGGAGCTATTGTCATGCCATAAAAGCATCCTGACCTTTCAAGAAAGTGAAAGGTTTTCTTGATACAGATGCTACTGGGAATGGAAAACACAACCTCCTCTTCCACCCCTCATTTGACAGTGGGACATACTGAGAGGCTCATGTGCGGAGCCTGCAACCTCACTCCAGCTAACAATCCCCGGCAAGGGGGACAAGGACCCAGGGAGGTTTATTTCCGTACAAGAATGGACACAAAGGCTGAGCTCTCCCCAGCTGGCAGAAATGTCTACGTGAACAGCTAACCCCAACTTGGCCTTCCCTTCCTCTGTTTTCACTGCAGTGACACAGGGAAGGAAAACACTCAGGAGAGGAGAACACATTTCTGACCAGTCAATCTTCTCAAGAATTTGGCTCTAAACTCTAAGGGGAGGTTGGAAAAGGGAGGAAGGAGGCAGATATCCACCTTTATATCAAGGATTATTATAGGTCTCTTGCCTTACAAACAAAACCAACATAAGTTTACCTTCTTTTTAAGAGAATTTTAAATACAAAAACATTTACTATTATTTCCTGTTTTATTTTAAAATTTTCCAGAATTTTGTAATATAACAATAACTCAACTGAAGCCTCACTGAGAGAAAAAATTTAACAGTTATTGGGGGGAAGGGTAAGTGATAGCTCCAAAGACATTTCTTAACTTTGAGAACAAGGCATCCTGGCCCATCGACTAAGTCATCAATCCTAGTAGACCAGAATTTTCTCCCAGGTTCATTATCTGCAAAATTAAGGGTGGATCACTAAGCTACATTACAATTGTATTTGGGAGCCAAGGAAAATAAATACATCACACAGAGGAACTTGTCTCACATAGGAATGGTGACTTAAGGCCTACTGCCTGGCCCTACAGATCTGTAACTAAAAGAACACATTAAGAAACAGAGAACATGGCAAAGAAACAGTTTACTTTTTGTTCCCTGCTTAATACTTGAGATATAAGTACATCTGTTATGCCACAATACAGCACATTAAAACAAACAAAATGACACAGGGTATATGGGGAATCCGTGTATCTTCCTCTCAATTTTATGAACCTAAAATTGCCCTAAAAAAAAGTCAAAATAAAATGAAGCCAAAAACCCAGACTTTAAACATAAAAACAGTCACTAGGAATTTGTTCTTGTACAGTGTTTCATGGGCTAGTGCACAGTAAGTCCATGCACCCCATGAACTCTCACAAGAACCCTGATGAAAACGGATTTCTGAGTCAAAGGATGGGGTGAAGCAAAGAGGTCACATGATGCATTCCTAGCTCTCAAAACTCACTGGTGACCAACAAGGATCAACTCCTGGGCTACTGGGAACACCTTCTCTCTGCTGAGAGACACTTACCTGACCAGCAAGGTGACAGCACCAGCCACCACTGGAGAAGCCACACTGGTCCCTGAAAGGGCACGGCACCCTCCTTTCACACCGGAACCCCTCACTCCAGCACCATACGTGACAATGTCAGGTTTCACACGGCCGTAACCTCCAGGTAGTTCCTAGGAACAAAAGCAGCTTGGTCACCACATCACACACTGGCACACAGCTGCCATGTGGTTATGAGTGGGCAAACCAAATCAGAAACATGGGTTACTTAAGTATAGTGTCGCCTTAGTAAGGTACTAGTTTTAGTCTGAAATTCACTGTGATAAACAAGTTTAAATGATGTTAAAAAAATTATTTTTTGTTGTGTTTCATAATAGCAACAATAATGCCATAAGAGATTAAAAAGTATTTTAATTTTGTTAACATGCAAGACTAGAAACTGGAAATCAATTTCTCTAGATAACTAAAAAATTAGGGGAAAAAATAAAATATGTTTCCTTACAAGGAAATATGTACATGACTGGATATTTCAAGAAATAAGAAACCATTTAGAACATAAATGAACTGCATGAATAACTGGTATAAGCATTTAACTGAGCACTCCCTTAAGCTTCCTGGAAATTGGGACAAAATCAGAATCTCAATATAGTTTTATATTCTAGAAAAAAGAAGTATACCAACTTAAAGTCAAAGAACTCTTTTATGGCACTCAAACACAAATGGAACCTCTGGATCTGTATATGGAGACAGAGGAGAGGTATTTTTCAGTAGTTCTGTAGATTGCTCAGGAAGATTTCTTAAAATGCCATGAAAACCACAGTGTTGATCACCAGGGACATGAAATGGCATGGTATTTCAGTGACAGCATGTATGCTGTGAGGAAGCCAGCCATGTGTGCTGGGAGAGGCACTGTTCCCTAGTCTGGCAGTTCAAGGAAGGAGCTAAGGGGCAGAGGACAGATATGAATGTACTACCAAGACTGATTTCTCAGAGAGGGTCCACAGACGTGTCAATTCAGTGGGCATCGATTCAAGAAAAAGGTATCTGAGTGTGGGGACCCCTGTTGGGGTGCCAGGAGAGGTGGCACTGCCAGGTAGCAAGGCTCCAGTAGAAAGTTATCCCTTAAAGCTGCACCACCTGGAAAAGCCACAGGTGCTCAAAAAGCTGTGATGCCCTCTTTTGAGACTTCCCATGACTTCTGTGCTTAGAGTAAGAGCACCCACGAGATGATCTGACCCTGAAGATCCAGAGAGAGCACCTAACTTGGACTCCAATTCTGCACAATTAAACCCCATGTAGCTGAGTTCATTGTTGGGATTATTTCGATTCTGTACAGCTACATGCAATTGTTTCCAGGGTAGTAGAGCTGATATTAAGCTGTTCTCACTAGTTTTTCCTGATTCTTGGGGCCAAAACAAATTATCTTGCCCAGCACTTGGGAGGACTGCCACCTTCCTACTAGTTAGAAGAAGTGGGCATGTGAACAATGGGTTACACAGAAATAAGTTCGAAAGAATGGGAAATACCATTCAGAAGTAGCAGCTGCCCGCCGCACCGTGGAGGAGTCTCTGGTCCACATGGCCACGCCACCCACACAGGGGAGGGTCGGGCTCACAACAAACTGTTCTCTGTGAGTTACACACACACCGGGCTCTTATACAAGTGGTTCCTTAGGCACAGTCAATGAATAAAGAAAAGCCTACCCAGGTAGTCATTCCCCTCGAAGAAAAGCGGGCGATGTTATCCTCAAAGTCAATGCCACCTACTCCAATTACATCCATCTGATCAGCAGGGTTATTCAGAGTGCTAAATTGAGGCACAAAAACACAAGGGAAGAGAAACAATTTAAAATGAATAATTCAGCTAAAAGCAAATACCTCAGAAAGATTTAAGAGCTGCGGTTCCATGACCAGGTGTGTGCAGCTCTGCTAGGCTCTGTTCCCACAATGTCCTGTTAAGGGCCAGTTCACTGTCACCTGCATGCCAGGCTCACATGCCCCTCATACCTGGAATATCTTTTTCCTTCCCTCCCTGTCAACTCACAATACCTTGGTCTAAGATTCACATTTTCCTCTTTCTTCCAGGCTTGAAAGAGGTTCACTTCCCTGAACATCACAAGGTTTGACCCAGTCACAATTCACCACTGACTTACACATGCTCACATCACTTTCAAGTTGCTGCAAGAACATTCATCTCGCCTCTCCACCAAACTCCATTATCTCTAAGGAGCCGCACCCACACACCTGTGTCAGCCACGGTCAGGAAGAGAACAGTTCTGCCTGATCTTTGGCAGGACACCACTTTCCTCACGGGAAACTGAGAATAACGGCCATCTCTGCAATCTCGAGCCCCTCAGAGAGAGGTCAGATGCAAAGAAAAGGCACATCACTCCTGTCAATGCCTCTAGTACACAAGACCTGCCAAGAAGCTCTAATGAGGCGGACAAGTCAGGTTACTATGAGTGCAGGTGAGGCAAAGCGATCTGAAAGCCTAAAACAACCGTTAAGAAATGGCAGTTCTCAACGCGGACCCGGACGGCAGCGCCTGGCTCGCAGGGACCACAACTCCCAGGGTGCTCCGCGCCTCGCCGCCGCCGCCGCCGCCGCCGAGACCAAGATGGCTGGGAGACTGGCCGCCTTCCTCAAGAACGCCTGGGCCAAGGAGCCGGTGCTGGTCGCGTCCTTCACCATTGCGGGCCTCGCTGTAATTCTGCCCCCTCTGAGCCCCTATACCAAGTATTCCATCATGATCAACCAGGTCACACCCTACACCTACCCAGTGCCCATCCGGGACGATGGGAACATGCCCGATGTGCCCAGCCACCCCCAGGATCCCCAGGGCCGCAGCTTGGAGTGGCTGAAGAAACTGTGAGCAACCTCCATTGACAGGGAGAGACCCCTCTCCTTGGATCCCCAATAAAAATGTGAAAGCCAACTGCAAAAAAAAAAAAAAAAAAAAAAAGAAATGGCAGTTCTCGAGCCTCCCCGGTGGCGCAGCAGTTGAGCGCTGGGCTGCAAAGCTGCCCATAGCCTCTGCAGCGCCGGTTCGATCCCTGGCTGCAGGGCGAGGGTTCCACGTGGCGCGCTGACCTCTCCTGCCACCCGCTGCTCCCCTCAGCAGTGTACTTCATCAGTCTGCCTGATCTGCTCTGCTCTCCACTCTGGCTCTGGTGAATTCTCGCACCCTCCCACGCTTCTGACTGTACCCAGTGCTTGTATAAATAAATCTTTAAAAAAAAAAAAGGCAGTTCTCATCTTCACCTATTACAGCTCTACTACTGAAAACTGAACTCTACTACCTGACAAGTTAAGAACCACAACTGATCCCATGTGGTTTTAGCAACAAGAGAGCAAGGTCTCTAGAGTATGTGCTTTTAACCAACTGTTTGATACCACGTCAAGTTGGCCCCAACACTGCCTTCCCTGCTCAGTACCCAGCAACTAGCTACCAGGTAGCAGCTAAGAAGCACTAACAAAGATATTAAAAGTCTACATTTCCTTGAAGTCAAGGAGCAGAGATTAGCACAGAAGTCACTGACAGAACTTCCCACTGAAATTGCCATAAAATACTGCACCCTTCCCAAGCTCCCTCTACCTGTCAATTCTGTAACAGTGTCCTTTAAATATTGACAAAATAAGGGAGAGCTCAGAGAGCTGGGCCTGAAAAAAAAAAAAAAGGTCATCTTTGTGGGTGCTGCAAAGGGGGAAGCTACAACTGAGACTCCCCAGCACCACAAGGCCTGTGTGGAGTGTAGGACCCACAGAGTTCAGAGCAGGGGTACCAGTACCCCTGGGGGTGGGGGGTGCCAGTACCATTTCCCGAGGAGCTGGCAGCACAACACCTACATCCCATGAACCACTTCAGGAAGATTCAGCCCTGACCAGCCCTCCCTAGGCCCAAGCAGCAAGCCTTTCCCAGCATGCTGAGGGGCAGCAGGCAGCTGCCAGCTCTCCATGCAGCTCCAGGAGCAGACACAAGGCCGAGACAGAGCCTTCCTCTCCACTTTCCTCTAATCCTGATAAGGAACAACTCTTTGATGAAAGGCCGTCAACTGGCATGGTCCACAGAAGCACAAGATTTCAAAAGAGCAACTCTTGTGGAGCACTGGGTCAGAACAACACATGGCGTAGCAAGACTGGAGAGGTCTGAATAGAAAGGCCCACAGGAGGGTGGGCAGCAGAAAGGGTGACTGAGACGGCAGTAAACACAGCTTCCAAAGGGAGGCCCAAGAAGGCGACTTCCAGGAAGACACACAGAAGTGGGACAGAAAGTCGAGCAACAGTGCCGGCTCCTGCTGGACAACGGCCAAGGCCCCAATCAGGCCTACCACCGGCCCGTGTAAATCAAGTTCCACCGGTACACAGGCATGCCCCCGCCTTTATACATGCCAAGGAAGCTTCCACACAAGGGCAGCTGAGTAGTCACAGCCAACACCAGGTGGCTCAAGGCCTGAAACAGTTATCATCTGATCCTTTACAGAAAAAGCTTGCCTTCTCAGGCTGGAATATAGAGGAATCTGAAGAAAACTGTGGAAAATTGTGGATAATGATCTATTGCAGATCCCTGAATATGAAAACCACTGGAAGATATGTTTTAACAGCAGAAACAAAGGAAGGAAAGAACTGTTACCACTCTGGAGGCTCAGACTAGGCAAAGGCTTCCCCACTGTTTGATTTCATCCTCACCTGCACCAGGGGATGGGCAAGAAAACTAAGGCTCAGGGGGGCAGGTCCCACCCATCTGGTGCCATAGTCCAATGTGTAGAAGAGCTGGGAGGAAAAGACTGGGGTGGGGTGAAAGACTAGAAACCGAGTGTTAAGTGATGAGGGTAGGCATGACACCAGCCAGGGAGAAGAGGCAGATGTGAGAATGTTTGAAAGGGTCAACAGGAATAGCTGATGAGACTACTCAGGAACTGGTATTTTTCATGGCATAGTTATAGTGAGGTGAATCCAATGAGTCACAACATGTTATGGATGACACAGCAAAATCCAGAACTTTGCACAGGGGAAGGATCAATGACTGAAACACTAATCAGTTAAAAACGCATGATTGCCAACAGGCCTAGTTTCTGATCTATAAAAGCATGAGTTTCACAAGAATTCAGTCTAATCCTATGCTCTGGACCCTTTGCATGGGCAGTCAGTCCTCAAGACCACTTGCTTTCCCCACGGACACACCAAAGGATGTCATAGAAAGATGCAGGGAGTTGTGCTTCTCAGGGCGCACATGCACAACTCATACACACCACACCACACACACACACACACACACACACACACACACACACAGGAGGTACATGCATATACTTCTCTTCTTCAATTGGGTTAGGACACACTGAGAACAGGGCATATTTTCCCTTTTTTTTTTTGTGGTGACTTCAAACCCTTGGTTAAGGTACAGAAATACCTTCATCCTGGCTACCCAATAAGGTGGTGATAAATATCCTACAGCAAAAGCCACTCAACACAAAAAAATTACATGTTTTCTAGAGTTACAAATGGGTGCTATAGTAGAAGGAAACTGGGGTCTCTATCTAACCAGACCGAGGTTTACTGTCCATGATTCTGTGACTACTCCACAGCTCCCACTGCTTTAGTGCATGGCAACCCAGCACAAAAGGCCAATCTTTGATACTTTCTCTTGGCTGGCCTACCTGACACTCTTGCCCATCCCCAAAGCACCTCTCTGCCTGTTCTGCCTCCTTGCACTTTCACCTCTGTATTAACATCCTCAAGAGTTTGCAGCTGATGGTCCCTAGAAAAGGAGGCACTTCATTTTACCTCTTCACTTCAGTGCCTCAGATATGGTGAATCTCAATGAATACTGCAGAATCCATTTATTCCCAATAGATTCACTTTCCTGACTGATTTTGAGAAAAATAATAAAACCTTTCAGCTTTCACATTAATGTTTTTATCAAAGGGGGAGGGAGGGAAAAAATTAAACAGGATTGGCCTCAAGGTGACAGCTGCTGAAGGTACGTGGGGGGTTGTTAGGTAGTCTATTTCTCATATGTTGAAAAATCAATGCAAAGTTTCAGGTATAATCAGGTACAGATACAGAGATGCCAACTTTTCAGGATAAAAACACCTCTTAAGTCATCCACACTGAGAATACTTACCCATAAAGAGGCCCATCGTTGCCAATAGCAGAGACCATGATTACATTATTAGCTGTTAATTCCCAAACCTACAAAATTAACAAGCATTTATGAAAATATACCACTTTCAAACAATCAACATACAATTTTCCAAAAATAACCACAAATTCTAAAGAGTCCCTTTAGAAAAGGAAGGAGTCCTCCTTAAAACATAACACTAGAGGGCGTCCCCTGGTGGCGCAGTGGTTGAGCTCTGGGCTACGAGGCTGCCAGCAGCCTCTGCAGTGCCGGTTCAATCCCTGACTGCCGGCGAGGGTCCCACGTGGTGTGCAGACCTCTCCTGCCATGCCCGCTGCTCCCCTCAGCAATGTATTTCGTCAGTCTGCCTGTTCTGTTCCCCACTCTGGCTCTGGTGAATTCTCTCACTCTCCCACGCTTCTGACTGTACCCAGTGCTTGTATAAATAAATAAATAAATCTTTAAAAAAATGAAATAAAATAACACTAGAGCATCACTGGCGTGGGTATGTATGCGAACAACTACATTGTGAGATGAAAAAATCCAGGACACAAGTCCACACAGTGCACAGTACATGCGTATTCAGAAAAGACATGCCATACTCTTAAATGAGACACCATGGGCCACCCTGGACACAAATCACAAAAGCTCAAGTCAGCCCATCTGTGTTAACAAAACTGGCACAGCATGGGTGACATACAGCACACTAGCTATAAAGCACTTAATGTTGGGGTGCTGTCACCAGACACAACCTCCTCCTGTGCAGGGACATGACTCACCTTATCAACAAAGGGATGGTCCATGAAGTCTGGGCCACCAATGCTGAGGTTCAGCACATCAATCTTCTTTAAGATGGCATAGTTGAAGGCATCCAAGAACCAAGACGTGTACGAGACCTGGTGAATTTTAAAACAGTCCCTGAGGTATTTCTGTGAAAGTTTCAGAGTGCTACAACAGACTTTTTATTTCTAAGGGTAAAGTCTGGATTCTTATCAGCATGAAGCATTGACTTACATTTCAGATACAAACTCTAAGAAGAAATAATGCTCTGAAATGCATAAAACCACAGTCAGAAATTCTAAGGCCTGGAGTAGACTCAAGTGAGGCACCTTGGATTGTGTGGGTGGCCTATCTGCCTGAATCCAAAGTACAGCTCCTACCATCAAGTACACATTCTCTGACAAAAGCCCAAACTTCTAACAACCCCTCTTGTAAAAGGACTTATCCTAAGATACAGTTCTTCCTAATTTCCTTATTGAAGTTAAGTTACTTTGAGTATCACCAGTTAGGTGTCTTTATAAAATACAAAATTAAACTTACATTGGAGACAGAATTAGTGTTAATAAAAATGTTTTTTAAAAGGCTATAAAAATAAGACCACATATTATTTGCTAACACACGCAAAAGAAACTCCAGGAGGAAGGGGTATAAAAAATTATTAAACTATCACAGGGGAGACCTGGGGAAGAAGGATAAGAACGGGCTGGAAGGGGCAGGGTTAGGAAAGTTGTCACTGTATTGCCTTTAGATATTCAAGAGCTATGTATCACCTATACAAAAACTCAATTTTAAAAATAAGCACATTCGGGCCTCCCCGGTGGCGCAGTGGTTGAGCGCTGGGTTGCGAAGCTGCCCGCAGCGTCTACGGCGCCGGTTCGATCCCCCGGCTGCTCCCCGGCCACCGGAGGAGGGTCCCACATGGCCCGCAGAACTCTCCTGCCGCCCGCTGCTCCCCTCAGCAGTGTACTTCGGTCCTTCTGCCTGCTCTGCTCCCTGCTCTGGCTCTGGTGAATTCTCTCACCCTCCCGTGCTTCTGACTGTACCCAGTGCATGTATAAACAAAAAACAAACAAACAAATAAATAAATAAATAAGCATGCCTCTATTAAAAAAAAAAAAATTAAAAAAAAAAAATAAGCACATTCTAGGACTCTTCTTTTCTATAAAGGAACATGCTTATTGATCCACTTATCCTACATGACATTAGGTGTTGGGACACAGAAGACCACCAAGGTGGTCCCATCCAGGAGGGGGTAAACAGACAAACATGCGACTATTCTCTCATGCAGAAAATATAAGTCAAAAATGTGGTGAGGGCCTCCCCGGTGGCGCAGCGGTTGAGCACTGGGTTGCGAAGCTGCCCGCAGCCTCTGTGGCGCCGGTTCGATCCCCGGCTGCTCCCCGGCCACTGGAGGAGGGTCCCACATGGCGCGCAGACCTCTCCTGCCGCCCGCTGCTCCCCTCAGCAGTGTACTTCGGTCCTTCTGCCTGCTCTGCTCCCCGCTCTGGCTCTGGTGAATTCTCTCACCCTCCTGCGCTTCTGACTGTACCCAGTGCATGTATAAACAAAACAAACAAACAAATAAATAAATAAATAAAGCATGCCTCTATAAAAAAAAAAAAAAAAAAAAAATGTGGTGGCACAGGACCTCTTGAAGAATAAGGAATCCCTGTGTATACAGTGACTTGGCTCAGGGCTGAAGTCAGGCCCAGAAAGGGGTTATGGGGAAAGAGCAAAAATCACACAGAAGGGGCAGTACAGAGACAGCAGGACACACTGGGGATGCTACAAGTAGCTTGTACCACTGAGTCTGTATTTACAGGCAATATCAACTCTTTAGATTTCAGGAGTCCTAACAACACCAACCTGGTTATTGGTAAAAACCCTGAAAATATGAAGTTCTGCATCTGGAGCAAATCCTTGGCATTCTCTCATGCTGGCAATCACACCTGCCACGAACGTTCCATGGCCCAGCCCTGTGGCCCATCAGGGAAAAAGTCATAAAACACCACTGATAATGTGCACCCAGACAACATCCCAAACCCTCACATCAGATAGCCACTTTCTCCAAGTCCAAGAAGAAGAACCCCCTGCCTCTGCTGTCCTCACTCAGCCCACATGCCCTGCTCCAATTCCAGGTTGAGCCACCCTGTTCCTTCCCAGATGGGGAAGGAAGTGCTCCTTCACCCCCACCCCTTCCTCTTCCCTCTTCAGATTCCCTTTCCCTATACCCCCTGAGACATTTTAAAAAAGTTTCTGCCAAAACGAAATGGCACCACATGGGTTTGTTTGAGTGACTGCTGTACAGGACTGCTTGGTCCCTACCACATGGTGAAACACTGAGTGAGAGCAGGGTACAAGATGCACCCCAAGGTCTCTCCCTGCCACACTGTCACCTACCGTCATCCAGTGTCCGCTCATTGGTCCAGTTGGTTCTCTCCTTCACATTTTTGAAGTGGGGGTGCTTCTCACTCAGCCCAGTGTCAAAAACAGCAACCCTTACATTAGCACCTTATTCCAAAAAGAAAGAAGCACAGGCGCAGCTGGAGAAATCCTTTTTGAATTGTGTTGCTATAATAAATCCCTCTTTGGGACCTAAAGAACACACATCATGGAGTAACACATCTGAGCAGAGGGCACAAGGAGGCCAGGTGCTGCAGGTGCCCTGGTTGACGGATAGTGGGGGGTCATTGTGGAAAGGCCATCCTCAATGCTGAACGGACTGGGAGGATAAACAGAAAATCTCTCTGGACACTTACCAGCCACTAATGCTCAGGAACAGAACCACCCTGCCCTCTACGCAACGCAACAGTTGTCACCTTAGATTGATTTTCCCCTTCTGGCAATTTATTCCAGGTTTCAAGCCCTCATCTCCTCTCAGCGATCCAACAGGGAGAAACATTCACAAGGTCTCACCCACAGAGATGGGGAGCTGCTCCCATTCAGGATAAGGACAGTGACTCAGTACTGCCCACTAAGAACAAACTCCACAGAGGGGCTGTCAACCACACAAGGATGACCACATCTCAGGGAAACTACGCTAATATGCACTTTTCTGTAGTGAAATCTATTTTAGATGCCAGCAGAAAAGGCATGGTGCACCAATGTGAAATATTGTCAGGTCAAGAAAGTCTCAAAAAACACCTAGAAAAAAATACAGGTTACTTGGACTATTTAACAGGGAACAAGTATATGAAGGCAATGACTTTGTATATGAGAGCTGTGTACACATACACTATGCCACATAATTACACCGAGATAAGGACCAAAATGTATTGTTTAATTTTTAAAAACACACACTGGCTGGGGGGAGGGGTTGGTGATTAGAGAATTTGTTTTGTGAACACCCTAAAAAGATAACAGGTAACAGTCATAATAAAATATCTGTCTACCAATAGACATTCTGGAGGCTGAGGAAACCAGAGAAGAAGGGTCTCCAAGTCCAGAAGAATAATCAGACACGATGAGACAAAATGGGGTGTGCTGGGGCCAGGGAAAACAGGCCAACCTTTAAGTCAGGCAGAAACCTGCAGAAGAGCTAAATCAGGAGTTTTCTGACATGATGAATTAGCAAGGTAAAGAACCTTAGGGGCTGTTATTTTCTCTCATAAGATCTGATCATTAACACCATTTCCTGTTCTGAAACAAATTACCTACCAGCACAACAGCCAGTTACTTAGGCCCTCAGCACTGCACGTGAGTCATTAGCAATTCACTTTCACGTTATCACCCAAACCAAGGGAACCATCTTTGAATGTGATCTCTTTCACTGAAAAACAGGAACTCTGCTGGTCTGCCAGGCAGCTCTGGCTGTGAGCAGGGTGTGTCTCATGGATGTATGTCAACAGAGAAGAGATGTGCCACCTTCTACCCCTGCTAACCTCAGAAATGGTCGAGGAAAGTCACAAATGGTGAACAGGATTAAACAACAGAAACCACTGAATAGACACCTGGCAAAACAGGAGTCAAAGGTAAGAGGCAGCTGACTAACGCGCAGCTCAATGGAGTGAGGTCAACTGCCTGGGGTCGCCCACTCGGGCACTACACACTCAGGAGGACAGGCTCCAGGACCCACCAGCCCAGGCTGTTTCCAGGTGGCTTCCTGGTTCTTGGGACATACCTGTGTACCCCATCTGCCAGAGCACATCCGCCTGCAGCGTCTGGGCAACCTGGCGCGGGATGGCTCTCAGCAGCCGTCTGCTTGAGTGTCTTCCTGTGGCATGCCAGAACCCGGAGCCCAGGGAGAGACTGGCTCTTCGCAGAGGACGGGACGACTGCCACTTCTGGCTCCATCGGGTTTCATTACAGGGCAAGACAGGGTCAGCTGGAGATAGGGAAGAGAAAGGTCAGAAGAAGGAAAATAGTGACTCTGTGTCCGTATCTGCAGGAAAACCATCCTTCCCACCACAGCAATGATGACCTTGAAGTCCTATCTGAAGGAAAGGGGACCCCCTCCCTTTGCCAGAAAGACATTCTCAATGCAGTTATAATCACAGGATGTCATGCAGCTATCTTCTCATTACCAAATAATTCCTTACCTAGAATTTTCTCACCAATGTACGAGAGAGGAGGATTTATAATAATTTTAATGATACTAAAACCAGAGAAATGTATGGTTTTTCACCAGCAATTTGTTCTCACTGCACCAGAAGGGGTCAGAGAAATGAAGCAATGGCCACTGAGGTAGAAGCCATGTTACCCATCCACAGGACCTTTTCCCAGCTGTACCCGCTCAGTGTTCTCAACATGTCTATCTACGAGAACTGCACCTTTCACAAAGCAAAGGAACTACAAAGGAGACAGGGAAATGTCTGAGGGTGAAAAATTATGTTATATCCTTGATCTTGTTAGTACGCAACTACACACCATAATCAAAACTTGCCAAACTATGCACTAAAATGCATGAAATTTTAAAAAAATAGATAGAAAAAAGAAAAATACCATAAGCATTTTCCCTTTACCTTTCAAAGACCAAGCTATAATGAAGAAGAACATCTTATTTCAAGTCAGTTTTATGAGAAAATCTCTAACACTACTGAAGTTCTATTTCTAAAGCTAAAAATTATGGTCACTTTTATTACAGTCTTAACCAGGCTACACCCATGGAAAGCACAACAACCTGGAAAAATATACAGTCATGTCAATTCCATTAAGTAACTATTTGCACAGTCTAACTGAAATTATTCTGTACCCAACTTCCTTGCTGACTCTGTTCTTTAAGTCAACAATGTGGAACAATACTGTAAGTTCTAAATGAAGAACAATATTTAGAACAAGGGAGGGGTCTGTTCCGCTTTCCTTAAACAGCCCAGGTAACACCTGATGCAATGAAGTCAGTCTAAGCTTCACTCTTAAAAGTCATTTAGAAAAGTGGGAACATTATCCAAGGAAAGCAGTTAAGATGGTGATTAAGACAGTTACTATACAAGTAAGGCATAGTGACCCCTGGAGAAACTGGAGAGTTTTAGTTTCCTGGAAAGAAACGGGGGGGGGGGGAGCACACGGAGTGCCAAGGGTATCTTTGATTATCTTGGTGTGGAAAACAGGTAGCTCTGTCTCACAGCCCACAAGATGGAGCCAGGGCTGGGATCCAGAGCAAGACCGGCATTGGTCCCAACTAAAGCCAAGCCTCCTAAAAAAGCCTGCCACAGAAATGACTGACACTGAATGTATACCTATGACAACCTCAACACCATGCTCTTCCCACAGCCACTGTTTCCCTCTGAGGTAGGTGGTATTATCTCCATTTTATGGTTGAGGAAAAGTTGGTTTAAAGAAAAGGTGCCTGCTACAGAAGGTCACAGGTAAAAAGGCCTCCTTCATGAGATGAACTTTTCCTCATGGGTGTCAAATACAGCATCTGACACCATGGTGGAGATTCTATCAAAAGAAATCCCAGGGCATCCCTGGTGGCACAGGGTAATTAAGTCTCAGCACTATGAAGTTATCCACAGCCACTGCAGCACGAGTTCAATCCCTGGCCAGGGAGCTACCCACATGGCACAGCAGACCTCCCCTGTCTCACCCGCTGCTTCCCTCAGCAGTGTATTTCAGTAGATCCACCTGTTTTGCTCCCCACTCTGTCTCTGGAGAATCCTCTCACTCTCCTCCCTCACACATCTGGCCTACACCCCAGCTGCTGTATGCATAAATAAATCTTCAAAAAAAAAAAAAACCCCAACTGTGAGATTCTATAATCACTGTACCAAAATTAGGCATTTCCATATTTCCTCAAATATTTTGGAGTTCTTCAAGAAAATAAAAAGGGTAGCACAAAGAGAGTCGAGTGAGTGCATGAACAAGGACAGTGGCAGCTGGAGTTGAAACTCGGAGCTATGGAGCTATAGGAAGAGGCATTCGTTGAGAAAAGAGTAGACTCAAGAACCACCTGACTCTTGACCATGCAACTGGGGAAAGCACTTCTCACACCATAAATCAAGAGCAAGTTGACGGGAATCAGCACAAAACAGGCTGGCTGGGGCAGAAAGCAGGAACGACTAGAATTGGGTGGCTCCTGCGTGAGCAAGTTGAGAAGCAGCTCGCATGTTAAGCCTTATAAAGATACTGAACAGGAAGAGTGTTTCAGTCAGAGCTCAACTCCTTTTCAACACCACCAGATCCAAACTGGAAAGAAATCCCATCAATGTGCTGATCGTGGGAAGTTTCTCTCAGAGTTCAACGCCCATTCAGCAAGGCAAGCCTATAAACATGAGACAAGTCAGCTCTATAAACATGAGAATGCAGAGAGTTTGTTTCAACAGAGCTCATCCCATTCAGCATGAGAAATCTTAACCCTGTCAGTGTGATGCGTGTGGCCCATGGTTCAGAGCTCCCACCTATTCAACATCTAGAACACATACCAGGAGAAACCCAACGAATGAGGTAAAGGCTCCAGCCACAGCTCCCAGCTCGGCTAGGACGTGGAGGTGTGCAGAGAAGAGGAGCCTCTCAGCAGCCAGGGCAAAAATGTTAGGGCAAAAATTCACTGGGTGTCATCCTGGAAAGCTGGTACAGGAGTGAAATTAGAGGCTGGTCTCTGCTAAGTAAAGGGCACTCTTCAGTCCTCTTTAAAAGGGGAAGGAAGGTGGGTGGGTGGCAGTGGCACACTCGGGGATAAAAAAAAAAAGCAATTTCTTTTAGAGCCAGAGATACTTTATAACAGAACCCTTACATAGTGCATCCTTCCCGAGCAGGCAAACACTGCCAGTTCAGTGACACTGGGCTGAAAGGAATGATAGGCACCCAGCTGTCTCATTTCTCTTTTATGTCACAAGGAGTACAAAGAACTAAAAAGAAGTCTTGAGAGAATCTAAAATCTTTGACCTCATTTGAATCTGCTTCATGCATCATTCTGACAAAAACAACCATGAGTGAAGACACACATGTGAGAGTGCAGGAATACCAATGCCTGCTTGGTTGTAGGACTTTCCGTGTAAGAAGTGATTTAAAGGGAGAAGAAATGAACCTCGTTTTGGAGTTCTGCAACAGATGAGACTCTATGTTTGTAAAGTTCTATAGCACACTAGCCATTAGATTGTAAGTATGACTCAAGATTCAATATACTAAAGTGTACTCAAGTTCACAGACTTCTAAACAACAAGGCCCATCACTCCACGTTAGCTTTCTTTTCTGTCTTCCCCTGCTGTAGGACAAATACTAAAGAAGCAGAATTTCCCTGTTTCTCACCAAATTCTTAGTAAGAGATGCTCCAGCAGTCAAATGGGAATGGAGTTAGACCCCTTGTCTCCTGCTCCTCATTCTGACTATTGTGATGGTGCCTTGATGTTTCCAGAAGTGGGGGTAGATTCATGTCCTCCATCTCCTGCCTTTCACTTCTTTAGCATTCATTCTTGTGGGCTCTGACAAACTGAGCTAGCCTTTTAGATCTACACGAACAAAAATAAATCTTATTTTACAAAAACAATCTCAACTTGATAATGAAAACTATACAAGATACAGGTCTCCCTCCCTTCCACTTTGAGAGCTTTAGTTCACCCTCGTTCTCTTAAACAAGTTTGTCAGCAGCAAGTCATTTAAGTCAAATGTAGTGCATTGTGTAGCCTTCAAAATCTAGATTAACTTTTTCTTGAGTGATGTGCAAATTTATGAAGTCAAGCAAACATGTTTCTTAACACAGATGGGAATGGAGCCAGGAGTCATTCTGATCAGTCTCTAGCTCAGGTTTTATTGGTGGGTGAATGCTAACATCCTCCTGATTGTTTTTATATCTTTTATAACCATACCAGTTCCTGCTGCATTGACAGTCTTCCATAAAAATGAAAAATACAAGATTTTGCATAAAAATAAAAAGGCACATATATGTATTTGGCTAACTATACAAGCTTTGATGTGTTTTACCTTCTTGGATTATTTTGTGGTTATTACTTTTTAAAGGGAAAAAGCAGTAAGAACCAGGCAGACTGGCAGAAAGGGCTCTGAAGAAATCAGACACCTGAATTCACAGCTGACTCAAGAGTGGTGCTATGCAATACATTAGCCTTTTCCCCTGTGTATTTGTTTTAAAAAACCTCAAAAACTCTCAGATCTAGTATAAGACAAAGGAAGAAAAGCAACCATCCAATGAAAGAAATAACAAAGAAAACAGAAGAAGGTGCAATTTGTTACCCCAGTTTCTAATAAATAGGAAAAATATTCTCCCTTCGGTAATATGCATGTGCTTTGGAAATACATGATACACAATTTATCATTTGAGAATAAACTCCATCTTGACAAGCCCAAAGTGTAAAGAAAAGAAGTAGGGCAGAATAAACCTGTGAGTTGGAAAGAGAAGAACCAAATTCCTTCCATGCCCACACCTACACAGCTGCTAACCTCCATAAGCCCAGCTCAGGAAGGCATGGTCACAAGTGGTCAGGAGGTTCTGAGATAAATTCAAAGAATCCCAAGGGATAAACAATTTGCAAGATGCCTTAACAAATGAAAATAGTGACAGAAGCACAGAACTACAGACGGAAGCAAATTTTAACAGGAAATTAAAAGATACCTTTTCTCATTTCCAAGAGGGAAAGAGAGTCATGGCTCCAAAGTCTAAAGGGTATGAGACTGAAGCTGGTTGACAATCACTTCCAATGGAAGGAAAGATCACTATCATCCTCTAATCCAAATCACCAGAATAGCAATAGTCTCTTTTTGTTCCTTAAATTCCTGCCTAAAAAATGTTCACAATTGATGAAACTAGTTGAAGGGACATAGCATCCTTCACTGTACTATTTCTCAACCATTCTGCAGTTAAAACATTCCAAGTAAAGTTGGGGTGTTAGGGAGGAGGGTGTGTGGAACACATTATGAATATACACATGCTCTCACTAAATCCAAGTGAAACAGAAACTGATCTAGATGGGCCAAGACATAGTACTCACACTCTGCATACTTGAGGGCACGAAAGACTTTCCGTTGGGGTGTTACCCGTTTGATGTTAGGATGATCTTCCAGTGTTAGCAGTCCTGCTTTCTGTTTTTCTTTTATCTGAATCACCTCAAAATCACTAGGGTAGTCACTGGATGGATTGTTTCGAGGTATAATTCTCCAATTGTCTATTTCACTGCTCTTCAGGGCACTCGAAATAAATGAATTTCTAGCTTTGGCTGTAAAGTATCCATTGAAAGCCACAATATATTCTGAAACCAATAACCACAAAAAATAATTTACATACACAAATAATCTTACAACATATTATATTCATATACTTATATGGATATTAAGTTCCCTGGTAAAAGAAATCTTGTATGTCTTAAAACCTACAATACAAAGAGTAGTAAGGACATACATCAGTTTAAATGTCTGGGACAGCAGGACCCAGAACTTTGAGATAAAATGACCTCTATAAATCTCCTGATCACAGAATACATCACTCAAAATCAGACACCTGTGTTTTCTCTAAAAAGTAAACATCAATACAAGTCTAAATGTGTGACAAAAAGAATACATGTAAGCTCTTCAAATAGGGAAATAGAATTCAGAGAAGCAAATGTTCAGTGTCATTTTACTGAAAACAATAAAATGTGGAGTGGATCATATAGGACTATTTGCTCAGTTATTCACATCTGGTTACTTGAACCTCAGAACATTAACATTCAGCACCACTAACTTCCCTCCCCCCTTCCTCTTCTACAGTGGTGTCTGTTCTGTGGAATTAAGTTGTAAGGAAATAACTCAAAGTCATCTTTCATGCTTCATCTACGCTAAGTATACTGGGAAAACAAATGTCAACTGAGTCAAGCCCAAGGGTCATACACTCATCCCATCCGATATTTATTATAGAAAAAAGGATTTTTTTTAATAGCAAAAAAAATAAGGGCAATCCCTAACATTCAAAATAATATCATTACCATATTCCACAACTGTTGAGGAGAATTCCACCTTCAAAGTCAGGTGGGAACAGCCAGGGCATGGAACTTTTTCAAAAGATTTCTTTTCCACTCTGTCACCCCGATGTTTCTTCCCACAGAGCAAAACCACTAGCAGAAGCAGCCAGATGTTGACAAGCTTCATGGTCACAAATGACTATGGTCATAAAAATCGCATAAATTCAAATCGCACTTTTTTCTTCCTTGATTATAAGTTCATTTTTGTTTCAGTTAAAGCTGAAACAGTACAGATGAGCCATTTTTACTGTCCGGTCCAACATAAATAAAAGTTAAATTTCATGGTCTTTTGTGGTTTGGCCTGAAAAGAGGCTTTCATTTCTTTCTTCGTTTCTTCTCCATCCTGGACATCAGATTTCTCTTCACTCTGGCCCAGACAACTGAGTCCTGTGCTCCATTGGCACCACAGAACCAAAGTCCAAAGAGGCTAATCAATCACTCTGCCAGCCAATCTACAAAACAAAACACGCCGCCAGTGTGGGCATTAGTAGTGCACTGCTACAGCCAGGCAGGACTGAGTTATAAGTGCAATTAAGATCAGAAAGTCAAAAAGATACCTCATTTATGAGACACAATGACTGTATGAGGCAATCACAAAACAGCTTATTATTTTGCTTTTATTTGGTCGCTCCTCACCTCTTTCTGGAAAAATGGTAGCTTCAAAAGTAAAAAATGATTGGGGTCTCCCCGGTGGCACAGCGGTTGAGCGCTGGGTTGCGAAGCTGCCCGCAGCCTCCGCAGCGCCTGTTCAATCCCCGGCTGCTCCCCGGCCACCAGAGGAGGGTCCCACATGGCGCGCAGACCTCTCCTGCCGCCCGCTGCTCCCCTCAGCAGTGTACTTCGGTCCTTCTGCCTGCTCTGCTCCCCGCTCTGGCTCGGGTGAATTCTCTCACCCTCACACGCTTCTGACTGTACCCAGTGCTTGTATAAATAAATAATGAAGTAAATAAATAAATAAATCTTTAAAAAAAAAAAAAGTAAAAAATGATTAACAAGTGAGAAAAAGAGAAAATCTACAATAATGAAGTAAAACCAGGAATGTTAAGCACACTGGCTCTGAGCATCCAAGCAGCCAAAGAGGAGAAATCACCATCCTGTGCTTCTGATTCTTGATGGTGTTAATTTCGGATTCTGTACTTTCCTATCATTTGCAACTGGGTATACCCCCAAATCAGTACATTCTTCATAAATTTCACCAGTTTTACGGGCAAAAGCTTAGAAGGCACTCCAACTTTCTACTTAAAGACAAACTAATTCCAATGGAAGTCATGTACTCAGTGTATCTTAGGAGGGACACAGTGCTTTAAGTTACTCTAGCTGTACCCTTTCAGATTTTGAAATATGTTCTGCCAATTCTATGAACAGAGCAGAGAAGGGCTTGTACTGACATTAAACTTATTTTACCTGAAACCTTATTTTACCTGATTATCTCTTTACTGGAAATGATACGAGAGGGCAGTTTGTAATGTGAGTTATTGCCAAAGAAAAAGTGTTAAATACATGTGGCACAGATCCCTTACACAGTAACTGGATGTCAGAAAAACGATCATTCTTCACAGTGGAAACAAGCAGCAGCAGGGGAAACACACTGCGGAGCATGCCCAGAAATCACTGCACATCACCCGGGAAACCTAAGGATGCAGCGAGGGGAAGTCAGAGCAAAGCAACCACACAGGCTTTAATGGCTGCTGGCTTTTAAGAAGAAAATCCTCCAGACAAGGAGTTACCCTTTCCAAGAGAGGCTGCCAAACTGCTAAAGCTACTCTTCCGGCAGAAACTGAGGCTCCAGAGCAGGAGTGTTTGGTTTCTGAAACGACTCACATGTAAGTCTATAAACAGGAAAACACTAATAAGTTACTACTGAAAAATGGGGTTAGACAGTCTAAAGAACTTTTAAATCTTAATAATTAGGACTGTAACAGCACACGATCCTGAAATGCAAGTCTATCTACAGAACTGAAGACCCAAGTTGGTGGCGCTCACCCGAAAGAATTTAAGACCAACAAACAGAATGTCAACCATAAACACAAATTAAAAACAAAGGTCAGCACAGAAGAGAAGGCCCCAAAAGGCACTTAAAGCCACTCTAACATATCTGATAGCAATCTTGTTGGGCATGAGTCCCAATTTTTTTGTTTATACTTAAAACTTTGAGCAATGGGGTATCACAGAATGTAATTATACCTATGTCTATCTAGTTTAATCATAGCGTTACCAGTCAAAAAAAGACAGAGCTACTCTCTGCTAATGAGTTGTCCTATTATATTAAGCTAATCTATCAGTTCAAAGATTTAAACAGCTCTCTACCTCAAGGCAGGTTGTTTTTTAAAAAATGAAGAAATAAAAACCCTATAAAACTCTTCTGTCTCAAGTTAAAGAACCTATAAAGTACTTGGACTATATATGTAAGACAAACAGCAGTGACAATATTAGAGAGCAAATCTTAGACCTTGCTGGGATAGACCAACTAAACTTGTTCTAAAACAATTTACACACAGGTAAAGAGAGTGAATTTATAATGTAGCCTCTGCAGAAGTGAGGGCTGATGCACCGTCCACTGAGGCAGGAGCCTGATTTTAAGGAAGAGAAATGAAAAAAAAAGGATCAGGGATTTTTGGGTATCTTTCTCATTTTAAAAATGCCTAAGTAATTATCCTCCCAAATAGAAAAATGAAACTTTTTAGGTTTTTTGGAAAACAGGACACTGTGGACATTCTCTGCAGTCATTTTCATAAGCTTAAGACACTGCAGGTTGCAGAGGAAACACAAACTGTTCTAAGAGAGGGACCCCCTCTGGGGGGATCCATCAGGGGCCACTAGACAGGGATACCAAGGGCAAGAAAGGAAATGCTGAGGGAGAGGCACATGCAGCGCCAGGGACTCGCTGAGAGGGTTCTCCCAGATCCAAGAGGGGGCTTGGGGGGACAAAAGGGAGGACACCCGGCTCTGGTGGAATCTGAGCTGGTGGGGCTGGAAACATGGAAATAGGAGAGAGAAGTGGGGCGTTCTGGGTAGAGTAGCAAGAGACCAGGAAACACAGGCGGCCCTGCACAGGCTCGGCAAGTGCTCCAGTTTGACAGGGAAACAGCGAGAAGCCACTCAGGAGAAGCAGAGGTGGGGGATGGCAGGGGCTAGGAAGTAGGAAGTCTGAGCAGAACATCCAGCAAACAACAGGAACCACAGAACATCTGCAGCCAACAATGATCCATGCACACCTAGGCAGAGCTTAAGAGCTGGGGGACTGCTGAGCACCTCTGCTCCCCAGTGCACCCAATCACTGAGTGTGTTCCAGGTAGGAACAGAAAGTAAAGCATACACGCCTTAGTGAGAAACGCCTTATTTTAAAAGGAGAAAAAAGATGGGGAATGTAACTCGTCAGGGTAAGGGATGAGATTTTAGACAAAGCAGTGCAGAAGTCTTTGACAAGGGGCCTGCTGGAAGCAGGAAGCACACCAAATCATCTGAGGAGAGCGCTACAGCACCAGAAACAAGCAGGTGCAAAGGCCCAGTGGCAAGGCACACACTTGGTCTGTGTGCAGACAGCAAAGAGGACAGCAGGCAGCAGCTGCGAGAAGTAACAGAGGGGGCACGGAGGAGGGCCTGCAGGGCAGACGGGACCTCAGCATGCGCAGAGCAGAGAGAGAAGGGGAAGCTGGAGTCCAGCAGGGGAACCACTGGTCTACCTTGCACAGGAACTGGTTCATTCTGGTTTCAAATTTCAGGACACAAGGGGCAATGAAAGGCACCTATAAGAACCCAAGGGACAGAAGAGGTGGCCTGGGTTAGGAAAGGCCCTATGAAAAGTTGGGGAAGAGCGGGGGGAAGAGGGTATAAGTCAGGTGCCCAGGGCCTTGTGCCCAATGGAAGATGGGGGCTGCCTAACTGAGGTGGAAAAGGCTGCAGAAAAAGCTGGTTTGGGGGATACAAGCAGGAGCTGAGTCCTGAGGAGGTGGAACTCAGGAGGAACCTTGGAGGGCATGTCTGCAATGGTGGGGTGGTGAGGCCACCGGTTAGGAAAAAAGTAGACTAGAACAGGGAGGTCAACCCCCGCAAGAAAAATCAGTGGAAAAAAGATTCCATAAGGAAGGATGGTCAACGGGAAGAGACTTCTGATTTATAGTCATTAGAAGGTCAGGGATGCTGTCCCAGTGATGGATAAGGCTGGCCACCAGCCTCGGTACACTGCCCATTACCTCCAGTCAGCCTGCTCTAGTCTCCAAACCCCTGGACTAGAAAAACTCCCTGAGGATAAGAATGGCTTGAAAATGACAAGGACAGGGACACATCTCTCTACTTTCTTTGGATCTGGTTACCCAGCTTCTGTGCTTTAACAGTGAACTAAAATCTAGATTCTAAAAGGACACTCTTTTCAAGGACCTATGGCTCATAAAATAATGCCAACAGACACTACCCTGTGTACCAGCACTTGAAAGCCGACACCACCCCTTCCCAGGCACCTGGGTCCACAGCAGACCCTGCCCACCCTCATGACGCAAGGTGCGGCTGCTGAGCACTCCCCATGTGTGATGAGCACGCTCCATCTAGCAGCAGGCAGATAGGGAACATGAAGTACGCTTCATACACACCCAGGAACATGAGAACAAAAATACTTTGAAACAAGAGTTCTCATTTTCCTCTTCTCCCCTTCTGAGTAACTCAGGTGAGGTGGCCCAGAGCAGGATGAGAGTCTGACAGAGGGAAGGTGTGTGGGATGGGGAGGAACCTGCTTAGGGATGTCAGAGCCTCAATGGGGTGATAGCAGTTGACGAAGGAAATTGATCTGAGCTAACAATTTAGAGGTAACAGGAGGCAACCTTTTCATTGTCAGAAAAGGAAGTTATAGGTATGAAAAGTAGAAAATCTGAATGAACCATTTAGGATCAGACTGAAACTAGAAGTACCGGTATGAACTCAAGGTTTCACAATGTAGACAGAGCTATAGACACAGGCGAACGTGTGCGCACACATACATTTCCTCCTCTGCTGCAAGGGCATGGGAGCGGTGACATCCGGATATTAGGGAGCGTCTACCTAGTGCTAGAGCTGATTTCCCAAATACCATATTCTCCACTAAAATAAGCCAACCTCCTTGCAGAGGAGCTAATTCCAGGACAGGCAGGGTAAGAACAAATGAGTCTGGAACATCTTGTCATCACAGAGTGAGGACACGCTGGAAGAACGAAGGCACTGTGTCAGAGGGGCACAAAGGCCAGCCTGGGACAATCTGGGCATCCAAATAAATCATGAGTGACAGATCCTAATCAGTGAATAAAGTTGGAAAACATGAAAAATGACGTATGAAGAAGATAAATCAAAGTATTTGAAAAAGAAATATTGACAGTCTCAAAATGTCTGTCAACAAACGCTGCTTTACAAAGGAAAAGGGATGACTTGCCAGTGGAGTAGCATCATCAAGCTAAGCAGCAACAGGGCAAACAGACCCAGGGCATCAAGCAGTGGAAGGCAAGATGCTCCACCTGAATCAGATCAAGAGAAAGCAGCAGAACCGAAACCCAGAAACACAGTTCAGAGCACCAGTCTCCGATTTTCCTAAGCACAAGGAAATGAAGGCCAAGGAATGGCTGACAGAGGGTATGGACTAAAGGAAACATAAAAGACACAACACTACCTGGGACTCCAGATTCTAAGCTGGATCCCTCTGCTGCGGGAGCAGGACAGGGACAACTAGCAAACCTGAATGGGGCTGTTGGTGACAGACTGCAGTGGTGGGGCAGGACCCATTTTCTGACTCAAAGGCTGCCCTGTGGTTACATGCCAAGACTCCCGCTTGCAGGGAAGGAAACGCTTACCAGCACACCTGCGGGTAATGGACATCAGGTTTTCACCTGACTTTTAAATAGTTCAGAGGAAAACAGGAGTGTGCCATTGTTAAACCCTTTCTGTAGGTGACTTACAAAGTACAAATAATGCATTTAGTTGCCTGGAATGCTCCAATCAGGGTGAGAATAAAATTTTTAAAGTAGTGGGGCCGGGGATGCAGGACAATTACAAGTCTTATATTAGACTATAATGTGTTCTGTTCAATTCGTGCATAACCAGAACTTATCTCACGTCAAACAGATTTACACACACCAACCGTTACACAGCACGACATCCCAGCATCTCCACAGATGGCACTGAGTTAGTCAAAGTGAAATAAAAGCATTTCTCATTCTAAGGAATTGAGAGAATTCCTGAAAAGGTTTTCCTTAAAACTCTGCTAAAATTAACTTGTGTTTCTACAATTTATATTATAAATATCAAGTAACATTTTGAAAAAAAATGAAGTACCCAATGTATAATACCAATTACATTTAAGAATCCACCAAACCAAATATAAACTCTTTTTTTAAACTGATGTTTAAAAAAAAAACCTCATAACCTTTTGAAATGGCAATCTGCCAATATGTATTACAGGCCTTAAAAATGGATATGAAAATATTTGATCTATAAATCCAGTTATAACAAAAATTAACATTTACTGCGCACTTATCACAAGGCAGGCAATACTCTCAATAATGTTCATGTGTAAACTCAGTTAACCCTCATAACAACCTATTACTACCACATTTGCAGATTATAAAATTAATGTCCAAGTTGCCAGCACTCTTCCTGGGGCAACACAATCAGTGAAAAGGAAACCAGGCTGGGAACCTGGGTAGTCTAGTTTAAGGTCATAATGCTCTCAGGAGATAGTTACACTATGTTTCTAAAATCTCCCCCAGAAATTATTCCATGTAAGTGTGACTCTGAAAGCATACACATTTATAAGGTTTTTACGTAGGAAAAATTAGAGACCATCTAAATGTGCAATAGGGGGTGAACTACATAATTAGCATTCTTCCTCATAATGAAATGCTATGCAGTAATTTCAAGTTATGTTCCCCTAGGAGGATGAATGATGGTCCCTCATGCTCACCCCTAAAACCTGTAAATGTTACTTTACATAACCAAAAGGATCTAGCAGCCATAATCAAACTAAGGATCTCAAGATGATTCTAGGTTACCCATGTGGGTCCAATGTAATTACAAGTCTTTATAAGAGGGACAAAGGACATCTGAGAAGTCAGTAAGATATGTGACCATGGAAGAACAAAGCAGGAGGTAACATGAGGAAGGGGCCACGGGCGACTCTAGAAACTGAAAAGGGGAAGAAACAGATTCTCCCCTGGAAAGTCCAGAAGGAATGAAGGCCCACTGATGCCCTGAATTTTGAGACTGATTTCAGACTATTAACCTGCATAGAAATTTTTCAAAGCAAAAGTAGGAACCGAATGTATTTCCAAAGAATGTGAAGGAAAGCTACTGAAATATTAAGTAAAATAGTTCATATACAGTGTGATCCAAATTTTGATTTTTAAATATGTACTTGCATATATAGGAAAAAAAGAAATGATTACAACAAAATGGTAACAGTGGTTCTACCTTTCAGTGGTATGAATTCAGATTTTTTTAAATTCTATTTTATTTTCACTTTTTCAAAGAGCATATGGTATACTTCTATAATTAAAGAAAACATTTAAATACTTTAATAAATCTGAAATAATTAGTAGAGAGAAACAAATCTTCTGGCAAGACAGTGGCACAAAGATTCAAAATATGTTAAAGATTTAACTTGTACAAATAGGAGTGCTTAAAAAGGAACTTTTTCCTAGAAATTGTTTTCAAAAATTGATTTCTACCTTCTAGGCTAAGATAAAGCTTCTAGCTAGTTCATTCTGAAAAGGCTCAATATTTATAATATCACTTAACTCACAGGGCCTAGTTAGGGCTGATCCACTGAGTGTTTACTGGATTTACTTTCTATAAATTCTTACGTAGAAAACCTGGCTACCTTTCCATACAAAGTGCATCCTACAAGATGGTATCTACACAATTATAGATTTTCCAAAAGTATAGTTACCTATTGCCTTTAAGGTTGAGCAGATTTAATTGTATTAATTTTTACCACGCTGACATTGCTATACAGCACCGTGTGATTCAGTGGTGTAGGTTCACATCGCTTCAGATGTATGTCACCACACTGCACCCACCAAGGCACCATAGTAATTACATCTTTAATCAGGTGTAGTCAAAAAAATTTGCCATCAAACACTAAATGGAAAATAAACAGATCAAATAATGTATGCAGTAGTAAGATTTAAAGAGACAACATGTAAATGGGAGAAAAGACAAAGGAAAAGTTATGACTTGGTTTAACAGCTAAGTTCTTTGCAGCTCTGAGACTGGTACACTGCGTTATATAATATCATCACTAAGGGGCCTCCCCGGTGGCGCAGTGGTTGAGCGCTGGGTTGCGAAGCTGCCCACAGCCTCTGCGGCGCCGGTTCGATCCCCAGCTGCTCCCCGGCCACTGGAGGAGGGTCCCACATGGTGCGCAGACCTTTCCTGCCGCCTGCTGCTCCCCTCAGCAGTGTACTTCGGTCCTTCTGCCTGCTCTGCTCCCCGCTCTGGCTCTGGTGAATTCTCTCACCCTCCTGCGCTTCTGACTGTACCCAGTGCATGTGTAAACAAAAAAAACAAACAAATAAATAAATAAATAAATAAATAAAAAAAAATATCATCACTAAGACGACTGATAATTCTGGGTATAATTAAGTACATCTGAAATCATTCCTTTGCAAATAATTAAAAAACATAATTCAGGTGCAAGGAAATTCCTTATATCACCTGGTAGTGCTTTGACCATGCAGATATACAACGCTTTTTAATGAATTATTTCACTGAACTAGATCCAGAGAAAATGGAATTGTATTTAGGTCTTGAAAGGTTACATTCAGTTGAACTAAAATCTGGCTGTAAAATACCACTTTTGTAATTAATTGCATCCTTGGCTATATTACCACTGTTTAACAGCTAACATCTAAGAGACACCAAACGACACCATCTTAAAATAAAGATGTACTGTTAAGCCTGAGTGAACGCTTCCTTGGGGCACATGATGTCCATCAATAGGTTTTGTAGGGGGAGAAAACACAGATTATTCAGCCCAACAAGTCAAAAGGGCCAAAACCAACAAATCTTGATCTAAACTTCTTTCACAGCCCAGTCTACACAGATGGTGCTCAAATCAACTAATTCTCCGTCCAGTGTTGCTGAGCCACAGGAGGCACCTCCAAACTCAGTACTTTCTTCATTTTTACTTTAAATTCACTCCTTAAGATTAATAAATCTTAACAGATTTCTTCAGTCAAAATTTCTTAAATCAAAACCCTTCAAGCTTCAGGGAAGGGGTCATCAACTTAAGTCTCTCTACCACCACATTATCTGCCTCAGGAAAAGCAATACAAGAGTCCAAGGTCTCCTACAAAGGCAAGGTCCAGCTTTCCATTCTTAACCTGTCTAGTCACCAAGGATTGGAGTTGTCAAGTTTTCAATAGAATATAACCAATATTTCACTCTCTCCTGGTGGAAAGAAGCAAGCTGCAAATCTCCCCCAAACCCCTCCTTGCAACACTAATGGGACCATGTGTAGTCTGCCTAAGCCCCAGACCTCCCAGCATCTGCTAGTAAAAGTGTGTGTGGCACTTAATGTGGTTGCCACTAGCTAAAAGCCTTTGGACAAGAAGGGACCCTGCTGGATCCTGTGAAAGCGAAATGTTTAAAGGCTCCACAAACACTGTATTAGAATGTCACTTTCTTCATGGATAGGGCCAACTCCTAATTATAATGGATACCTCAGGAGTCACAGGCAAGAGTTGAACATGGGCCACCTGCACCCCTAATCAGCTCTTGCCATCACCATCATACAAGGGAAGGCAAAGCAAAATTTTATTTGCAAAAAGCACTCTGCATGAACAAAATGTGTTACATCCATACAATGGAACACTGCTGGTCATAAGAAGGAATGAGATAGGGGGAAATAATTGCAAATGTGCAAAATAAAAGGCAGAACCAAAAGTTACCCATGATTCCACCCAAATACACAACATGCAGAAAGGGCAAGTCTAGGGAGACAAAGCAGATTAGTGGTGACTTGGGACAGGCAGGGATTGTCTCCTTTGGGAATGATAGAAAGGTCCTAAAAGTGGACTGTAATGGCTGTGCAAGGCTGTAAATTTTCTTTAAAAAAAAAAAAAATCACTGAGCAAATGAATTTTATGGTTTTACCTTAAAGTATTTACATTATATATGTGTATTATTTACATTACACACACACACACACACACAAAGTGGGTGTTGCAGATAAAAAAGAAAGAAAAATGCTGGGGAAGAATTACAGTTCCCCAAGCAGCTCACTTTTATGCAAACTGAAAAACTGTGAAGAGCAGCGCTTCATCATAGCATAGCTAAAATAAAAACTAAAGTAAAGGCTCCAGAAATCAACTCTGAGATCTTAGGCCACTCGCTCTCATTTGGAAGTGTCAGTCAGAATCTACAGTAAATGCAAATATTTGATTTGCGAAGACAAACCGGGCAGAATTCTCGCGGGCTCTGCCCAGAACAAGGGGTAAAGATCTTAATAAAAATGATCTTTGTTGAAGATCCGTAACCTCGGCCTCGGATGGCAAAAACAAGACAGGGCAAAGCAAGGTCTTAAGATCCCACAGGTGTGAGACATCCCGGTCCTGACAGTGTCACGGGCCCAGGTGCCATCGATCTCCTTCATCTGTAGTTTGGAAATCAGGGGAGCCGCACACAGACCGCGCTACGGCAAAGAACTGAGGTCACCTAAGACCTGCTCGCAGCACCCCTCGGGCGCAGCCCCGGGAGGACGGGTCCCTTCGGCGGCCGAGGACCAGAACCGGGTCTTCCGCCCGGTCCAAAGACGCTTATTTCACAAGGAGCAAGTGATGGGCTGGAGCAAGCGACCAAAGCGCGTGAATTCGGAGAAAGACCCGGCCGGGCGGCGGGGGACGCGCGGTGTCCTCCACAGGAGCCCCCAGCGCCCCGCGCCGCCCAGCCCCGCCCCCACATCCGGGCCCCCGGCCCCGGGCCCCGCGGCTCGCCCGGGCCCCGCGGCTCGCCCGGCCCCGCGCCTCGCGCCCCGCCCCTGCCGCCCGGCGGGTCCAGGGTCCCTCAGAGGACCCGGCCGCGGCCCGCGCGGACCCCCGCCCTCGGGGCCTGGGATGCGGCGGGCGCGGCCGAACGCGCGAGCGGCCGCGCAGGTCCGGGGCGCGCGGCTCCGGAGAGCCAGCCGCCTGACGTACCTGCGGCTGCCTCAGGCTCGGCGGCCCCGGGATAACGGCGTCTCCGCGGCGAACACGCCTCGGGACTCCATTCGGGGCTGTTTACTCCCAACTCTCGCGAAATCCCGCGAGGCGGGAGACGGACAGCTGGGAGCGCCCGCCCCGCCGGCCGTGCGTGCCCTGCGTGCGCGCGCTGGACGCCCCAGCCCGTCGGGCCGCGGCCCGGAGAGTGGAAGGAGGTATCGCGAGGTCTGCGGCCCGGGGGCGTGGCGGGAGGCGGGAGGCGAGGGGCGGGGCCGGCTGGCGCAGCCTTCCAGCTCTGCCCCTAATGCAGTCTTCCTGCTTCCTTGGGCCTCCCTGCAAGTCTGACCCCACATGGCTAGTCTGTTTAAGAAACAAGGATTTGTGTGTCACACTTTTTGAAAGTTTGCCTCCCCAAAAAAGTGGGCGATTTAGACACGACAGCCAACTGGCATACAGGTGACATTGATCCCGAATGGGGGGGAACTGAGATCATTTGAAACGTGATACCAGGTATTGCAAAGATAAAATGATCCAACTAGCCTTGTGATCTTGGGCAAGATGTATCTCAGCTTCCTCACCTGAAAAATAGAAATACCAGTGCCTACCTCCTGGATGAGGGTTAAGTGAAATATACACAGGTAGTTCTTGAGTAAACTATGGTGGTGCCATCTAACCCACACCTGATTAATTTCTTCCCCCAGTCTGAGATGGCATCCAATGTTGGCATGCTTTAGAGAATTCTTGACTCTCTTGCATTTGTAAAGTCTCAGTTAAATAAGCACTTCCTCCTGTCACCCCTTAATGCAGTTGATTTTCATCTTAGCCATGTTGGTCTAATGTGGGGTAAATTGGTGTAGACCAGAGTTAACAGCCCCTTAAGTCCCTATGCCACTGAATACATAGCCCACGTAGCCTGCTGAACTGTAAGTACCACGTGAACAGAGACTACTGCCAGCTTCTGGGGGCCCTACAAACAGCACAGGCCTGGGGCATGACACAGAGGTGGCCTGGCATTTTACCAAGAAAAGCCAAGAACCACAGGATCCTGGTTTACCGGTTTTCCACAACTCCGGGTTCTAAAATCACTTCCTCAACTCATGGTTCATGTGCATAATAAAGCATTCACAAGTCCATGGGAAGGTAAATCTTTATTCAAAGTAAATACTATTTTAAATGGTAACAGCGGAGCCAATACTGAGACAGAGACACGAGTATACTGGACTTGGTTTCAGAGGGCACACACAATATCAAGACTAAGGACACCACTGAGTCCTCCAGTTCCCAAATGTGACAAAATTTTAAGTAACTGAGGTTTAAAAATAACAATAGACTCCTCAAAAGTCTGTCTCTATTTGCTGTTTCCCCTTTCTTTCTCCCCTTCTTGAACTCACTACAATCTACTTTTCATCCCCACCACTGACGAAATAGTGGTGGCAAAACTACCAGTGATCTGCACATTGCCAAAATCAATGATCAAAATCAACCTTCATCTCACTCACCCTATCAAGAGAATGAGACCAAGAGATCAACTTAGTACTTTCAAGGACTCTATGGTCACCTGTATTGTACAAGCTGAATCATCAGTGTTTAAAGAATTACTACCTCAGTTGTTCACAAGATTTATTTTTTGGAATTTTTTTAACTTTCTATGAGGGAAAAATGTGTCTCTTATTATAAACAACAGCCAAAAACATCTTGAGCAACACCCCTTCTAAAGGATGCAGAAGCACCTGCTTTGATTGTTAAATTTTCATTCACAGATTGCTTCAAACCCTCCTATTTCACGCTGCATCTACAGTGGCCCAGTGAGGACTCTCAAATGAGCTCTCACAAGAAGTGTCTTGTGAAAGAGGAGAGCAAGGGAAGAGTCTTGGTTGTGATCTTTCACTAACTTGGCACAATGAGCACATCAGTATGCATCCTGCCAAGAGAGAAGTCTACATGACTGGCGTGGCTTCCTTTTCTCATCATATAACAATTCAATACCTAATCTAGGAACACAAACCATTCCACAACATCTCAGAAATAATCATCTGACAGTATTTTTACATAAAGTTGCTGCTTCTTATTATACATCAATTTGAGTTCAGTGGCACAAAGTCACATTTTTCCTAGTCTTAATGACTATAATTGTTGGGTGACAGAAAATGACAAATCAGACAAATTAAAGGCTTCCAAGCTAACCCCATTAACATGTCCGTGCTCTGTAGTGCTGTGCACTTTCACAAGGTAAGGCCTGAGCTGGAAGTGGAAGAGCTTCTGAATGTAACCATGCCCTTCTGAATCCAAGTCATACCTGGAAAGGCACAGGCGATATCACTGGCAAAATTGTATGTAACATAAAGGCATGTTCGAGCCTACTCACCATGGGTTATCACTCCAGGAGAAAACAATTCCACAAAAGTCCTGATTTCAATCCATTTACTTGCTTCTGCATCAGTGCCACAGTATTAAACTGAAATTTTACTTTGCACATATTGTCATATTCCTATAGTGATTTATAACTTTCAAAGCACTAGGCATGTGGTCCTCAAAACTGCTTGGTTTTACAGGACCCAAACCCAAAACATGTGCAGCTGGTTTCAATGCTAACCATGTCATGGTTGTTGTACACAATTATCTGCGCAGCAGTTAAGAGTCCATACCAAGGCAGAATCTCATGACACAAACCAAGAATGATCTTTTAACTTATGTCAACAGATACAATAGATCACAGTACACATAATTTGTCCGTTTTTTAACTACTATCCATAAACATTTGATGTTAACACCAATAACACTACTAGAATGGAATATTACATAGAAAAGTGTATGAACACCAGCTACAATGAGCTCTAAAGGGCTACATTTTAGATATAAAATGGATCACAGGTTTGAAATCACTACTTATCCACGATAATTATAAATCAAGAGATGACATGTTCAAATCTAGGAATGATTTCCACCATACCTTAAAAAGAATAGCAGAATGTAGTAAGTAATATCATACAGAGCAAACCTATAGCACAAAATTGGGGAGGCTTGTTTAAGATGAAAAGGAATAATCTAGAACTTTAATACCCCATAAGTTTCCATGTTAAGCCATCTTGACTAACTTACCCATAAATAAAGTCGTTAATGCACACCACAATCGCGCACGTGCTGTTCTCTACGGAAGTGTCAGTGGAAGAGCAGCATTTCCACACAGGGTCAGACGAATAGAGCTACACAATATAACATACACAGATCTACTGCTAATACTCCCAGCACACACAGCAATCTTACTCACAAAGTAACACCTTTACATAGTCTTTCCTGGTGAACATTTGAAAACCAATACTAGAAGTTCACCTACTGAATTAGGTCAGTGTCCATAAAAAAACAGTATCCGAAATGAAAGAGCTGACAACTCACATTATCAGTATATTTCAGCATCAGATCACTGTACTTCCTAGAATAACATAAATCACACAATTTTTAACAGTTTGGGGTGTGGGGGGAAGCATCAACATTTAAGTTTCTTCAATCGGTCCTTGTGCCTCTGCCATTTCCATGGCCCTTGAAGTTTTCCACAGCCTTCAGTAAAACACTTATGTTTGCTTTGCAAATGGTGAGTCCACTGTATGCTAAGTAATCAGGAACAAAAGACAAGACAGCAGAGAAATGAAATATGTATCTCCAAGGTCAGAATACTGTAGGTTCCCAGGAGCTGGCAAAACTTCCAGAACCATCACCAGCTTTCATGCGTCGTAGGATAAGGCCTCCTTACGCAAAGATCGATTGAGAATGTTCGCTCCCCACACCCAGAGCCATTCAGGCATGTACTGTGCAAAAAGAAACTAAAAACAAAAGGGAAAAAAGTGACAAGGTTAGATCCCGCAGTCATCAACAAAGAAGCCCAGGCATCAAGTGACTTAATCTAACAAGTATCGCCAATCACGTTAAATACAATCTGGTGCTACTGTCCTGAGCACGTATGTTTGCTTCAGGTGGGCTTGTCTCCCTGGGGAACACAAGTACAGCCCCCAAGCACCCCTTCTCTGCAAGGGCTGCACGTGCCCACATGAAACCAAGAGGCTTTACCCTTTCTAGCGGGATATGAATGGACTATTCATCTGGTTAAGAATTACAAAGTCATCCCAGGAATAAAGGCAGCTAAAACAGACCCATGTGGCTAGGGCTGCAGGAGAAAATCGGTGTTTGAGGGTAGGATGATAAGGCATAAATATGGCCCCTCATTCTTATTTAATTCACAACACATAAGAATAACTGGAAAACTATATATAGTATGTTTGGTGCCTCAAACTTCACATGGTAAATTTCTCATAGACTGAAGACTGAGAAGATTGAAATTGGTACAGAATTTGGATCTTTGCCACCTGAGAAAACTACATTCATAAGAAATGATGATCACAAAAAATAAGAAACCAGGGCAAAAGCTACCAGAAAAATCTGCTATGAACAACATAGCCACCAATGAATCAAATCTTGTGTAAAACAGAACAATTTGATAATGTTCAAAATAATTTGAGTAGTAAAATAAAAATGAAAATAGGAGACAAAATAAAGTTTTAACAGTTTTGTATAGAAAATTACTTGAAGAATTCAATTAGCCTCATAGAATTTCTTGGCAGAAAAATGTACATTCTTAAGAAAAGTTCCTCGATATGAACAAAACTTAATTATAATTGAAACATTAACATTTATAAATGCAGTGAAAATATCATCTGCCCCTATAGCTCATCCTCATTATATTCTCATTTCTAAGAGAACATCACAGTCAGTGGTTTCTAAAAATACTTTTGAGGTTTCTTCACTTTTCTCTAGTAATCAAGTACCTAGAAATAGTCACTTAAATAAAATGGTTTCTTACTGAAAAGACAACTCTGGGCCTCCCTGGTGGCAAAAGGGGTTAAGCACTGCACTATGAAGCAATCCACAGCCTCTGCAGCACGAGTTCGATCCCCAGCCGGCCAGGGAGAAACCCACATGGTGAGGCAGACCCCTCCTGTCTTGCCTGCTGCTCCCCTCAGCAGTGTATTTCAGTCAATCTGCCTATTCTGTTCCCCACTCTGTCTTTGGTGGATCCTCTCACCCCCTGCATCTCTGGCCTGCGCCCCAGCTCTTGTATACATAAATAAATAAATCTTTTTTTAAAAAAAGAAAGGGCCTCCTGGTGGCGCAGCGGTTGAGCGCTGGGTTGCGAAGCTGCCCGCAGCCTCTGCAGCGCCAGTTCGATTCCCGGCTGCTCCCCGGCCACCGGAGGAAGGTCCCACATGGTGCGCAGACCTCTCCTGCCGCCCGCTGCTCCCCTCAGCAGTGTACCTCGGTCCTTCTGCCTGCTCTGCTCCCCACTCTGGCTCTGGTGAATTCTCTCACCCTCCCGCGCTTCTGACTGTACCCAGTGCTTGTATAAATAAATAAATAAATCTTTAAAAAAAAAAAAAAAGACTTCTTCTGATAAAAGGAAAAATAAACAGTAAATCTACTTATCTGTTTATTTGGCAATGGTAAATTGGATCATTTTAATGCAAAAAGTTGAAAAACCATTGATTTGATAATTATAAAACTCCACATATTAAAGAAAAAAACAATTCTAAACTAGTGCACATCTACTTCCCATGCAGTACATGGGGTAAAGAAATATAAATACAAATCTATTATGATGAAGAAATACAAATCTATTATGAAGAATCACTACAAGTTCGCTATCCAATACTTAGAATCAAAATTTGAATTGTTTAACAAAGTTACTCTTTAAAATACTGAAGACTCAAATCATTGTCATGCATGAATAAACATTAAAAAAAAATTCCAACTTCTTGAACAAATGAGTCCAAGAATATGCTGAGGCACCTGCCATAAGGGTTACATGAAATACACACCTGTTTTGCAGTTTTATGATTCTGAATTACACCATGGACTTAAAGGAACCCCCTCAAAGCAGTACTACAAACTTTGTTACTCTGAAATTCCTACATAAATACTTAGAATTTTTATACTATACAATCTACTTGGGCATCACAAACACTGAACTTTTCAATGTTCTTAACACAATAATTCCACAAAAGTATTTACAGACTTAACCTGAATCATCAAGAGAGTCAGGCTAAAGAATCAGCATTTACAATTCTCATCTTTCACCATTAGGCTTCAATCAAATTCCCAGGGACGATTCAGAAGAGGGTGGGGTGTGCGGACCTATTCATGTAGGTTTTGTGTCCACCGTTACCTGAATCGAGTGGGACCAGTACCCAGTGGTCCTCTTTGAAATGCCAAGGGTGGAAACTGCATGATGAGCGTACACTTTCGGGGATGGCACCAACCAGGGGAGCCTGTGCAGAAAGCTGCTCGGAGCGGACATGCTGGTAGCCACATAGAATGGGATCAGGCTCTGTACAAAGATCCCTTTAGAAGCATATTCATACTGCAGTGCTCTGCTGAAGTGGTCTAAGTAAGCCTGTTAAAAGAGAGCAGGGGGAAAAGGTTTTCATTTTGGGGAATCAGGAAGAAAATCGGGAGAAAAAAAAATTTGCTATTATCCATTCAGGAAAACACAGAGCATCAGCAAGTTGGAGCTGCTGACCAAGAGCTCAACAAAATGGACTAACACACAGTAATAAATGTCCTGTTGCATTATGACTTCATTCCCCAGGAAGGGATACAGTACCTTAGAAGCAGAAAATGCAGCCAGCTGGGGGGTCGGTTTGCAGCAGGAGCCGGAAGAGATGGTGACCACCGCGCCTTTCTTCCTCTCCACCATGCCAGGTAACACTATGTGGACCATTAGACTAGCTGCCGCAATGTTCACATTTATGATGTCCCAGAGTTTGTCCTCAGAGACCTGGGTAAAATACTGGGGGTAGGGGTAAAACACCCCCACATTGTTTACCAAGATGCCAATGTCTTTGTCTTTCAAGGCTTCTCGAATTGGTTGGTAGATCTCACGGCCAGTGCTGAAGTCTGCAACGATGATATCAGTTTCCACTTTGTAGGTGTCGGCTATGTCCTGCGCTACCAGCTGCAGCTTCTCCAGGTTCCGGCTGATAAGGACGATATTGAGGCCCCGGCTGGCTAACTCTTCTGCGTAGGCTTTCCCAATCCCATCAGTAGCACCTACAGTACAAGGCAGGGAGAGGGGGCAGAACTGTGTCATGGAGCAACCTTGCCAGTGGACATTCAACACCCATGCAAGGTTGAGTCAGAGCAAGAGTTGCACTAGAAATAAGCTGAGATTGAACAATGATAGGTGGAAGGTACTGTTGAATCACTATTGCCCCAGGCCCCATGCTCCCTCAGACACCCTGAGGAGGAGTTGCTTCACCATGCAGACCGCTGACCATGAGAAACAGGGGAAGTTGTCATCTATCTGGCTAAAGGGAAGGCCCAGAGGTACTCTGCTAGGAAATGATAATAAATTAATATGACATTTAAAATAAGGGAAACATTTCTGAAAGTGGTGACAATTTCTAAAGACAATTTCAAAACAGAGCAAAAAGGAAAAGCAAGGAAAATCAAGGTGGGCTGGAGGAGGCCTGGACTAGGAGAGGGCAGCATTAGAAGAATACAAATCACAGGAAAATTCTTCGTAAGAAGAGGACAGTAATTGCGAACGTCATCATATAATAGTTAACATTTTTAAAATCAGCATGTTATCATGAAATGTACATTAAATTCTATAACGCCTTTAATAATACAACTGACAGAGGGAAGATCATTTGGATTTTAAACTAGGTAAGTACTGAAGTCTCATTTCTTACCACTCACGACGGCCCATCTTCCATATTGCTTAATCAGGTCCGCCCGGCTGACCAGACGAGGGATAAAATGCAGCCTGATCAGGCTGTAAAAGTCACAGACAACGGTGATGCTTTTCCTGGCTGTATACCAAGCTCCAACCAGGGCCAGCGCTTCCATGTAGCAATTGCAAGACCTGGCAATCTCCCTGTACAAGAGGTAGAAGCTGTCAACGGCAGCCATGGCAGCCTGCAGGAAAGGGGAGAGAGACAGGTGTTCTTCGCTTAGTGACAGGAACAAGTCTGACTGAGGAAAGAAAACTAAGGATATCAAAGCCTGACAAGTTTGTGTTCAGATATCAGTCCCAGCCTGAGTGTATGCAGGTCACAGGCCCAGTCAAATGGTCTCATGCTACAACATCTGCAGCTTATCAAGTTCTTTCCTTCCACTGAGACTAGTCAACATAATTACCAATGGATACCAAACTCCTGATAAAACCCAAGCACTAGGCTGCATGTTGCAGCCACAGAGATAGACACAATCTGCTCTGTTCCCTGAAAAGACTCCTGTAATGACAGGCACAGGCTTTTGAGTTCATGCAATAGTTAAGAAGGACATTTCTTTATTCATAATCATCAGTGCAAAGAGCCTACCACCCCTCAGAGACCAAGCAGAAGAAACAGCTAATATTAAGACATGGCCTTGACCTCACAGAGCTAACAAACCACTTGAGACAAAATCAAGCTTTAATAAACTTTATATAAACTAAACTTTAGCATAAATTCTATTATGCATGAATAATATACATAAGTGTACATTAAAAAAGAGATACATCCCCAAACTTAAAGAAACAATTTTCTCAGATGACAATGGAGTGAACAGTCTTCTCTCTTACTAAGTGAATCTGCTCACCATTAGCACTGCCTGACCCTGACAATGATACATATCCACACAGCCAGCATTCCAGCCTAGCAGGCCCCGTGTACTGTGACTGATACAAAGGATTCCAAGATGAACTAAATAACTGTGCCCAGGAGAAGAGACGGACATTTAAAGTAGTATTTTTAAATGCAACATGAACTGATATACGTGCCTGCAATCAGAGATAAACCCCAGAGGTGGACAAAAGCCAGACTCGACCAAGGTTTATGAACGTCATACTAGACTAGACCTGGGGAGCCGCTGACTGCCGCCTGACCCACCTGTGTGCTCCCTGCAAGGTACAAAAATCGGTAAGACCAGGACAGGCTAGAGTGCACGCACAGCACACACAGGGCATTTATTACATAAAAGAAAATTGATTTTAAGCCAAATAATGAACTTCTCAAGGGAACCCTATTAAAAAACTCCCATTAAAATCTTGAAACTATGAAAACGCCCACCAAAGCCACAAAAAATGTCAGATGCTTAAGGAAGAATGAGAGAATTCCCTCCCACTCCAGGGAAATGTAATTTGAGCTCAACCAGGTTTTGCAGTGTGAAACACCAAGTCGCAGGAGAGAACAAATGAACCACAGAGATGGCACCTGGAAGGGTGACACCACACCTGAATGTACTGAGTATGTGTCAAATACACAAGTGTGATCTACAGGAAGACCTTGTCCAAATCAAAAAGCAACGAAGACTATGATGGCAGCAAACTGAAGACATGGATGGGCAGCAGGACCCCCAGAAGGTCCACAATAAGGACCTCTTCTCTCCAACCAGCATTTTGCAATTGCTGCCACATTGCTAACTAAGCTATCAGTGAGCATTAAGTAAGTTAAAGGAATGTTTTTCTCCAACAGCAATAGAGAAAATGACTGAAGTTGAGCTGCCTTATGTTGTCTATTCAGGGTTCGGTTCACAGAAGCTCAGCTCCTACAATAAGAAAGCCGAAGCCAAAACTGATCATGAAAAGAAAACATTGCAAATGTTACTAAGTACACAAACCAGATCCTAAAGAAAAACAAGTAAATACTCCTTTGGGGATGTTTTCCTCCGTGGGCCAAGCTTGCTGCCATCTACAATATGGAGCTTCCAGATCACCCGGGTCTTTTCCTGGTGGATCCACATGTGACAGCACTCCTTTTTTAAATGCATTCAGCCAGGATTGCCTGTCTCAATGTTTGCTGCTTGTGTTTGGTTTGGGGGTTCTAGGTGAACACGAACACCTCTCAGAGTTTCCAGACACTGGAGTGAGGGAGGGTGCGTGATGACCAAGTTCCAGGATGCTCTGCTCATGGATGGCCAGCTTTCCTCTTACCTCTGTCTGCCCAAAACGGGCCTCCAGGGATACACTGCCTTCTCTTCTCTTCAGGTCAATCTGTGAACAAAACCAAAAGAAACAAAGTCCTTTCTTTTATCCTCAGAGCTTCACTGGGACAATGTCACATAAAAGAAGAACGAAGTTCATAAAAATTAAGAAAACGCTAAAATTCTTATGTCATGAATCCCTGTCCAGACAGCGAAGCACAGCATCCATCTGGTAAAAAGGCCAAGCTGTGGTATGACCCTGATTCGTGACCTTTGTTTCTTAAGGAACATAAAAGGGACAAAACCCATTCAAATAGTTCTGAGAAAGATGGTGCTCTACATGGACACCAGGCGCCGGGATGTAGGGTGGGAGGTGACAAGCAGGGCATCCTCTCCCTTCTCCCTGTGTCAGCCCACTGTTACCTGGTCTATCTCTCTGCAAACTACTACCTTCACCCACCTGCCGGTCCTTTTGAGTATCACCTGACTGCAGCCACCTGGCTTCTATTCCTGGGCCCACCTGCACTCAGGTGTGAGCACCCGTGTCACTGCGGTGCAGGGAGGAACAGCCTGAGTCTGTTTCCCTCTCCTTGCACCCTAGCCACATGCCAGGACAGTTCAGTTTCTGAAGCACCTGGAGGCTGTTGCTTGAGGACCTAGGCCCACGCTCGCGGCTCTCAGTTCCTCTAGCACCGTCTGCCCCTGGGCATGGGCAGCAGCCCAGCACAGGCTGAGCCCCCCACACTGGTCTCCTTCCTCCGGTCCAGCTCTGTAGCCACAATCCATCTTGTTCCCTCCTCAGGAGGAGAGCGACCACCAGAAAAGTTCCAGTGAGCTTTAACAAGAAGAAAAACCTCAACCTCATGAGCAAAACCCACCAGAGACCCCAGCTCAGGTCCAGAAGAGAAGTCCCAACTGGGTGTTAAGTTGAGCACAGCAGTGTCCAGAGCATCAGGGGTCCCCAAACCAGTTTGGCCAAGTTTCTCAATGTTCCCCATCAGAGGACCCTTGTCAAGGGAAAACCTCCATCAGTGGACAGTTCTGCCCTTGACACACCCCTTAACGGTGCATCATTATCGCTGCAGTTCATTAAATCAGAGAATCAGGTCGTCAGCCTTGAGTCCCATAAATGCAACCCCATCATTCTTCCGGGCAGCTCCAGACGAAGAGGTCTGACTCACACTCCCCACACTCACAGGAAACTGATCAATGCAAACACCAATTCCTGTATGAATAATAAATAAGAGAGCCCAGACGCCCGAACTTTCCAGGACAGTCTACATAGAAAACCAAGCTACTTCAACACCCATGAAGAAAACATCAGTGTCAGACACCAAGGACTGATCACCAAGAGCCAGGAGTCTCGGTGGCTCGTGTACACAAGCTGCTCAGAGAGCTAAACAAGCATTCAGCCCCTTCCCCCTATCCCCCACCACAGTGAGTCAGACCCTTCAGGGCAGGGAGGAGCAAGAGCCCAGCCTGCCAGGACACTGGAACAAGTTTACTACAGGGACTGGAGAGGTAGAAAAAGCATGACATTTAATACACAGAAATCCTACTTAAATGAGGTGGGGAGGCCACGACACACACCTATGCTTGGTCAGCAAACTTCAGCTCCCAGCCTGGCCTGCATCTCCAACAGGACGTGACATTACTTCTCTGCCCCAAAGTAAGAAGGAAGCAGCATCTTCATCCAGCAGCCCCTCCAAAGGCAATAAAAGTGCTGGCCTTGGATGAGAGACTGCAGGCCAGTCTCACACGAGACAGCACATATCCAAGGCCTGTTTGTTGTGGTTTCCCAAGAAACCCATTTTGTGGGTGGAGTGACAGCTTTTTGTTTGGGGTCAACAGGGGGCTTGGAAGGGCCATCAGAAGTACCCTTGTGGCAGATGAGTGTTAGGACATCCTCAGGGTTACAGCCATGATGCCTTAGCAGGTGCTGGTCTGACCTGTGGGGAGGGCAGTCGGGGGCAGGCTGGAGCAGCAGGAGTGCAAGTAGATGGTCAGTCTCAAACCCTGGTGTACCCTGGTACAGCCAGATTGTTAGGGGGAAAAGGCGGTCCCAAAGCAAATTCCATACAGGCTTTGTGGACTCCACCCCCACCCCAGGCCAAAGCCAAAGACACTGGGAACTCCAAATCCCATCACCACCAAAGGGAAGGTGGCTGGGACCTGAGGGTGGGGTTAAGCAGCCAGGTGGATACAAAAGGCAGACACGTGAGCTTTGGGGGCTCTCTCTCCATTTTGGGCTCTGGGCCAGCGCGGAGCCTCCGGCCAGCTCTGGGAGTGACTTTGGGTTTCCAGGTCGTCGGATCGGGTAGGACGCATTAAAGACTTTATTTCCCTATTTTCTCCCTGAGTTGTACATTTTCTTTATTTCCTTTCCTCTTGTAAATAAACCTTTTATTAACCCTTTTGTGTGTGTCTGTAGTAGAGTATTCATAAGTCCCTTTAAAGCGCGCGGGTGAGGACCCACAGCCAGGAACCCGTTTAATATCGGGGTTGCTCTATAACAGCTTGGCGCCCATCACATTTGCGCTTATGGTAGCCAGTGCCATAGGGAAGCCCAATTTCCCCATGGGGCTGACTAACCACGGATGGCTCTGTCCTAAATCTTCGTGGTCGCCAAATCTGTTATAGGACAGGGAGAGGGGCAGCCCAAACCCCGCAAACCTGCCTATTCTACATGGGTTCTGCCATCCGCCGCATCAACACAAAACATAGGAGACTTTAATGGGAAGAAACTTTAATAAAACTAGGAAACAATACAGGTAAGGCAAAGAGTCTAGTTTCTAGTCTAGTTTCTAAATGAAGCATCCAGAGTTACCCGTCCCCTCGTGGGTAAAAGTCCATCCAAATGGGATTGGCCCAGAGCAAGGCCCCAAAGCCTGCTACAAGTCTAAAGCATCTTCCAGTGGGGACCCACAGAAAAGGGTCACAAACAACTGGACAAGCCCGGAAGAAAAAGAACAAAATCAACATCAAGATAAAAGCTGCCATTGTCACCTCCCCACGGGTCTCACCCACATCTGTGTCACCCAGTCCACGACCAAAGGACAAGCACAGTTTCTTCACGTGTCTCTAGGCTCCATGCGCCTCCTCCAGGTCTCCTGGCTCCATCCTGCTTCCTTCCTCAGTCTCTTCTTCCGCTTCTTCTCTCCCTGTTCAGCTCCACCCTTCCTTGGGTGGGGCAGGGAACCTCCCCCTTTCCTGGGGACCACCCTGTTACAAGATGACTAACCACAGCTGGATTGAGAGCACATGGTTCATGACCCCTTGCTGCTCCTCAGACAAAACCAGACATTTTACAAATTTGTCCAAACCTGGACAAATTAATAGGAAAGCACAAATTCCTTCTATCCTCTTCTTTCTCTTCCCCACCCCTAAGTATATGATATAAAACAGTCTTTCTAATGAAAGGAAAGATCAGGATTTCTCTCAAGCCATTAAGTTCTAAGAAATCTCATAGAAACACAGCTTTAAGCAGTTTATTACCCATTTAAGCCTAGAAACCTGCCAAGATAGGAACAGATTTCAATCTGTCTTTCACTTCCAATCTCTGAACAGCCAACCTGAAAAAATGTTACAATGCTTTGTCTTCTTGAGTCTGTAGAAAACAGAAGTCAGTGAATGAGAGAAACAAGTGGAGGGAAACAACGAGACCTGGCCCCAAAATAGGAAGAAGAGAGTAATTTCCTCCTGTCTGTTAGGTAATAAGGTGAGGGTATGTGGGTCTGCTAGACAAGCGGCTTGTTCAGTCACCTGCAGTTCTGCATTTCCATACAAAGGTCAGAACTGTCCAGTCAGTCATATGAGCCAAACCTTACAAGGTACCTTTTATATCAATCAAGAGGAGAAATCTTAATCACTCTGGGAAGGGTATACATCAAGAGGTATGATCGGGAACGCGGCGGAGAGGGGGGGGAGGACTGATGTATGACAAGGAACAGAAGCTAATCAGTGGAATGCCTTGTTGATAGGATTAGGACCATGGCTGTGGGTCTGGGGTCTAGTTTCGATTACAACACTTGGTCATCAGGCTGATAACAGGGTCAGCAGACTCGTGTCCCCCAAGCCCTAGATAACATTCCTGAGTTTCACCAATCCTTTTCTCCTTGTCCTCCTAACGCATGTAGCTGATGCTCTATGATTATTCTATCAATAAAAACGGCCAGGATCTGGGCCTCCCTGGTGGTGCAAGGGGTTAAGCACCGCATTATGAAGCAATCTGCGGCCTCTGCAGCATGAGTTCGATCCCCAGCCAGCCAGGGAGCAACCCACATGGCGCAGCAGACCTCTCTTGACTCGCCCGCTGCTCCCCTCAGCAGTGTACTTTGGTCAATCTGCCTGTTCTGTTCCCCACTTTGTCTCTGATGAATCCTCTCACCCCCCACATCTCTGGCCTGTACCCCAGCTCTTGTATGCATAAATAAGTAAAATCTTTAAATAAGAAAACAAAAATAAAAACCGGGATCTTGCTCTCAGCAGCATCCTGCCTTGGGCAGCCTGCTCCACAACTCCCATGTCTTTGTCAGTGTGGTGCTGCCCGACGCAACAAGGGTAGAGTGTTCAGACACTTACAGGTCTCTGAGGTCACCTATGGACCTCAGATGTGTCCACATGGTAAAGCAATTGTAACAAATCAACCCCCGAGATGAGGGATGCTGATAATGGGGAGGCTCTTCGTGGGGGAGCGGGAGCAGGTTGTATACAGGAAATGTGTGTACCTTCCCCTTCATTGTACTGTAAGTCTCAAACTACTCTAAAAAAGTAAGTCTTTAAAAAAAAAAACCCTTAAAAGTAACACTACCACTATAAAAGCCAGGAGGGGACACTATGGTCAGCCCTGTAAGGAGCAGTCTCCTCGTCCAAGCACCAGCTGCGGCTGTAACATCATCCTGACTGAAGTTTCGCTGACTGCACCTAGCTGTGAAAACGACAGTTGAGTCAAACAGGAAAACCTTTGTGAATCAAGGTTCTAGGAGAAAAGTCTTCGCTGACATACAAACATGGCCAAGCTATCCAAGTGAGTGACAGTGGGAGCGGAGTCCAGGACCTCAGAGGGGTGGGCCGCACGCGCCTTCAAAGAAAATAACACAAGCAGATGGGGAAGATGTTGAAAGTACACGCGACACCAGGCGATGCGGGTGGTGGAGGAGTGACCTGTAGGCCCACATCCTCATCCACAAACCCTGTGATCGTGTCACCTGAACCAGCCAGGGGACTGCAGACATGACTAAAATAAGGACCTTGAGATGGGAGACGATCCTGGATTCTCCAGGTGGGTCCAACAGATCACACAGACCCTTATTCAAGGGAGGAGCGAGGGCAGAGGCAGAGCAGACATGAGCAGGCAGCAGAGGCGGGGGAGAAGACCTAGGCTGCTGGACGTGAAGACCGAGGTTATCCAGGGCAGGGAATGCCAGTGCCTCCTGAATCTCCCCTGCTGCCTCCAGAAGTGACACCACCCCGACACCCTGACTTCAGCCATGTCAATGAGAGGGGCTGCAGACTTCCAACTCCAGAACGTAGGAGAATACGAGCAGTTTGAAACTACTAAGTTGGTGGTAATTGGTTACAGCTGCCAGACAAACTCTAGCCCGCTGGCCAGAGGGATAGTCAGTCTAGCGTTTAGCATAGTGAAGAGGCAAGTTGCAAATCTTACAATATCCCTCAAGCCAAGTACACTCAGGAACCAGAAAGTAGTCTCAGGGATTTCCATGATCTTGGATTGACCAGAGCAGACCAGAGGAGGGCCTGCCATCCTCGCCAACACAAAGCTGTCCATCTTTTCAGCAGCAGTCTCACTGGCTCTGGGGGCCAAATCCCCTGTTCTCAGAGGTCAGCTCCGCCAGTCCTCCTAATTCAATCCCAGCACTTACATATGACAGGGCAGACCCTGGGGATACACAGATCCTCCTCTTACTCCTGGGTCATCACACCCACCTGCCTCTAAGCTGTTCTCTTACCCCTCCTGCTCTGCATTCTAAGGGTTTAACATTGTCTCTATCTGGGCTCCCCAAACAGCACAGGCCTCTTGAGGGCAGGAAATGTATTTTACACTAATTTTTCTGTAATTAAAAGGAAACTGAAAAATACACAAATAAGTCTATGAAATCTGTTTTGCTCTGTTCAAAGAATATGGAAACAAAAAACCCTGGCAGCCACCTATCTTCACAAAAATAAAACTAGTGTCAGAAGCTCCCTGTGCTTCATCCAGCCTGAGAGTAACCGCTCCCCTAAATTTCGATGGAATCACATTTTTTAAAAAATAGTTGTGCTGGAACCAGCATGGATTCCAAAATAGCAATATCTAGTTTTGCCTGATCTGGACCAAACTGCAACATATTCCTTTCACCCAGCAGTGTTTCCTAGAGCTGGGCAGCCGTGTTCACATCCTCCCTGCGGCTGGCAAGCCTGCGAACGCACACGCCGCGGCCATCTCCTCTCAGGGTCAGAACACACCAACACTGACATATTCATTCTACCAATGATGGGCGCAGGATTGTTTTTCTCTTACAATCATGAACAGTGTCCAACGAGTACTCGTGCACGTCCCCAGGGCACACATGCAGGCTTTTCAGGGAGGGATGTGCCTGCGCATTGATTTGCCAGGCCACAGCACATCCACGCAGCCAGACCTTTCCACAAGGGCGAGCTCGCTCTGCCTCCTCTGAGGTCGGCCATGTTCCCAGTTCACCCTCTGCACACAACTGGTTATCCTGTCTGTCCAATGGGACCTCAATATAACTTTGAATTTCAATTTCCTGACTAGTAATGAGGTTGACTAACAACTTGTGATGCTTCCAGGGTGGGTTTTTTCTTCCGTGACAAGCCTGTTCCTAGCTTTTGCCCTTTCGTCTATTGTGCTGTCTTCTTTTACTTTCAGAATTGTAAGAATTCTTTCTATATTCTAGATACGAATCTGTTTACTACAGTAACGTATATGTTTACATATAGGAAACATGAAAGAAACCGAACTCTAACTAATTCTGTATGTTTTGTCTCTTTACATGCTTTCAAAGAACTAAACATCTTAATTTCAATGTTGCCAAATTTATCATCCTTTTCCCTTTGTGGTGTGCTTGTTCTATTTTGCTTTAGAAATCCAATCTTAACCCCAGGTCCAAAAGATACTTCCCTATTTTTAAAAGTCTTTAATTTTGCTTTCCACATTTAAGTCCTCAAAATTTCCTGCAGTTTCCAGATGGTGTGAAGCTTCACTCCTTCCATCTTCAACATTCCTCCTCAGCACCTGACGTGGTGCTGTGTACACACAACTTAATAAACAGAATGAAATATTGTTTGGCATTCAAAGCTCAAATTTCACTCTTGAGGAGGAAAAAAATTCAAAAGCTTTTCAAATTTTACATCAGCACTGTGACTAAGTTATTATTGCTGTCTATGGAATTTCCTTACCTACCTTGCAAATTCTTGGTATGCCACTAATCTGAATTAATGTTGGAGCAGTTTACAAAGAGCAGAAGATGGGAGCGCTCACCCCGGGTCCAGCACTCTGCAGCGTCAGTTCCTCACGTGTGCAGCAGGAATTAAAACTTTAACAGCAGCCCATCCTCAGGTATACAGTCAAGGCAACTGAAAACCTACGCTCACTTCTGGAGGCTTCAGGGGAGCTTCCGGAAGCACCAGTATTCCCTGACTTAGACCACTCTCTCCATCTTCATGTGCAGCAGCCTAGCATCTTCTCACCCTGACTTCTGCTGCTAAAGACACTGTAACCCCCTGAAGCAGAAAACACCCGAATGTCCATCAGCATATGAATGGATAAATGAAATGTGGCCTAGCCATACAAAGAGACACTATTCAACCCAAAGAATGAAGCAGAGGGACATGCTACTACATGAACAAACCTTGAAAACATAAAAGAAACCAAACACAAAAGGCCACCTATGATATGATCCCATTTAATGAAATATCCAGAAGGCAAATCCATAGAGACAGTCCATTAGGGTTGCCAGTTCATTGGGGGAATGGGAAAAGGGGAGTGACTGCTAACAGGAGTGCGAGTTCTTGGGAGGATAATGGGAATGTTCTAGAAGTAGACAGATGGTTGTATATTATGGATGCTGTTATAAACAGTACACTTTTAAAAGGCTAAAATGGTGAGTTTGATGTTATATGAATCTTATCTAAAAAAATACCAAGTTGTTGAAACTCTATGCCCCTGGAATATAACTACAGTGATTAAACCACCATGGAGATGTCCTGGGTAGGAGAGCAGTCTCCATTTAAGAGCTGTTCATCTTGCGTGCAGGTGAAATTACTTCACCTCTGAGCTTTCCTTATATCATCCGTAAATATGGGGATAAAAGTGCCTGTGTAAAATTAAGATGAGAATTCAATGAGGTGATGCACATAAAGTGCTTAGAACCCGGCCTGGAACAGAAGAGCTCCAGCTATTAGCCACTGACACTCTGTGTCCAATGCTGGCAAGTGGCTAGGGTAGAGGTCAGGCTTAAAACTGAAGCCGGCCTTACACAAAACACTCTAAGTGCTTACTCCCATCGCCTCACTGCTCTTCTCATCAACTTATGAGGCAGAGTTATAATCATTATAATCACCCCCAGTTTACAGGGGTAACGTGACAGACCCAAGACCCCACAGCTGTGAAGCGGCTGGAGGGAATACTCATCAAGGTCCAAGCAAGTCCAGCGCCCAGGCTGGACTGGGAGGCTCCACTGGGAGGCTCCGAGCGGGTCCCCAAGGTGGCGGCCTCGGCTGGAGGGCCGCAGGCTTGGTGTGGAACAGAGCCAGCAGCACCAGACCTCTGCTCCCCTCCCCTCCGGCGCTTGGCGGGCCCAGCCAAAGGCCACCGCCTCGGAACCAGCGGTGCCCCGGCCTCGGAACCAGTGGTGCCCCTTCCCCCGGAGCTCCACGCCGAACTACTTCTAATTCAGAACAAAGACAACGTCGGTAAACCCCACGCCAATTAGATCTATCAGAGAGGGGGGTCTGGAGACAGCAGAAAAGGGGGTGACTGTCAGAGCCGCTGGGGAGCCCGGGGTTAGGACTAGGGGGCCGGGGGCCCGCGCTCTGGGTGGGTGGGGTCGCCGGAGTCTGGAAGAGGCCGGAGGCACAGGAGAGGGGAACCTCTGGGGATGCAAGGCTGGGGGCGGTGGGGCTGGGGCTGGGGCGCTGCGGGGCTTAGGGGGCGCAACCTGAGGAGGGGGACGGGGGCGGGGTCCAAGGAAGGGAGGGACGAGGGGGTACAGGGCCGCGGAGGGCGCCGGCCCGAGGGGGCGTGGCAGGGCGCAGGAGGGGCCGGTTAGAGGCCAGGGCGACCGCCTAGGGGCCAACTGGGGGCGCGGGGGCGCGGTACCTGCAGAGGCAGCGCAGTCTCCGGAGCGACTCCCGCCAGACCCGCGCGGCCGCCGCTGCTGCCGCCGCTGGGCCGCGCCCCCACGTGACCCGCGCATGCGCCAGGGGCTGCCCCCGGCGTCGGGGCGCACGGGGCGGCCCAGTGCGCGTGCGCGGCGGTTGTCGTGGAGACCTGGGAAGCGTTAGGCTGGAAAAGACGCGGGGCGCGAGTGGCTGGCAGGGAAGAAAAGCTGGGCGTCGCTGGCGGGGTTGGGGGCCTTAACGACCCCGCGGAACCCGACTCCTCACTGCTACGAGGTGTTCAGTGTTTCAAGAATAATGCATCCCAAGGACCCCGCGGTCGACGGGGGAGTGGAGCTGGACTGCGTGCGGGAACTGGACCTGGAGGAGTCTGCGGGTGACCGCGGGAACGCAGGCCCAGGGGGCCTCAAGGAAGGTGCCGACCGCCGCCCCAGGGAGGCGAGGGGGGCGACGGGCCGAGCTGACTGGGCGCTACAGCCTGTTCCCACACCTGATCTTCACAGCCAGTGATAATAACAATTGAGGCCCGCACTCACTACACCGTGCGTGGCAAGTGTTAATGGCATTTGAGCCGCTCTGTGTGTAGGCATTTCTCTCCTTTCACACTTCCCCAGCCTTGACAGGCCCAGGCCCTTACCCAACACAACATTCTCCCAACTTTTTAATGTTCTGAATTTATCCCTTTATTGCTATCATCAGGGAAGAGCTTTCCACCTCCACTACCTGCTATGTCAGGGTAGGGCATTCCCTTTGCGTTTGCAGTGATCTGCGGAGAGACTGAAGAACTGATGGTTCTGGGGTCAGTGGGTGACTCTTCATCAAAGTTTCCCAGAATTTTGTTTTCCAGTCTCTTATTTCCGCTTGGTGTCAGTCCCTAAGGGAAACCTTTTGATGACTAGGTAAACAAACTACTTAATGTGTGTTTCATTTTTCCAACCTAGTCAACAAATGTATCTTGATCATGGACTCTCCAAACAAGCCTGCATGAGGAGCTGTAGGGAAGCAGTGCTGCTCAGGGGGAAGACAAGGGCTTGAGTCCCTCCCACTGGGTCAGAGTGCAGCCCTGCAGTTCTCCAGCCTTAAGTCTGTTTAATTCTCTAAGCCATGGGCTCCTTGTCCACAAGCAGCAATAATTATACAGAAATAATACAATTAGAGCTTCCTATATACAGTAGGCCATTAATAAATGGAAGTTCTTGTTATTGATATAATCAGTGACTGTGTATATTGAGCACCTATTCTTTATTCCACAAATGCTTATCTGGTACTTCTTGTGATGGCACTGTATTGGTGAGAAATAGGGACGCATAGGCCAATTCAACACATGGAATATGCCTCGGTAGATTCCCCCCCCTAAAACTCGGCAGAGAGCACCAGCTTAAAAACCCTTAAAAACAAGTGCATTTGAATGTCTCATTTTCTTTTTACCAAAGATATTTCCACCCTCACCCTGCCTGTTTCTCCTGTGATTTTTCTTTTGAAAATATTTTAAGAACAGAGATTAAAAAAAGAACAGAGATTATAAAAAACACAGAAGCCATTTCAGATAAAGTGAATGTTCTTTTTGCCACCCTTTCAGAATTTTATATGGAATCTTCCAATTAGTTCTCTCTCCCTATAGACTGTGTCCTTAAATATGCCTAGCTTGGGGTCGTGTTTTTAATTTCTATAAATGGTGTTCTGCACTTAGTATGAAACTTGCTTTTTACTCCATGGATGTTTCTGAGAATTAGGATATTGATTGGTGGAGCTCCAGTACCTTCTTTCCCAAGGCAGAAAAGTTCTCCATTGTTTTATTTAACCAGTCCCTATGGATGGACATTTGTGTTGATAACAGTTTTTGGCAGTCTTGAATATCCTAGCACGTATCTTTGTGTGTGCCTCACAAGAGCTTTTAGAAAGGAATTGCCTGGAAGTGAAATTTCCATAGTCTTTCTATTTTTTTTTTAAGATTTATTTATTTATACAAGAACTGGGGTATAGGCCAGAGGTGCGGGAGAGTGAGAGGTTTCACCAGAGACAGAGTGGGGAGCAGAACTCACAGATGGACTGAAAACACTGCTGAGGGGAGCAGCGGGCAAGACAGGAGAGGTCTGCTATGCCATGTGGGTATCTCCCTGGCTGGCCAAGAATTGAACCAGCGCTGCAGAGGCTGCAGACAGCTTCACAGCACTGCACTCAACCTGCTGCACCACCAGGGAGACCCCGAAATTTCCATAGTCTTTAGCAAAGCTTGAAAAAATTTCATACGCTTAAAGAATACTGGTATCCCGTACTAAAAACATAATAAGTTGAAACTGGAGGAATTTTGTATACATTTCTTCACCTCTATAGAACAAATCTCTTCTTTTACAGAAGTAAACGATCCTGAGGCAGTCTCAGCAAGTCCTCCTGACATATCCTGTCAAAGTGAGCAGAAGCAGAGTGGTGACAGCTGGCCAGCTGGCTGCTTAGCACACCAGAGAGATGACAAGGAAGACGGTGGCCCCAGGTCTGTGGGCATGCTACTGCTAATCAGTGTACACTGACTGAGTAAGGTAGCCTTGCAGTCACCCCTGTGTTCAGATAAGAAAATTGAGGCTCATGGAGTGTAAGTAGTTGGCCCCATGTTTGAGAGTTAGTCATGGAGTCAGGACTGCATTGCATGTATGGCACCACTAGCCACAGTCCATTAAACTTTTTTTTTTTAAACCCTCCTCCACCATCCCACAGTCCATTAAACTTTAATGGCAGTCCTAGAGAAAGAAACATCAGTAGTTCTTGATGACACTATTAAAAGTATTTTTATTAGAACATACATTGCAACTTTTAAGAATGCTGAAAGCAATAATATTGGATGAGGCTCTGGAAGCTATACCAAAAACAACAACAACAACAACTTAAAATAGTTATCAGGCATTTAGGATGTTGTGAAATTTGGGGAAGAATGCATATGGTATGGAATTTTGGGATATACAGAAACTGAAATTTCTTTTTTTTTTTTTTTTGAAATTTCTTGTTCATATATTTTCATTTAACAGAATGACTAAACGTTTCCTGCAAAAACTCTGCAAGCAACATAAACTTTATATTACCCCATCACTGAATGATACACTGTATTTACACTTTAAAGGTAAGGATAAGCTTTTTAGGTAAGGATTTTGTCAGGCAGAAAGACTGTGGTATTAAAAAACTATTCATGGGAATTATCTAGAGTTCTCAAATTTAAGTAGAAATTTCAGTTTCCTGAAGATTGATGGAAAAGCAGTATTTCGTTGAAGAAAGTCTCACCTGATGAGTTTATAAAAAGGGATTATAAGTATACATTGGCATATTATATTCCCGCTTTCCAAGCCATGTTTGCCACCAGAAAGCTGGCTTGGAAATACTTTGAGCTTTGGAGCAATAGTGGATCAAAGATGGGCATAGAAAACAGCAGGTGAGGGATACCGGGTGCCTTTCAGGGCAGAGAGGTGTGAACACTGGCATCCCTGCAGGTGCACAGAAATTTAAGTTCCAAGTCATAGACTATTCCTAGCAGTGACAGAGAAGAGTGATAGTTCTCAGCGTGTGCTGACTGTGGGTCAGCCAACCAGCTTCCTCAGGCCTCTGTTATTCATTTATCCAAGAAATGGTTCCTGAGCCTGGCACTGTACTCAGTCCTGGAAACACAGAGATGGTTATGACGAACCACCCAGGCCAGAGGCTGGGCCAGGCAGGGAAGGTACAGGACGGCTCCCACAGCACTGACCTTAAAGCATTGGAACCCCTCCTAGCTGGCTTCCTCGCTTCCGCTTTGTCCTCTCTATCCTCTCCATCCAACATTTAGATGTAGTGTTGAATAAAATGACATAGGTGAGCACACCCCAGGAGACCAATATTCAGGAGGTGAGTGGAAGAAGAGAACCCGGCGGATTAGACTAAGCAGAAAGAGTCAAAGAGGTAGAAGATCCGGGAGACAGAAGTGCCTCTACTGTCCACTGCTGCGGAACAGACTGTTGCAAAACTTAGCAACAATTTCATGATCTCCCACTGTTCCTGAGGGCCAGGAATCTGGAAATGACTTTGCTGGGAGGTCCTGACTTGGAGTTAGTCATGACAGCCAAGCTGTTGACTGGACCTCAGTTGTCTGGAGTCCACAGGGTGAGAGGATCCACTTCCAGGTTCACTGCCTAAAATCCTCACTGGTTGTTGGCTGGACACCTCAATTCCTCACACACGAGCTTCTCAGGGCAACTGGCTTCCCCCCTCCGAGCAAGTTACCTAAGAAAGAGAGACAGGCCAAGACGGAAGCCAAAGTCTCAGAAGTAACTATCATCACTTCTACCATATTCTGTTGGTGTCAAGATTAAGGCTGGTTTTACTGAATCATTAACACAAGGGCATGAATACCGGGAGACAATGATCACTACAATAAGCTAAGTGATCCAGAGAGCCCCAAGAGGAAACTGAAGAAGGAGGGCAGGACCCAGTAGGTCGAGCACCTGGTATCTGTATTCAGTGCACAGAGGACTGTAAATTGGATGTCACTGACACCTTCGCTGGTGGCTGCAGTAATAGTAGACCCAAGAAAGGAATGAATCTGAGAAGACAATGAGGAAAAGGCCTTCCACGGTGAAGCAGGAAGACAGCTAGAGAGAGGACAAGGCCAAGACAAAGTCAAGAGAGAAACAACCCAGTTACTTCAACAAAAAAATTGCAGTGAGTAAAAGAGAGAGACAGGGCCTCCCCTGGTAGTGCAGGTGGTTGAGCACAGCGCTGTGAAGCTATCTGCAGCCTCTGCAGCATGGGTTCGAGCCTGGCTGACTAGTGAGATATCCACATGGCACAGCAGACCTCTCCTGTCTCGCCTGCTGCTCCCCTCAGCAGTGTGTTTGAGTCAGTCTGCCTGTTCTGTTCCCTGCTCTGTCTCTGGTAAATCCTCTCACACGCCCAGATATCTGGCCTGTACCCCAGTTCTTGTATGCATAAATAAATAAATCTTTTAAAAAATAAAAAAAATAAAAGAAAGGGACAAAGACTATAGGCTAAAAGTGACTAACAGACTTCAACTAATAGCAATGCATGGACTTTTTTCTGTATCCTGATTCCAACAGCAAACCTGCAAGGTTCCTCCTGAGCAGGCTGACAATTCTAGCAGAAAAACCACTTTTCCCAGTGGAGTCAGCAAAGCCCCTCAAGATCCATGGCCATTGGCCCCACCTGGCTAGCTGTGGCTGGAGTATAACTGAGCAGCCACCCAGAGCTCCATGGTGCAGTAGCAGGAAGGGGATGGTCCTCCAACAAAAGTGGCAGTGGCATTTCTGGAGGAAGGAGTGGGGACTTTAGGCAGGCAGACAAAAAGAAGGGTAAGTCCTGCCCCCTACCCCATGTATGAGTTTGTGGGGGGGGTAGCTTAATAACACCCCCTCCCTTTGAGTCAGGCTTTGATCGCATTGAGAACTTGGAGGAGTACACAGGGCTTCGCTGTCTGTGGCTGGAGTGCAACGGAATACAGAAAATCGAGAACCTGGAGGCCCAAACCGAACTGCGCTGCCTCTTCTTGCAAGTGAACTTACTTCATAAAATTGAGAACCTAGAACCTCTGCAGAAACTGGATGCTCTTAACCTCAGCAATAACTACATTAAGACCATTGAAAACCTAGGTAAGAGTAAGGCACCAGGGGTCTTTGTAGATGCTTCTAGTGCTCTCCCCTGGGGGAGGCTGGAAGAATTTATATTATGGGGCAGACAGACATGTTACCTTTGTTGTTTACTTCTGCTGACCTCTCCCCCTCCCCCCTCCCGCACCCTGCCAGCCTGTCTGCCGGTCCTAAACACACTTCAGATGGCCCACAACCATCTAGAGACTGTGGAAGACATTCAGCATCTAAAGGAGTGTCTGAAACTTTGCGTCCTTGACCTGTCCCACAATAAGCTGAGTGATCCAGAGATCCTGAGCGTTCTCGAGAGCATGCCTGATTTGGTAATGCATATAACTTCTATTATTTGGTGCTAAATATCAGATCTTTTCTCTCCCCACTTCCCTCCCTCCTTTCTTTTCACCCTCTTTCACACTTTTCCCTCTCTGCATTTTTAGGTGGACTATCTTTAATGCCAGATGCCATATCATTTGACCCACAAATATTTCAGTCTGTGTCTCCAAGATGACTTTTAAAAAAAGTCACCGTGCTATTATTGTATCTAAAATATTATAACTATTTCACATCCACCCCAAGTTTAGTCTGTCTCAAATATGAAGACAGTTGGGTTGTTCACATCTACCCCAGGCCCACACTTGGCATGTGGATTATTTGTTGCATAAACCTCTTTTGATCTGAAGCCCTTCCCCTTCGTTGTGGTTTCCCCACCCCAGTAATCTGTCAATGAAATGGGATCCTTTCTTGGATAGTCAGTCACATCCTGGACCTGGTTGGCTGCCACCCTATGGTGTCATTTTTTTTTTTTTAAATAGAGGCATGTTTTATTTATTTATTTATTGTATTTGTTTGTTTTTGTTTATACATGCACTGGGTACAGTCAGAAGTGCGGGAGGGTGAGAGAATTCACCAGAGCCAGAGCGGGAGCAGAGCAGGCAGAAGGACCGAAGTACACTGCTGAGGGGAGCAGCGGGCAGCAAGAGAGGTCTGCGCGCCATGTGGGACCCTCCTCCGGTGGCTGGGGAGCAGCCGGGGATCGAACCGGCATCACATAGGCCGCGGGCAGCTTCGCAACCCAGTGCTCAACCGCTGCGCCACCAGGGAGGTCCCCTTGTGGTGTCATTTAACATGTCCTGCTGTATACAGGACTTCTAGCAGTGACAGATGGAGGCAGAGCTCCATAGATCCAGGTTCCAAGGTGGGCTGGTGCAGCACATCACTGGGCCTGGAAAGTCCAGCTGTCTGTCTCTCTGCTGCAGTAAAATAGAGGGTGAGGTCAGTCTAATCCAGGCACTACAGAGCTCCCCATCCACCAGCAGCCATGGCCAGGGGCTTAGCTTTGTTCTCTCATTAGGACTTGGACAACGGCCACTTTCCAGTTCTTTTCTTCTTTCTGCATGTATTAGCTGGCATGCTTTTCCAGAGAACTTTCCTTCATTGGCTGGGGATGCCCTAATAGACAATCTATACAGAAAAGGCCAGGAGAAATGTCTGGCTCTTTTTTTTTCATGTGTCGGGTTTCAGATAAACGAGTTAAGACCCTAGCAACCCCTAATTAGATGTGATTTACCCCTTGCTGTCATCTTCATCTGGGATGTTCCAGTGGGCCCACTGCTGGCTGGTGGCAACTGCTCCTGGCTGCTCCTGCGCCTTTTCCATTAACTCTTAAATCTTTGCTGATGTCCTGGCTTGTTCAGTGTGTCTGTGTTGTCATTTGTACAGAGAAAAAATATCAATGATAGCACATAAAACTCTTGAGCTCACTGTTCACTGCTTAGGGCATTGTAAGAGACAAAGCCAGCCAATTTAAAGTAAAAGCAGCCATCTACAGAGTACATGAACTGTCAGGAAGGACCAGCAGGTGTTAATACATATTTAATACATGATAAAACATATTTCTCTCCTTTTTCTTGGCTAGGGCTGCCATAACAAACCACCACAGAGTTGGGGGGGGCAGGGGGGAGGGACTTCGACAACAGGAGTTAATTTGATCATTGAAGAGGAAGTTGGAATCCAGGTGTGAGCAGGGCTGGTTCCTTGAGCCCTCTCCCTGTGCAAATTGGCGTGCAAATGACCATCTCTCTGTGCCTGTCAGTGTCATCTCTTTAAAGTGCTCGTATCCAGATACAGTCAGTCTGAGGTGCTGGGGTTAGGGTGTCAAGGCAGGCCATTTAGGGCACACATTTTAGCCTTCACAAGCACAGCCAATCCTTCATGCCCTACGCACCCCTCTAGTGTCTGTCCCTGTGGCCTGTTGCTCCCACCACCCCAACCTCCATGGGATCCGTCACTTGAGAAGATGACAAGGATGGTGAAGGCGGGGTGAGAATGAAGTCTGGGAAACACTAAGCTAACCAGGTCACAATGTGTTTCTTTTCTCCCACCACCACTTTAGGTATGAAAAGTATTTCATTAGTTGGACTAATTTTAAATGGCTCCCCCACAAGTCACCTGACCATTTTCCTTGAGTTTGCACTTTGAGGAGGTGGCAGGATTCACAGGGGGCCTGGCACTCGGGCACCACTATAGCCCTCTCTCAACTCTGGCCCTACCCTGGCATCCAAGAGACCTGGAAGCCTGGTGAGAAAGGCCTTGGCTATAGATAAGGGCACACGCCTTCTCTCTTCATCAATGCTATGTGCCCTGTCACTGCATCCTGGCCAGGAAGGCAAGAAAACTATCCATTAGATGAGATTAATTTCAGTAAGAGAGATTGGTCAAGCACAACTAATGTGATCACACTTGGAACAAGGTCTCAGAAATGTTTCCCAATGTTGGTCTGGAAGGACAATGGGACGTAGGACCTGAAGTTCAAGGACAAGGGCAGCTGCTCAATCGGGACAGTTGTGGTGGCACAAATACAGGGAGCCTGCTGGCTTCTCTGCTGTGGTCTTCAGGACCTGGTGCTGGCTGTTTTTACCGACTTATTCTTAGAGCACAGCACATGTGAAGTGATCTGGTCGAGTCAGGTTCTTGGTGTGAATGTGGTTCTGCCTGTTTGCTTCCAGCGGGTACTGAATCTGATGGGAAACCCAGTCATCAAGCACATCCCCAGTTATCGGCGGACAGTTACTGTTCGACTAAAACACTTAACATACCTGGATGACAGACCAGTCTTTCCCAAGGACAGGTAAGGAAAAGTCTTTGGTAACATTAAATGCATAGTGTGATTTTTAAGCACTTTCACACATCATTAAATATTCTCTGGGTTGAAATGTAATGGCTAATTTTCTCTAACAGGAAATTCCTTGTGTTTGAACACTTATTTAGAGAGCACTTATTTTTCAAAATCCTTTGATAAATATTGTTGGGAAGTCTTTGACGTCATCAATGATTACTTCCTTGGGATGGAAATCTAGGAGCTGTATTACTGGATTAAGGACTGTGGGTTGAGTCTTTTTTTTTTTTAGAGGCATGCTTTATTTGTTTGTTTGCTGGTTTTTTTTTGTTTGTTTGTTTGTTTATACATGCACTGGGTACAGTCAGAGGCGCGGGAGGGTGAGAGAATTCACCAGAGCCAGAGCGGGGAGCAGAGCAGGCAGAAGGACCAAAGTACACTGCTGAGGGGAGCAGCGGGTGGCAGGAGAGGTCTGCGCGCCATGTGGGACCCTCACCGGTGGCCGGGGAGCAGCCGGGGATCAAACCCATGTGGGACCCTCACCGGTGGCCGGGGAGCAGCCGGGGATCAAACCGGCGCCGCAGAGGCCGCGGGCAGCTTCGCAACCCAGCGCTCAACCGCTGTGCCACCGGGGAGGCCCTCAGGTTGAGTCTTTTTAAAGGCACTTACACCTTCTAGAAAATTTGTAGCCATTTTATTACTTGGAACCTACCTTCTATCTCTATGGATTTGCCTGTTCTGGATGTCTCAGAGGAACAGAATCATACAATGGGCAGTTTTTCCTGAGGGGCCTCTTTCACTCAGCATGTTTGTCAAGGTCCCTGCCACAGCAGCACAGGCCAATACTTCATGACAATACTGCACAGTGACTCTCCAGTTGAACGGGCCACATTTTATTTATTCATGAGTTGATGGACACTTTGGGTGGTTCCTGCTTTTTTTTTTTTTTACTATTCTGAATAGTGCTATGAATATTCACATGCAGGGGTTGTGTGAATGTTTTCAGCTCATGTGGGAAACTATTTAGGAGCATGATCGCTGGGCTGTAATGGTGAGGCTGGTTTCGTGTTTGCTAAGCTCTCTTTCCAAGTGGCAGCACCACTTTGAATTCCCACCAGCAACGAGAGCAACTTCCCGTCGCTCCACCTCCTCAAGTCTGGTTAATGGTGTTTTGCACTTTAGAAATGTTGCTGTTTCCGCATTTCCCCAGTGTCAGAATGTGGAGCATCTTTTCATGTGCTTTTTGTTTTTTTAATTTTTGTGTTTTGATAGCTGTTTGTATGCTTTGAATTCAAGTCATTGTTCAGTTAGCTTTCTTGCGAGTATTTTCTCCCAGTGTACTGCTTGCCTGCTCTTAACATTTGTCCTTTTAAAAATTGTGTTCTTTGTATTCGTGAGTTATAAAAATGTTTCATATATTCTAGCGACAAGTCTCTTACCAGGTATATGATATGCAAATATCTCCTCCCCTTCTTTTTTTTTTCCGGTATTTATTTCTGCATACAAGAACTGGGGTGGAGGCAGGGGTGGGGAGTGAGAGGATTCACCAGAGACAGGATGGGGAGCAGAACATGCAGATCTACTGAAATACACTGCTGAGGGGAGCAGTGGAGGGGACAAGACAGGAGGGGTCTGCTGCACCTTGTGGGTCAGCTCCCTGGCTGGGGATGGAACTCAGGCTGCAGTGGCCGGCAATAGCTTGATAGCTAGAAGGCCTTGCAAATAAAGATTAAAATGTACAGGTGCAACTTTTCTATTTCCCATTGGTCTTAAGGGCCCTTTTGTTTGGTAAGACAGTGCATGTTTTGAATAGTATCCTGTAAAAAATTCAGTCCTCCTCAACTGTCTCCTTCCAAACAGAGCTTGTGCAGAGGCCTGGGCCAGGGGCGGGTACGCAGCGGAGAAGGAGGAGAGAGAACTGTGGGAGAGCAGAGAGCGGAAGAAGATCACAGACAGCATTGAGGCCTTAGCGAGGCTCAAGCAGCAGGCCGAAGAGAGGAAACGACAGAAAGAAAGTCGAAAGGAAGGTACACGCTACGGAGGGGCGGATGCTGAGTTCCGTGCAGCCTCGCAAAGCTGGGCGGTCTAGTAAAGCTGGGCGGTGAAGGCAGGCTTTCTTCGTCTCTGGGACCAATACACACCTTCATGTATATCCATGTTACTTATATTATATCCATATCTATAATTTCTTTTTTTTTTTAATAGAGGCATGTTTTATTTATTTATTTGTTTGTTCGTTTGTTTTGTTTATACAAGCACTGGGTACAGTCAGAAGCGCGGGAGGGTGAGAGAATTCACCAGAGCCAGAGCGGGGAGCAGAACAGGCAGAAGGACCGAAGTACACTGCTGAGGGGAGCAGCGGGCAGCAGGAGAGGTCTGCGCACCATGTGGGACCCTCCTCTGGTGGCCAGGAGCAGCCGGGGATCGAACCAGCGCCGCAGAGGCCGTGGGCAGCTTCGCAACCCAGCGCTCAACCGCTGCGCCACCAGGGAGGCCCTTTATCTATAATTTCTTTATTTTACCATTTATTTCTCTTGTTCAGGGCAGGCGGCACCGCCGGAAGAAGACGAAAACAGAGATGCCCAAGTAGAGGGGAAGGAAGAGCCCCATGAAGGTGGGGAAACACAGCAGAAAATAGAGCTGTTTGTCAAAGAAAGCTTTGAGGCCAAGGATGAGCTGTTCCCAGAAAAGCAGGGTGGAGGAGGTGAGCTGTCTGCGGAGGTCAATGGAGAGATGGAAGGCCAGGAACCAGGGGGAACACTGCCCACTGAGGCCCCAGCCCCAGCCACCCCCGGAGCTGCTTGGGAAGGTAACGGAACAGTGAGCAGCCAGATGCTGCTCAGGGCCTGTGTGAATAAGGGCCATCCCCTCACCCTTGCTGAGGCCAGAATGAAAAGAGCGGAACATGGCCCTGGGGTGCAGCCTGAGGGACCTCAAGGCAGAAGGAGCTCCTTCTCAAGTCCACATTCCCCAGACCACTTTGAGATTAGTTAATGGGGTCCCTGAGGCATGTGGTAGTGGGGGAGTGGTGTGTGTGTGTGGGGGGCCTGCCTGAAGTACAGCAGTACAGGCAGTGAGGGGGCCGCCCTTCCAAGCAGGTGGCAACCTGCCAAAGTGCTCCTATCAATCATGCCTTTTCTACTGGTCCTGATTATTTTGTGTCCATCCTGCTGTGCAGTCATCCATCGGCTGCACGTCCGGGCTGCAGTAGGGCCGGCTCTGTCCCCGGGCTTGCCATCTCTGTGTAGATGTCACCCATCCCGCTGGGGATTCTCGTAGCTTTTGGCACAAGGAACAGCCAGCCCTTCAGACCCGAGGAGGCCTTTGTCCCTTTGATCTTTGAAACACCTTCACCTGGGGCTTGTCATTTGAGCATGTGTGAGGTGAACCCCGAGATGGATCACTTCTTATTGTTCTTCAGAATCAGCTCCCCAGACTGTGGCCAGTGAGGGTGCCTCAGGGGCAGAACTGGAGGGAGCCGTGGATATGGGGGCCGTGAAGCTGGAGACAGAGAAACTCTTCATCGATGTACGGAACCAGCCGTACTTGCAGACAAGTATCTCTTTCCATTTGGCAAAACACAGGTGGACAGATAAAAACCTTGAAACCCTCCATACCCAGTGTGGGCCTTGGATGGCAGGCTTGGCATCATGGGAATGCAGACTTTCAGGCCCCACCCAGATCTCCTGAGCAGGCACTGCACTTTATTAAGCTCCCCTTCCACCCGGTTGGCATGTATGTGTATTCAGGGTAGAGACTCGCAGGCCTCAGTGGTTCCTGTTGAGCTGTCTACAAAACTCTTTCCCCACAGAGGCTATGCTGCAAAGCCACTGTCAGCTAGTCTTAAACAGAACAATCGAGAAAAGTTCCATTTTATCACCAGAGCCTCTCATCCTTCGCCAAGCAAAGGCTCGTGCCACCTTCTTGGCCTGTCACTCCTCAGGCTTCCAGATGCAACTGACTCAAGAGGGGCTGCTTCACCCTGTGTCTGATGCTGGCCTCTCAAAGGCTTCTCCTCCAAAGCTTTCCCCACTGGGATAAGTGTCCAGTGCTCTAGGCATAGGTGTGAGCTCTATGGGACCCCTCCCCATTGGTGTCCTGACCCCCGGGAGCTGCACAGTTCCAGGTGGAAAGCTCTTTCTCACCCCTGGCTTCCCACCAACCTGGTGCTCACTGTTAGGCTGGAGGCGCCCTGCATCCCTGTCCACAGGGTTCCCTGAGTTTGAACCCACATGCACATTTGGCGTTGCTGAACTTCTAAAAGAAGTCTCATTTCTAACTGCACCATTTCCTGTGACTCAGGAAGAATTCGGCAGCATGGTCAACTGTCATAGCAGGTCTCTCACTTTCCAGGCCTGTGAACACTGGACTGGGAGATTAATCTCTAACATTTTAGAACCTGCAAGTAAGATGCCACCACCAACAGCTGACACTGAGGACCAGAGGTTGTACAGCTTGCTCAGAGCTACACAGTCAGGACAGGACGGACTGTCCTGCCATCTCCCCTTGCTAGTGCTGCTGGACTTAATTCTGGGCAGGTGGCTATAAAGGTACCAAAACCCACAAAATATTAAGAGCCCCACAGTGTGGGAGAGGTCTAGAACACACTTGGTCTATACCACATGGATCCCATGACTTATGTGTACAGGAAGAGGTACACCACGCCCCTCGATGAGCTGACTGGGTCACTTATGACAGAGGAGAAAGACATGGAAACTGTCCCAGCACGCTGCCCCGTGTCACACTGGGCCTGATGGGATCCACGCGCCTGCAGTGCTTGTGTGCTTGTGTGCATGAGCTGCCCGGTCCTTCCTGGCTTCTCCACACTGTACTCCAGGAATAAATGCTCTGCTACAGGAGGGTGGGTGTGGTGGGCCCCTCCCTAATGGTGACACTGCTCCTTTGCTCTTTCAGGACCTGCCTGATTTGGAAGAGGTGGACACCAGCGCATCACTGGAGGACCAGGCCCAGGTCCTCAATCCCTCCCCCATACGTCCCCCATCGTCCCACTTTCACATTCGGTCTTGTCACTGACAGCACCTATTACCCTGGACTTTGCCTGACCTGGACGTGAAGTGCTCCATGTGATGAGCGCATGACCGCTACCGCCACTGCATTTCATGGTCTCGAGGTGTCACTGGGTCTGTGAGCTGCTGCTCACGCCTGGTGATTTAGCACATTAGCAGTGGTTTCTATGACCTGCACTGAGCACAACCACACTTTGCCCTTTTTCTGCCCCGGGATGTAGTTCTGCTCACCTCCTGGATTGCCTGCACCAGAGCGGCATGCAGACGGGGGAAGGGAACCACAGCAGGGAAAAAAGGAGCAGTCTAGGAGGCTCTCCACAGGGAGTTCTCCCCAGATGACCTGCCCCTCCCTTAGGCCTCAAGGAGGCCAAGTGTGCCAAAGGGAGGGAGAGGCATGCATCATGGTGGGATGGAGATGCACAGACCACAGCTCCCAGGGGATCTGACCTCCAAGGGGCCCAGTTGCAGTTTTTGAACAAAGCCGTGCTTGCTGGCAGGGCGAGCTGACACCAGCAGAGGGCTAAGGACGGTGGTGGTGGTGGTGGTGGTGGTGGTGGTGGTGGTGGGGTGGGTACAAGCAAGGACCCAAAGAGGTTGCAAAGGAGCGCAGACATTGGCCACAGAGCTCACTGCAACTTTGGGGGCTCAGAATGGCTGCCTGGTGTCATCCCGAGGCCTGACTTTTGGGTGCTGGGTACTCTTGGCCTTTCCTATGTGTGACAACAGGAGACACTTTGTGACAGATTTAAAAAGCAGCATTAACACATAAATTTTCAATGACCACTGTGAAAACAGAGGTTCCAACACACCTACCTCCTTTTTCTAGCAGATGTGCTCCCCAAAGATCACAGCCATCTTGAGCCTGAGCGACGACAGTGACCCTGAACTGGACTATACCTCCCTCCCAGTGCTGGAGCCAGGGCCTACAGACAGCCTTTCAAACATATTCGCAGTCACCAAGGACACCTCCAGGAAGGTGGGGACGCCCTTCACAAACATATTTCAAGAAGCCGCAAAGAGGGACTTGGAATCCCCAAGTTCAGCCCCAAAGCACCCACGCCCACTGATTCAGGTGCTTGACGAGACTTCAGGCCCGCCAGTGCCCCAACCATGCCATGGGGAGGCTACAACCCCCACTTCCTGCAAAGACAGGGACAGTCACCCACTTTCAGCCTCCCTTTCAGGTAAGGTGGCTCTATGTTTAAGGTCACAGGGCTGGGAGCTTGGAGAGTGGGGAAGTAAACTAACTCCCTAAACCAGAGGGATAGCAACAGGGTCTCTGCCTTGAGAACCCTATGTGCTTGGAGGGGGCATTTACCACAGTCGCCAGGTGATGCCTGTGCCTAGCTTGTGCCTCTCCTGTTGCGTGTGGGCATGTGCTGGAAGCTTCAAGCCGGTACCCTGGCCTACTTCTGGCCATGCACCTCTGGGCCATCTTGGCTCAGGAGTGCTGGACAAAGGAAGCTGCATGGTCACCCCATTCTCACTATCCCAAACAGTGGCCTTTCTGGGCCAAGGCACCAGAGGAAAAGGGCATCAGGAACACTGTGCCTAGAAATGAGACAAGGCAAAAGCCAACAGCAGCCCAAAGAGGAGGGCCCTCCAGGTGGAGGTGCAGGTCAGAAGCACATGGAGACACTGCTGGCAGGGAAGGGGGTCACCAGGTGGGCAAAGCGCCTGGGGGGGTGGAGAAATGTGGACAAACCGGCACACTGGCCCCACCCGGCATTAACAGGCCCATGTGGGCCAAGTTGCCTGGTGCTGAGAAGGAGCTGGCTGGGATCTGTCCAGCAGCCACCTGTGCACACCCAAAGCGGGGACTGTGGGGCCCAAACCCTCCTGTTCCTGCCCAGCACTGGTGGCACCAGGGTTTTCTGAATGTCACCTCAGGTGGTTGACTCAAGACCCATATCCAGGGAGAAAGGGAGTGACCCCCCAAAACACTGCCTTCCCTCTCTTTCAGGAAACAGCAGCGAGAGGGACAGAGTATGCCCCGTGATGGAGCCCAAAGAGCTCACAGAGCCCGAGGCAGGAGAGCACCAGGAGGACATTGAATTTGGCTTGGACTGAACCCCAAGGTGGGCCTCCAGCCTCGGACTCACACAGACGGGGAACTAGCATTGGGCGCAGGCCCCCTCGACAGCTCTACGCCCAGGCACCTCCAGAGGCAGTGACAGCAGCACCAAGCTTGGGCTCCAAGCATAGCCACCGCCTTCCCCGTGGTAGGAAGCAGGATGTTGGCTGTCTCCCTGAGCTTTATAAACACCCCAAGTCCTTGTAAGTAATGTGTTACAGGACTCTTTAATATCCGTACCATTGTGGGGTTTCCTTCCACCAGCTACCCGAGAAGACCACCTCGTCACCAACCCTCAGAAACACCGACCCTCAGAAACCTAGTAGATCTTGGGGTCCCAGACACCTTCAAGTGGGCATCACACCCCACCTCCCCGGAGAGCAGTTGCAGAACCCTGGAGAAGACCATGCTTTAGCTAGCTAAGGGCACCCTAGTTGGAAACTTGGTGATCCCAAACCATGTGCACCTGACAAGTTTATTTAATCCCTAAATGTGAGTTCAAAGCATCTATACAAAACATTAGACCCTGGTAGAAATTCCTTAAACACAAGTTAAGCAGCAGCAGCTACTGCTGGCAAACCCCTGGCACCATGATACCCCAAAGGCTCTGTGGTGACCCCGTAGCCTGACTCAAGCCCCCACTTTCAGGCACAGCCCGACACTGACCTTCAGGACTGCTAGGGCCCTGCCAACATGCCTCTCAGAAGCATCTTTAGGTAAAAAGATAAACTAAGGGAGAAATGACCATCCTATTGTCCTGAGCTACTCCTCACCCTGGCGTTTTAGATGTTTCCACAGTCAGAGAGACCTTCAGAGGAGAAAGGCCTGCAGCAGGCATGGCTAGTGCACAGCATGTCTCAGAGGTGGCCCAGGCTCTCAGAAGCCCATTCGGGCCTTCTTCCGGCGTGTCTGAGAGCCAGGTGGGACTGGTGTCTGCTGCCCAGAGCGGGTGGCCCCGATACTGGAGGTCTGGGAGAAGGGCACAGAAGCACGTTCCAGGGTGTTTCTTTGGAGTGACAGTTGAGGTGTGTAGTCCTGGAGGGTCTGATGCCTAGCAGGGCCCCGGACACTGGAGGTTTGGGAGGAGGGTGTACAGGCATCACCCCGGATGTCCCCTTGGAGGGGCAGCTTGGCCATATAGTCCCGGAGGGTCTGCTGCCGCTCTGATGGCACACCCCGGGCCCACAGCTCCTGGGTGAATTCCTGAGAGGGTGGGGTCAGTGGGGGCTGAGGCCTGGTTTCAAGGGGCGTCTGGTCTGGGCTGTGAGGAGGGCTGACAGCGTCAGAAAGGTCCAAACGGCCACTGAGTGAGGAGAAGGTGCTGGACAGCTGGGTCCGGCGCTTGGCCCGCTTGGTCTGTCTTCCAGGCCCCAAGCTCCCACCCTGCTGCCTCTGCCACCAGGCAGCCACCCGGCCTTCCCAGGCTGCCTCCAGACGCTCACTGAGCTCATCCTCAGGACCTGAGTCAGGAGCAGGAGGTGGCTCTGAGGTAGGGAGAGAGCCCAGGTCACTCTGCTGCAGGATCCGACCTGCAGTCATGGCAGCCCGGAGACCCTCAGGCACTTTCCTCTCAACTTCCTGATGCTCCCTGCAGCTCAGCAGGTGGCGGTGTGAAAAGGTGGGTGCAGCCCACACAGGGGGAGCCATGGGTACTTCCAGCAACTCCTTCAACCACCGGCTGCAGGAGGCCAGAGCCTGTGGGCTCCAGGAAACCGGGGGCACAGAGGCACTGGGCTCCGGATCTCCCTGAGAGACAGGGTCATTCCGGAAGCGGAAGCGCTGGTGGAAGAGATCTCCAGCCTCAGAGAGTTGGAACAGTGACAAGACTGGAGTGGATGTAGAGGGTGGGATGATGGCAGTGAGACCTGGAAAAGGTAACGACAGTGACCCCCAGGTCTGAGGGAATACCGTGACCCAGACCTGCTCTCCCGCTCCACGTACCTATAGTTGGTGCCATCAGCCGCTCCTGCAGTCGCCGATGACTCTTGGTTTCCAGCAGGGGAAAGGCGGAGAGGGAATCGCTCTGGGAAGGCAGACACTGGGGGGGCCCGGCCAGATGGGGTGTGGAGGCCCAGTTTCCTGGGGGAAGAACGGCTAGCTGAGGCCCTGTCCAGGCCAGGCGCTCTATCTTCTTGCATGCCCAGCTAGCCAGACTCACCTGCGATGTGCAGCAGCTGCAGCTGCCCACCCTGGCCGCCTAGGAGCAGCGGCCGTGGGCAGCCGGGCCAGGGTGCAGGCAGGATCTGGGCCAGCAGGGGAGCAGAGGGAAGGCTGTGGTTCCACTTCAGCATCGGCACCAAGGGCATGCGCTCGTCCACCAGGTAGAGCGAGAACTGGGGCCGAGGAAGAAGCAAGAGAAAGGGGTCTGATGCACTGGCTAGGCAGTAACTGATGGGACGAGCCTCCGAGGATGGCCCCTTCCAGAGCCCCAGCTGGCTCTCAGAAAGAGGTCAAAGCCCAAGTGGTGACTGCCTCTCCCAGCGTCACCGGGCAACCCTGCACAGGAGGCGTGTCCAATGGGTCACCTCAGCTGTCCTGATGGCCACACAGGGAAAGCCGAAGAGGGGTCTCGCACATAGTAGCCACCTGGCTCTCACCAGCCATCCCCACGCTCACCTGGCCCCAGAACCAAGGTGAGACAGACCCCCTTATGTCCCAGGCTCCTAGGAGGAGGTCCTCAGGCCTCCTCCCCTCTCCTAAGCACAGTTGGCTACCTTTGCACTGGCGATCCCAGCTTAGCCTTTCCTCGCTCCCTGAGTCCACCCCATGCAGATGTCACATCCTCACGAGGTCATTCCCACCCGCCAGTGAGCCTGGACGGTGGAGTTCGGTGACTAGTCAGCCACAGGCTCAAAAGTTTTGTCCTGGGGACGGTCTCTAGCAACATCTAAGACAGCACGGGATGGCTGGGGACGAGGCGTCACTCACCTGGGTACAGACGAGATGGAGTGTAGGGTGCAGAGACTCGGGGCTGGGCTCCCCCAGGTACTGGCTTAGTAGCACTCGTTCCCCTTTTTGGCACGATGCCTCTGCCCCGCCCCGGAAGAGCAGCAGGCCACAGCCCGGTGGGCCCTGGGGAAGAAGCAGGGTCAGCCCTCCTGAAGCTCAAGTCTGCCTATAGGCCCAGGATTCACTGGCTTGGCTGCTTTTGGGGCCCTCGGGACTCCGACCTCACCTACCCCAGGACCTGCTCCTTCCTGCTGCCGTGCCCATGACAGTCCTGCCCCTCACCTGAGTGTCAATGATTTTCACTCCTGTGCGGTCGCCTACAGTCAGCACCCGAGGGTGGGCAGTGAAGTCTGCCCAACGCCAGGGAGACGGGTCCCGGAACACAAGGGTCTCAGGGTCTTTGTAGACTTGCTGGAGCCTTGGGGAGACAGGTTGAGGGGAACAAGAGATGGGGACGCCTGGTCTAGGGTGCAGGACAGTTTCAGAAGCAGGGGCTGTAGTTCAGTGGGGGTGGATGTTGGTTTGGTGGAGGGTTTTTTGGTGAAGAAGGGACATTACCCATCCTGGGGGGTCCACAGACAGATGGCTCCCGAACGGCTGCAGACGGCCAGCTCCCCGGGCAGGTGAGGGCTACAGGGCACAAGTGTGTCTATACTGGGCATGCGTCCTTCTCCCCGACCCATCTCCCTGCAGACGAGCCCACTCAGCCTCCTTTACCTCAGATTGATCCCTGTGGCCCCCTTCTTGACCTGCAGCACCTGGAGAGGAGCCGGCTGCCCCTGCTTACTGACCTTCCAGAGGGCACAGTGGTAGTCAGAGCGAACCGCTAGCAGAGCTGAAGAGGAGATGTAGAGTGTTAGGGTCAAGGTCAGGCAGCAGGTCTGTCATGGGAGGAAGGAGGTGCCACAGGCCTTACATTCTCCCTGCACGGTGCGGGTCACTACCTGCCGCACAGGTCCTCGGAGCTGGATGTGGCCAGGGTCACCAAGGACCTGGGTATCACCTCCTTGGGTCAGATGGACCTCTTGGAAAGCTGGCATCTAGTTAAGGATAAGCATGTGAGCCCTGGTCACTGGAAGTTCCTGAAACAAAATCACCCTCCTCCACCAGAGGGAGCCAGTCGGGGAGCAGCCCAGGCCAAGGATACACAATCTGTCTAGGGCGCCACCTGAAGGATAGACCAGCTGCCCAACATGGGGTGTCCTTCCAGGTAGCCAGGCAAGCGCACCCCCTGTGAAAGCATCATCCAGCAGCAGCTGCTTCCACCGCGTGGCCAGTTCCTCATGCAGCAGCTCTCCCAGGAGAGTGGTCACTGACCTGCCCAGGATCTGGCCCGCAAGGATTGAGAACCTACGCTGTCGATGGCTCAGGAAAGCCCAGGGACACCTGACGACAAGGGAACAGCAGGCAGGTGAGGCAGTGGCAGTGGTGGGAAGGAGGCCCAAGCACCATCCCATGGGAGGCAGGCAAAGCAAATGTGATCATCTACCTAGAATGTCTTCCTTTGGGAAGCTGCGGTACCCACCCCTGGCCGGGAACAGCCCCTTGTTCCATCAATCCCCACAGTGACTAGTCCACAGGAGGGCGTGACAGCCACGACATGCACGCCCACCACCTCCTGGGACTTCTCCTGCACCCCAGGAAGAACCTGGGCTCTTTCCCAGGAGTCATAAGCCATCTTGCTGGTTTGGAAAACAGACTTGGAAACAAGATTTCTATCAAGGAATCATGTCAGATAGAGGCAGGTAAGAAAAAATAATACTAAGGTTATTTGACTATTTGGATGCGGTCATACCTGGAGCCCCTGCAAGTCCCTCCTCTCTTAGGCTAGTGCAGTTTGTCATTTTGTATAGGGAAGCAGGGTTTGCAAATGCAAAGTGGGGATCCACGTCTGGTTCCTTCCTCATGCCCCACCAGTTAGGCCTGCCCTGCCCATCCTCTCTCACTAGCACTTGCCCCCATGGCTGGTATCCACCGAGGTCCTGGAGCAGCCTCTTCACACTGACCACCGTCTTCTTCTTAGAGCGGCTCTGCATGGAAAGACCTTGTCAAGCTCACCTAGGGCTCACCCCCAATGCAAAGTAGGAAGTTCCCTCCCGTGGCTGGCAGGGGTCACTCACCCGTGCTCCCTCCAACTTGAAATTCTCCAGCATCAGCTTCCCCAGGGGTGCAAAGGCTATGTCCCCATGATCCCACAGGAAGCTGCTGAGCTGGGAAGGAGAGGAGGCTGGGTCACTAAGCACAGCCCCTCCCCGCGACACTATGGCTGGAGGGCCACTTACCTGCTCAGTAACATCCAGCACAGCCCGGGGCTCCCGCCGGTACTGATGGCCTCCCCGGAAAAGCAGGTCCCGGGCAGATATGCCTGGATCCCAGGGATCTGAGGGAAGAGTAAGAGAAGGAATGGAGTTTGTCCCAGGGACCAGGAGAGGCCAGAGGTAGGACCAGGTGCTCCAGCTGACATGAGTTATCCAAGGACACTGGGCGCTGGGGGACAGGGCATCAGTAGGGAGAAGGGAGGCTTCAGGTGGGGAGAAAAGCAGGGGGAGCAGTTTGCAAGGAATGAAACCCTTACCAGGACCAGGTGGCAGCAAGGGAAGGGGCCCAGGCATCTCTGGCTCCCACAGCAGGTTCCTGGGCAAGTGTGGCGCCCTGCTCTGAAGAAACAGCCAAGACAACAACAGAACAGTGAGCGGGTTTGGGGTTGGGCTGCGGCAAATTCCCAACCCCACTACAAGAAGGAGACATTTTCACTCAGCCTGTGTTTTAATAGATTTCTGTTAACACCCCCCCCCAATACTGGTTAGTTTGAATGCTACAAAAGGAGGGGGGTGCCAAGTATAAGGGGCCACCCTGGAGCAGGCAGGACTCTCCCCATTCTCACTCTCACCTCGGAGATCTGGGACGGGGACTCTGGCAGGGAGAGCTGGTCTCTCCAGCTGCACATAAAGGACAAATCAGGAACATTGCTCAGACCAAGAGGGCCGGACACAAACAACGTGGGGTGGAGGCAACTCGGGAAGTCCATCGTGTAGAGCAAGAATCACACATCACACATTCTGCCGGTAAGACTTGAATCTGCCAGTGGCATCCAGGGCTCCTGGGGAGAATGAAAAGTACCCTAAGTGGTACACTTCTTTTGGGGATGTAGATACTAAGAAACAAACATGTAGCCCAATACCAGTTAATAAATGCTATATTCAAGCCAAGACAGAGGCCATGGAGATGCACTGAGGGTGTGGTTCTAGTATTGGTGGCCAGGGGTAGCCTCGCTGAGAGGGTGGTACTTGGCACAGCTTGAAGCCAGTGAGGGAGCACTATGCAGACAACCGGGAGGAGGGCTCCAGGCAGAATGAACAGCAAGTCCTAGGGCAGTAAGTGTTTGAGAAACAACTGGGAGACCACAGAATGAACAAGGAGGAGAAGGGGGTAGGGAGTGAAATCTGACAGGTGGTAAAGGGTCAACTTTTGTCACAGATTTTACATTTATTATAGTCACATCTACACTATACTCCTCATACCCTGGGCTTCACACCTAAGATTAAACTTAAGTTCCCCTAAAATGGGGCTGAGTCTTACTCACCTCGCTTCCCACTGTCAAGTACAGTACCATCCCCCAAATGAATAAATGTATGCTAAAGGTACACACATCACCTCTGTTTTTCAACTAGCCACAGCAACAATGTTGACTTAGAGCAGCATCTGCAAACCAAGAACTACAGGCTTTATTCTCCCCCCTTTTGGAGTTCAGGAAACAGAGGTCAGTAAAGAATGACTTGTTCATGGACAAGAGTGTAATCTCCCATGCCATCCAAAATCCGATTTCTGAACCACTAGTCTCGTGTGCGTCCCAAATACCAGAATTTGCTTTCATAGAATAAGCATTCACAGAATAAGCAGTGCCTTTTCCCTTGGAACCCCACTGCACTTTATCAGCTAATTCTCTGCCTCCCCATCCCTCAACTCTGGACATCCTTGTAACCTCAGCTCTATACAAATGGCCCACCACCTGGTAAATTCCAGTCAATACTTGTCAAACGAATGGTTATGTGTATCTCAGGGCAAGTCAACCTCATTCCATCTATGGTTTCTTAGTTCCACCTCTTCCACTAGACTGCGCTCTCCAAGGGACTGAGAATCCATTCCCATGTTTCCAGTGTCTGGCTGCTGTGGTTATTCTCTTTTCCATAACAGGGGAGAACAGAGGCAGGGATCAGGGTGCTCAGCAAATCCTTGTGAAAAATGCTCTTCCACAGAACTGATGGTACTCAATCAGTTAGCAGCACCCCAACTTCCCAGAGGTGCCTGTTCCTGCTCACGCACACAGCTCACCTCTGTGTCTAGGCTCCGATCACACTCATTTCCCTTGGGTTCTTTCTCATCATGCTTCTTTCACCACAGGGGCTTTGCACATCTCTCTGCTTAGGATGAGGGCCAATTGCTCCCCAAACACAAGAAAAATCCAGCTCATCCTTCAGGTTCCCAGCCAGGGAAGCCTCTCCCAGTTCCCCTGACTGTACCCTCCCACAATATCTGCATCTTTCAAAGCATGCAATACAACGAATGACATTTTAAATTTTAAATTTAAGCTGTTTGACTAAGAACTTCTCTAATCAACAGTCCTCATAAGAATAGGCCCTTCATTATCCCCAGTGCCTTGGTAGTTATCCACCCTAACAATACATACACGCAAAGTGAAACAACAAATCTAGGAATGAGCAAATGAATGAGAGGAGAAAGGAACCATACAGCTCCAAACCAACCCCGCAGGCTGGGGGCACTGGAGGAACCCAAGACCTGAGAAAAGGTCTTAAAAAGCAGCCGGGGGGCCGGGGGGAGGGTGGTGGTGGAATAAGCGTCCTCGCTGTAGGATCTCCAGGCCCCTTAGGCTCCAAGGATGAACAAATCCGCGGGGTCTGCAGCCAGGCCAGGCCGGGAACAGCAAAAGCGAGCGCGTCGCAGGGGATGGGAGAAGGGATGGAAGAGTCCTCCCTCCAACCGGCCACCGGGCCACGTCCTCCCCACCAACTTGCACGCCGTCCCCCGCAGGTCTCCCATCCAGCACGGTGTGGCACACAGTGCCTTGCATCTGCGGGCGCCTCACCACACCGTAGGAGGGGCTGCTCAAGGCCGCCTTCTCAGAGGCGGGACTGTTAGGGGGAAAGGATGTTCTGAGCTAGGACCACAGTCAGGCACCCCGTTTTGTATCGGGGCTGCCCTATAACAGGACGCCAGTCACAGTCACACAGCGGGCCCACGCGCAGGGAGCCCCTTCTCTTTTCCGTCCTCACTTACGTGACGCGGGCCTCGACGTGTTCCTCTGGGCAACTGACCTCGGCGTGACGCTCGCCTGACCCTCGCGCCACGAAGGAGCCTGAAAGTTCCACCTGAGCTCCGCGCATGGACGCAGCTATTAACCGTCTTCCGGGCAGGGCCGGAAGCGCGCTCACGCAGACCGGAAGTTCCGCCTCCCCGCTTGGCCGTACGGGTGTTCTACAGCGCCACCTCCCGGGAGGAGGGGGAATAGCGGTGGAAGAAAAGCCGTCATTAGTATTCCTAGAAGCAAAGCCCATCAAGTTCCAAGAGTGAGTGCCAGTTTAACAAGGTGCGAACCCCACGTCTGCTTAAGTAACTTCCTATCTCACAGCACTGTTGCGTTACTGATTGTCTTTATGTCCTATGCCCATGTTTTATAAATAGGGGTGCAAGTACCCCTAGTAGTGCATGAAGTTCTCCCAGTGGTCAGGCACCTGTAGTTTTAGGCAGTGGTTCTTAAATTCTACCCAGTGTCAGCATCACCTGGGATGCCAGTATTCAGTCATGAGATGTGGCTGTGTTGGTGTGAAACAGCAGTTTGCTTCTGTTTTTAATGACTGAGTTAGAGGTCATCGCATGAACATGTCACCATTCATTTACGCAGTTTCCTGATGAGGGAGTGTTTCTGTGTTGGGCGACTCGTCCAAGCCTGTGGATATGTGCAGCCCTCATTCCATTTGTGGACACCCCTGCTGTCCTTTCTATCCCAGGAGTCTCATTTGCTGCTGGGCTACACACGAAAACACCAGAATCACTTTTCTTGATGCCAATATTTGAAATCTTGGGGAGGGAGGCTGAATCTGCTGCTGCTCCTCCCAAGCCCCAGTGTCCACACTGCTACCCTCCTGGCTAGCACAGTCAGACCCAAATATGGGCAGCAGCAGCAGCTGTGTCTACAAGCACAGCAGTGAGAAATGGCATGTTTTCCAGCTCTCGGCTCCTGTGAGATTGAGTTAATTGAGCCTTAATTTGCAGGCCACTTCAAGTAGTTACGCGTTGCATCACAGCTGGCCCTAGGAAAATTGTCCTTATCTCCAACTTTGTCTCTCTTTTTTATGATTTATTTTCATTTATTTATGCATACAAGAACTGGGGTGTAGGCCAGAGGTGCAGGGGTGAGACGATCCACCAGAGACAGAGTGGGGAGCAGAACAGGTGAATCTACTGAAATACACTGCTGAGGGGAAAAGCTGGGGAGACAGTTGAGGTCTGCTGCGCCATGTGGGTTAGCTCCCTGGCTGGGGATTGAACTTATGCTTCTGTGGCTGCTGATAGCTTGATAGGGCTGAGACTTAACCCCTTGTGCCACTAGGGAGGCCCTAACTTTGTCTTAATTTTATTTCTCTTTCACCACTAGCCCTTCATCTTAAAGAATTTCTGTGTTGTGGTACTGTTACGGAGCAGCCCCGATTTTATGAACCAACTCAAAATTCTTTCTAGAAAAAGAAAAAAGTTAGGGGGCCAAATGGCTCATTTTTGGCTTTAAAGCACCTTCAGGTTGGCCTGGGAGAGGGGAACAGATGAGGGAGGACTGCTACAACAGACAACACCTCCATTTATGCACTTAGGACCCCCAGGCTCAGTTAAGTGGCAGGGGGAGGGTGGGCAGGTGGGTGAGATGGAGAACTTGGGGGGCTTCCTAGGGCAGGAGCCAGTGTGTGGCATGTATTTGGGTCCCAGGCCCCTTTCCCTGGTCATCGTGTCCCCAAGACCCAGCCCACTTGAAGGTAAAGAGGATCCCAGAAGCACCCCCATTTCCTCTTACCCGGACACCAGATCCGAAGTCTCGGCCCCCAGAAATGCAGTGTTAGCCCTGCAGCCACTCATCCCAAAAGTCCACACCAGGCTGCCGCTGGGTGGCTTGGGGTGGGGGGGTGGGGAAGGGGTGGGGGGGTGGGGAAGGGGTGGGGGGTGGGGAGGGGTGGGGTGGGGAGGGGTGGGGGGTGGGGAGGGGTGAGGGAGGGGTGAGGAGGGGTGGGGGGTCCGTGGAGGGAGGGGAGGGGAGGGACTTGTCTTTCTAGTCTTTCAATTGGCTGGGCTTCATGTCGGTCACAGCTTTGTGGGCTCTGATTGGCCAAGAGCGAGGTAGGGGTGGAGCTCGCTAAGCACTAGAGCCCGTGCCACGTGCTTCCCACGCGGGAGTAGCCCACGCGTAAAAAGGCACAAGTCCCGCGAGATCTGACCCGCCGTCTCGGGGTCCTCACTTGTGGCCATGGCTTCTCCGGTCAGCACAGCCCCAAGCACAGAGGATAACTGCCGTAGGAAGCCCCGCCTGGCAGCCTCGCTACAGATCAGCCCCGGACCCATTCCCTGGAAGCCCTCGGCCAGCTTGGGCCAAGACCCCTGGGAGCCGGTGTCCACCCCGAGAGCCGAGGACCACAGCGGGGACAGGCAGCCTCAGGCCTTGGCGGCGGGGGATGGTGGGCCTGGGGTGGGGATCTGCATCCGGCACTGGGGGCGGCCTGGGGACGGGAAGGCAGGCATAGGGATGGGGAGGCCCCTCACGGTCTCTGTCCCACCTGTAGGGCCGTTGGGAGACTTCCCCGAGGAGGGGGGTAAGGAGGAGGACCAGGAGAAGGACGAGCGGGCAGAGGAAGCCGGAGGGCAGAGCCTGCAACTCAGAGACCCGCCCCCAGGCCAGGCAGAAGCCTTGCTGGTGCAGTACGCTGCCAGTCTGGGCGTCTCTCTCATCTTCCGCGAGGACCAGATGACAGGTGAGACCAGGGGGCCTGGGCTCCTGGGGCTGACCCCAGACCAAGCAAGGGGACTGTGTCTGGACCTGACTGTGGGGTTTGAGGACCACCCCTGTGGTGAGCAGGCTGGTGCTGGAGCGTCAGCTACGGACAGCCAACTGTAGCAGGTCATGGCAAGGTGAAAGCCGGCCCCACCTGAAGCCAGAGGCCCTTAAAGACATGCTCCAGGCTACCCAGCCTTCAAGTATAACCACCACCCGCACCCCCTTGGATCCTTAGAACCAGAATCCCTTTGGTGTGAGTTGGAACGTTTCCATTTGCAGATCAAGCGATTGCAAAATAGACCTGCTCTGTTAGAAAAGGGCCCTCCTTCCTCCAGGATCATGGGTCTCTCCAAAGGGATGGAGATCCCCGCAACTTGCAGAAAGTTGGTTGTATCTCTGCCTTTGTTAAATACCCTCCTTCTGCAGCCCTTGTGTTCTTCTCTACAAAGTGTCGTTCCTCTTCTTCACAGTACCTAAAAGGGCATGGGAAATGATTAACATTTATATCTGCAAGGTCTTTCTGTATAGCAGTCGGGAACACTGACCTTGTCTTAACTTTGCTTTCGCCCCTTGGAACAGGTCATCCGACCTTTCTGAACCTGACTTTCATCAGCTTGCTCTTTTTGATGGTCAATTACATGCAATTATAGCAGCATGCCTGTTGGAGATACCCCAGCAAGGGCCAGCCCTTGGCGCAGATGTTTCCTAACAATTTGATGATGTTACATTACACAGATCTTCGTCTTGACTGTGTCCTCTCAGTGCATCCCCTCACTCGCGCAGCAATACACCAGAATCTAAATTTGGGTTCCCAGCCTTAAGCCAGACCAGTCATAGCCTCCATGGAGACGGCAAGAGAATCATTTCCCAAGCTGGTGGAAGCCTGTGTAAAATTACCTAAGAGTACCCTGAAGGGATGGTTCAAAAAGAGAGAAGGTATTAAAAATGTCCCCAGGATCTGTTTCAGTCAGGTCTGGTAAAACAGCAGATGTGGAAGTGATTGTCAAGAAGGAAAGTAGTCTACACCCGCAGATCCCTAGAGACAGGAGGCAGGGCCCACCACCCAGTGCCACTGGGGAAGGACCGGGGAGGGTGCAGACAGAAGGGAGGGGAGAGCAGGGCCCAGAACCTTGATTGAGGTTTTCCTGGCAGGGGCTAGGCAAGGGCAGGTTGGCGTGCTGAGTAAGTTTAGCATTGGCGAGTATGAATGGTTTTGGTGGGCTCTGGCTTCTAGGGGTAGTTCCTCGCTGTACGTGACCGTGGGGTGACTTAGGACACAGGGAATGTTGGCATGGTGTCTGACAGCTGTGGGAATGCACGCTAGGTTGTCTGTTACTGTATCAAAGGCACAAGATGGGGATAAAGTGCAGGGAGCTACTTCCCGGCCCTCTCCTTCCCAGATCCTGCCTTCCCTTTCTCGGTGTATGCGGAGCTGGATGGGGTCGTCTGCTCCACGGGCACTGCCAACAGCAAGACAGAAGCCAAACAGAAGGCTGCTCTCTCTGCCCTCTGCTATGTCAGGAGCCAGCTAGAGAGCCCAGGTAAGAGGGGTCAGGTGCCCCAACTGAGCCGCAACTGAAGCCTGGTGCGGCAGAGACCATCTGGACATCAGGACTGGCCTGCAGGGGGCTGGGGTGGGGGACGTGAGGCGAACTCTGTCCTGGTGGGCTTTGAAGGACACCGCCTGGGCATAGGGGCTTTGGGTTTCTCGGGGATGAAAATGTTCTCTTCACCCTCCCAGTGGAACTTGGCTTCCCCAAGCACCCCTGGTCACCTGTCCACCCCTTGTCTCTCTTCCAGAGCCTCTGAAGACCCCCAGCAAGCCTCCACTCACCTCCCAGAGTGTAGGTAGGTAACCCCTCTCTGACCCCATGGTGAGAGGAAGAGCATAGCCAGTGGGGCCCCAACTGCTGCCCTCTCCCCCACAAACAGAGAACATCCTGACCCACGAGCAGCGCTGCGCAGCTGTGGTCAGCACCGGCTTTGACCGCCTGGTGGAAGAGAGCTCACCGTACCGGGCCTGTAAGGGGACCGTGGCCGCTGTCATCCTGGAGAGAGGTAGGGGTTGCCCTGACCCTGCTCAGAAGGCCACAGGGGCCCTATGCCTCAGTCTAGGCCCTCTCTGCCCCTTCCCTCACAGAGGTCCCCGGTGCCAAGGGCCATGCCAAGGAGATCTATGAGCTGGTGGCGTTGGGCACAGGCAGCAGCAGCTGTCCCGGCCGACTGGCATTCTCAGGCCGGAAGCTCCATGACTGTCACGCCCTGGTGGTGGCCCGGCGGGCCCTGCTGAGGTGAGCGGTAGGCCGGTGGGTGCTCTGCCATAGCACCCTAAGGTTGTGGCAGCCCCCAACTGCTCATCCACCGCCCCTCCCAGGTTCTTGTTCAGGCAGCTCCTGCTGGTCACGCAGGGTGGCCCTAAGGGCAAGGAACGGTCCGTGCTGGCCCCCCAGCCCGGGCCCGGACCCCCCTTTGCCCTCAAGCCTCGGATCTTCCTGCACCTCTACATCAGCAACACCCCCAAGGGAGCTGCCCACGACATCTGGTATGTGACAGGCCCCCCACGGCAATGTTGGCTTCCCTAGATGGCAAAGGGCAGTTGTCAGGGTGGGGGTTGTCAGAGAAGTGGCCCTGACTCTCGTGCCCCTGCTCCTCCCCTGCAGCCTCCCACAATCCTTGTCCGTGGAAGACAGCGTCCAGCAAAGCCCTGCCTTGCGCCTGCAGGCCCATGTGCTTGGGGAGCTGAAGCCCGTGTGCTACCTGGCCCCTGCACTGCTTCACACCCACGTGGGCTGCCTGTCGGCCAGTGACAAGCTGGCACGCTGGGCTGTGCTGGGGCTCGGCGGTGCCCTGCTGGCCCACTTCCTGCCGCCCCTCTACGCCACCAGCCTGGTCCTGGGTTAGGGCCCGAGGGCCGGGGCAGTGGGAGGTGGGCTCCAGGTGGGATGTAGAAGAGGTTGGAAGCAACTCAGACTGTGTCCTTTGCCTTCTGCCCCACAGCGGACCCCTGCCACGATCCCCCCACTCTGAAAAGGGCCATCCACACTCGGCCCACCCTAGACAGGGTGTCAGGGCCAGGCCTGCCACTTCCCTACAGTCGCACCACATTGCACCTGTTTGCGGGGCCCCTCGTGGCCCCCTCTGACCCCATCCCCAGCACCTGCCAAGGCCTGAGCCTCAACTGGAGCCTGGGGGACTCTGATGTCGAGGTTGTGGACGTGGTCACTGGGCGTGTGAAGGAAGAGTGAGGAGGGTCCCGGGACCGGCTGAGGAGGGGGTTGGAGGGTGATGGGTCCCCATCTCCCTGCCCCTGGTCTGGGCTTGCATTCTCACCACAGCTCAGCCCACTGGCAGCTCCGTGTCTGGCCAGTGGCCCCATCAGCCTCTGTGTGGTACCCTCTCGGGTGGTCGTGGCGTGAGGGAGGTGGGGGAGTGGCCTGTCTTTCAGGCCTGCCTCCCCATCTCTGATCTGCTGTCCTTGCCTCTTCATCTCCAGTGTGGCCCTTGGGCCACCCTCCCGCCTCTGCAAAGCAGCCTTTCTTCGGGCCTTCCGCCAGGCCGCCCAGGCTCTTGGGAAGCCCCACCTCCTGGCCCTGAGCACCTATGAGGCGGCCAAGGTGAGCCCCTCCCCACCTCAGCCCTCTCTCCACCGCTGCCAGCACCTGGCTCACCCTGTACTCTCTCCCTAGGCTGGGCCCTACCAGGATGCCCGCCAGCAGCTGTCTCTCCTCCTGGACCAGCAGGGCCTGGGAGCTTGGCCTTCCAAGTCATTGGTGGGCAAGTTCAGAAACTAAAGCTGACCTTCTGAGGCCCACGGGACATGAGTCCTTTCTGGGGTGGGGTGGGGGGTGTAGAGCACCGTGGGTACACAGGGTGTATGGGGATTGGAAGGAGGGGCCTACCCTGGTCCATAGCTGAGTTTGAATAAAGAAGCTGTTTCTGGTGCCTCTAGTGCTTGTCAGTGACTTTGGGGGAAGGGTAGTCTGGAGGCGTTTGGTTCATGAAGAGAGAAGACCTGGGGTGCAGGATCCTTCTGTTACAGCATAGGGTGAGGGGTATCTCAGGATCCCCAAACCTGCCTGCTCTAAATGTTCTGCCATCCACTGCACCAAGACAAAACATACCATAGTGTGTAAGACCTTTAATGGAAAAGAACTTTAATACAATTAGTGTGCAATAAAGAGAAGTAAAGAGTGGGTAAAATAGTTGGGCCACCCTGTTACACTTCCTCACAGAATCTCCCCCACCTCTCTTTTTGGCCCTTAGCTCAGAGGGAGGCTTTCTGCTCTTGCTGGCCTGGTTGCTGCCTAGCATCCCTTCCTCCCCAGGGCTCCCTAGACCTGGGAGGAGTGGTAGAAGGTGCCACTGCCTTAGGGTCCCAATGGGCAGAGTCTTCAGTCTACCCCATACCCTGCCCAGAGCTGAAGGGAGCACTAGGTTTGGGCATCAGCAGTCCCAGGTTGGGAGAAGGTCCTGTGGGTCTCTGCTGCAGTGAGTGGGTAAGACCCGGTGTTCTTCCCATTGGGCTCGTGGGTATAATGGGGTGAAGTGTCCTGCCAGTTCACCTCCACCTAGAACCTGTGCAAATGACTTTGCCCAGCATGCCCATCTGCAGACCCAGGCTTTCGCCCTACTCGTCCATGGCGCTGTCTCCCTTTCACACAACACCCCTGCCCAGGTGGAAATCCCAGGGCCCTGGCAGTGAAGAGAATAGCTGAAGGGCTGCAGACTCCAGCAGGGCCTGCACAAAGGTCTTCACACAAACTGCTGTGTTTTGGTCTCCCGCCAGCTATACAACAGACGCTCCTTTTTCCCAGCTCTCAGGCAAGGCAACTCACAAGGTGAAGTTGGAGAGAGGGTGGGGTCAGGCTGGAGCTGTGCTTCACCTGCAGGCAGCTCAACAACCTGCCCCTCAGTCCTGGTCACCGCCCAGCTCCTGCTGGATGCATCCCCCCACCAACCTTGCTTGGACAAGACACCAAACCTCTTTTACAGAATGAGACCTGGACTGTATCACCTCAAAGTCCCCTCTGCGCTTTGCCCTCATCTCTGCTTTGTCTTAATAGTCACAGGAAGTGGGAGAGGCAGGCTGTGGAGCTGGGGACAGAAGGAGTGGCTGGTGGGAGGCAGGGAGGGGGTGAGGTAGGAAGCTGGGAGCTGTGTGCAGGAATGCGCATGTGCAGGGGAGGGGCTCCCAAAACCAAGTCAACATGGATTTGTGTGTGTGTGTGTGTGTGTGTGTGTCTTTGCTTTATTTGGAAAACAGGTTATTTACCATTAAATATTTTCAAAAAAGAAAACTTCTCGGGCCAACTTTGAAATAATTCTCCCAGCGATTTATTTTTTAGGGATGGGAAGGATTTCTAAAATACCTCAGTCTATCAATCAGCCCATTTATTGCATTGTTTTCCCCAGGAGATCATTTAAGTTGATTTACTTTTTGTACTGCCGCAGCGACTTCCCAAAATATGCCAGTCATCCCAAACTGCAGTTTTATGCAATAAGTCTTCTGATATTCATGAATTCCATAATCACTGGGTAAACAAGTCATTCAAAATGACATTAACTCTGCTGTGTTCCCCAAAGAGTAACATTTGCATAAATCCGCCTGTCTGTCCTTTCCTCCCAAGACAGTCCTTATACAATATTCGCTCAGCTCCTCTGATTCATTTTATTTATTATTGCAGGGTGATGACAAACTCAGCTTTTGAAATGGAGTCTGTTAACGTTTTCTTGGCCTAGTCCCCTCCTAGTGAAGTTTTGCCAACAACGGCACATTTAAATGGAGAGGTGACCTCATTACCCGGACTCAGTTCACAGTCACTTCCTCCAGGAAGCCTTCCCATCACTCCATCCTCCCTTGCAGCTTCTGCTCCAGGGACCCTGGGCACCCCCTGTATCAGGCTGCCCCTCCATGGGTGTGGACCTGGGAAGCCAAGGGGCCATTAGCCTTTCCCAGCCTCAGTTTCCCACTCTGGCCAATGAGAAGGATCCACCAAGCGACAAATGCACGGCCCTCGGGATCCAGTGAGACGAACGATGGATGGGAAGTGGGCCAGCACTGTCCCTGGCTCCCACTCTGGGCTGTCGCTGGCCTGTCTGCTCTCAGTAGCCTGAGGCGGCCCCACTGTTCTCTCCTCTCTACCCCCATTCTCTCCATCCTGCAGTCTCCCACATAGAAGGTACCGAACAAACATGCCTTTAATCGAAAATAAGTGATTCATAGGAGCTCCTCTTAACAGGAATCAGTAGAGGGACAGGGCTGAAGCTCTGTTCTAAAATACAGTTTTGAAGACATTTCTCTCTGGCCCAGAAAAGCAGTCAATGGACTTGGACAGAACTTAATGGGCTGCGGGGAAGGGGATCTCTGCGCGGGAAATTGTCACCATGCTCCATGGTCCAGCGTGAAACGACAGCTTCAAAATCATGGCTTAAGAAATTCCATTTTCTTGGGCATCAACATGCACATTTTTTTTTCCCCACAAACCAAGTTTAATTTCCATCCAGGGTCACAGCCTTTGCATTTTCCACATTTTGAGCAAGCAGAGAGATGGTGAGTTATTAAACACATACTGTGTGTATTCCAGAGGAGAAAAAAGGAAAGAAAAGCCAGTTGAGAACTGCAGTCATCGCTTGGACGCCAGAAATAAAGTTTGGGGGAAAGAGGAGAAATCGCCGGCGAGAAGAAAGTCTGGAACAAAAGAAAGCTTAAACTTAAACTTACCAGACGAGAGTCAAGGGAGGAGTGGTCAGAAACGGAATGAAACCCCCAATCTCAAAAGAACTTTCAGGTGAGACCACCCGGCCAAGGGCCGGGGAAGGCCAAGGTCATTTACTGCTCCCTGCTGGCCAGATTTTGAACAGCACCAAGGCAAGCTCCAAGGCTCAGTCCCATTGGCCCCCGAAGCCCCCCCCAAATAAAGAAATGTTGGGCCTGAAATGAAGAAAACCTATTTGGGACTGGAATCTAAGAAGGGAGGGACTGAGAGGGAGGAGGAGAGGCACAATCCTCCCCAACCGCAAAGGTGGGGGAATCCTCAGTAGGAAAGAAACCAGGAGAGAGGCAACAGCAGCGGATGAGTTCAGCGGGGTGAGGCAACAGGAGCAGGAGCAAAAAAATCTGAGGAAACAGAGATGGAAACAAAAAGTGTGGAATGAACCATCTGTGGGTCAGGGGAGTGAATGAATACATTTTAAAATGAAACAGAAGCTCCAGGAACGCCCACCCCACCCCCTGTACCCCAGTCGCCAAACACAGACACACACATACACATAAAGGCCTGGAGAGTGGCAGATCTCACCCACCCACTGCACCCCAAGTACCATGTCATGAAGGCACTGGCACTAGGGAGAATCCCCTGGAATTTCTTTAAGATTTCATAACTGGGGTGGAGTGTGTGTGTGGGGGGGTGTGTGCTGATCTACCTGTTGTAGACAAAGATGGCACGAAGCCTGGCCCCTGCGGTGGGGTTTGGGACAGCCTTTCTGGGAAGGGGTTCCCTCAGCCATACTGCAGGGTACCTGGGCCCTGCCTTTAGCAGAAAGGTTCTGAGTGGCTGTCTTGGAGCTCAGGCGCAGCCAATACACTCAGGAGCCCACAGAGAAGCCATGGCTTGGCAGAAACCACAGAATCAGGACCTCAGACACAGCGCCCCCTGTAGACAAAGCAATGCAATAGCAGCAGTTTCTAAACTTCGAGATAATGGGGGGACGCCCTGGAGACCACTGCATCCAGCCACACCAGCAACCATATCAGAGTCTGTCTCCTTCACTCTGAGCCCCAACTCCATTTATGGGACATGGGTGAAGAGGACGGGGCAAGCTCTTGGGAAGGTGAGGGGAGAGATTGCGGGATGATCTGAGGTCTGAAAACAGAATGGAAAATATTCACCCTTCAGCCTATCCTGAACTAGGAAAAGAAAAATGGAGAATAAGGGGATTGCTATTGAGGTCTTTTATGTCACCCCCACTCCCACACTCCCCATTAGATCCCCCCAACCCTGTCTTGGTCAGACCAGTGGGTCTAGTGGGGTGAGGAAACTTCTGACAAAGGCAGATGACCCACCAAGCCCCCAAAATCAGAAGATGGGGAGGGGAGAACGTGGGAGGCAGGAACATGACTGATAGCACCTCACCTAGTAAGAAGAGGGTGAAGATGGAAAACGCAACCCTCTCCCAGGTGCCCCAGGCTCCCAAATACACACCATGAGGACCCCTTTCTTCTAGACCACACCCAAAAATGAATTCACAACAAATCACAGACCCAAAGGTAAGTGTTAAAATGATAAAGCTTATTGAAAATGTAAGAGTTACACTTCATGACCTTGAGTTAGGCAAAGCCTTCTTAGATAGGGCACCAAAAGCACAAGGACAAAAGAATAAAGAAATAACTTGGGGCTTCATCAAAATTAAACACCTTTGTGCTTCAAAGGATTCCATCCAGAAAGCAGAAAAGCCTCTTCCAGGGCCATCCTTCCTGGGACTGTGACCTGGCCTGACCCTCACGGGAGGAACAGGTGGAACTGATGGGGGCTGTGCAGCTCTGCTCCCCCTTCCCAGGGCCACAGGCTCCCACTGCAGATGCTGTGATATCCCCACTTTCTCCTCCTCTTACTATTTTTGAGAAATCACCCTTTGAATCAGCCATGCAATCCACCTCTTAAAAGTGCACAATCCATTGTTTTTAGTATATTGTACAGCCATTGCCACCACCAAATTCTGCAACAGATGTGTCATTCTGCTGCACCCATTAGTAGCTGCTCCCCATTTCCCCCCTCCTCTCAGACTGAGTAACTAACCTAATTTCTGTCTCTCTGATTTGCCAATTCTGGACATTTCCTATAAGGGAATCAGATAATATATGACTTAGTGAGCTTACTATTTCAAGGTTTATTCATCATACAGCCTTATCAATACTTCATTCCTTTTTATGGCTTAATAATATTCCATTGCAGGCATAGACCACATTGTTTATGCATTCATCAATTGATGGATATTTGACATCTTTCCAAAAAACAAATACTGTAGCTCTTAGA